TTAAATTTATTTTTATTGCAAATCGGTCGTGCTTTCTGCATAAATTAAGTTGTGTGATTCACAATTTGGCAAATGCCTTTTCTTATGGCATTGTTTCATCATTGTATGATGTTACGACTGGCAGTCAGCTTATCTGTTTTGCAACTGGCATTGGGTTCCAACCCAAATTGATTGGAAATAAAACACAGAGGGAGGGCATGTGCCATTGAACTAATTAAAACACCTTGCATAACAGTTCGGTTGTAACTAACCGGGTGACATAGTAATTAGCCAGATGGAGGGGCAATCATACTTAAGAAGACTTTGGTTTCGGGGACACGTGAATTGAAAAATATCAAATTTGGAAGTGCAACATTATGTTAGGTAAATGTTTTTTCAATGTTGAGTGTGCTCCGCTATCGCTTTTCGTAGTCTGCGAGTGCCTCAGATAACAGAACATTCTTTCCGGCTACTTTTCATGCACTAATAGTTGATTAGAATTTATGGGGCCACCATCCAACAAACCCATCTGGGCACCAGCCACCCACACGCCCACGATTTGCATTGCACCCAGCGGAGCTGCGTTGCCAACCTTGGTAAATATGCTGTGCTGGCTGCTACGTTTTGGACCTTTGTTGTTGATGCAGCTATTGTTGCCAGCTAGGGTTTGGTTAATCAGCGTTGACAACTTGGCTTTTTTCTGGACCAATCTGGTTACTCCCAAGGTTTGAAATGCGTTAACCGATCATTTTTTGCGGCCAACCACAAATCAGTTTACTTTTCATCACAGAGACATTGGTTTTTGGGAAATATATGTATGTTTCACTATTTAAAAATTTTGTTTTATTAATTTTAAATTTATACTAAGGAAAGAAAAACAGAAAAAATGTTTGACAGAATTATTATGAAAATCTCTAAAACCCATTTTTTACCAGATTGTATAAGATATTAAAAGAAGAGCTGTAATTTAGGGGCACCCGAGTTTTTCTCGGATCATTCTCAATTGTAATACAACTTAAGAATTATAACTTTAATTATAACTATCAACGTCATCACTAGAGAATGAACCACTTATTTGGAGAAAATAGAAACTGGACAATTTTTATTAGCCACCGTTGTTTTAATTTAGCATTACTGGCGGTGCTGCTTGGCTGGTTGGCGCGCTCCAGTACGATTCGCTTTGGTTTGTTGAGGTTTGGGTGTGGGTCCGGGTTTCGGTTGGGCTTTGTCAAGTTCGACCCTGGGGGCATGGCTCATAAATTTGCCGCTGCTATTGCAATATGAAATATATGCAACATAATTGAATTGCGCCTGTGTAGGTGCAGTGTGCGGCGTACTGTTAATTTTTAATTTATGCTCATAAATAATCAAGGCATTTTCATTAGACAACAATTTGCAGAGAATGAAAAAGGCAACTGATGGGGAAAAAATGCAAAATCCTGAGCGCTTGTGAAACAAAAATTGTAAAGAAATGGGGGAAACAAATGAGGGAGGTAAAAGTGTATAAAGTATTGTATTCTATAGTTTTATAAACAGTTTTGATGTCTTTTTACAATACAAGCTGGTGTCGGTTGGTTTCGACATACATTTTAAGCTCATAACCATGAATTTTTCCTCGTTTTTTAAGACAAGAAAAAATGGGGTAAAGTGCAGAGAAATTCTTGAACGAATTCCTCATTGCTCTGACTACAAAGTGAAGCACTAAAAATGTTATTTATACTTTTTAAAAGGAGTAAGACATAAAAAGCTGAGATAACGAAAAGAATTTCTTTTCAACCGCCGGGCTTATAAACATGTTTAGCCTGCTTAAATTCTAAAAATAGAAATAAAAGTGCTACATTTGCGGAATAGAATCTGTTTGTGGTGTTAAATGCCGCGTAATCATTTTCTGATGCCCATAAGAGCGCAACTAAAAAGCGTTGAAAAACGCGAAAAAGCGAGGGAGTCAGGTGGAGTGCGAAAGCTGTGCAAATATACATGGTAGTAGCTACGTCAGCTGCGCTTTAATGTCATTGTGCGGGTCTCTATCTGTGTATCTGGTGACATTCGAAACAGCAGCTCCGAAAAACGAGAAAGAAAAACAAAAGAAATAAGGCCAATGATGCTTGTAATTGTAGCTCCAGTTGGCACGGCTCCACTCTTGTTGGTTTTGCAACTGCTGTGTTTTTAAACCATTTTTGCCCCTTCGCCAGCGTTTTGACTGTTTTTGGCCATGGCGGCCAATTGCAATTTCAAGGCTGCAACTCCGGCTCGAGCACTCCATCTTCTTCACCATCACATCGCATCGTATCGCATCGCCCACATGCGCAAACAAGTCTTAAAAACTCATTAACGTTTAATAATGTGAAAAGTGATGCCGTTGGCTGAACACTGGCCACTGTCACCACCAGTTTGCGTTACAGAGAAAAATATTGGTTAATTGTAAATGCTAATATTAACCAATATGATTTATACATTCCTTTTTATAGTCGTCAAACGCTTATTAAAACTAGTCTCTTTAATGGAACGAAACATGGCATACTAAAAAATAGAAGATCATGATTATCTTTTTGTTTTTTGCTGTGCATTGAATGTTTACTGCCCCCAGTGCACACTTGCTGCACTCAATCAAGCTCAAAACCCGAAGAGGGTTGATTTGGGAGGTTGGCGGTTGGCAAGGGGCTAAAACCCGGGATGAGTTGTCTTCATTTTGCCATGAGTGGCAGCAGGCAACTGCAACAGGCCACCAATAAAAAGATGACAACGGCAATAGCATCATTTTTGCTCTTCTGCCAGCTCGCTTTTGGTCGAGAAAGTGTCCAAAGAAAAAAATAATCTGAAAGTTAGCTAATAGACTTCGGGCATACTCTGAAGTCGACGATAAAGGCATTTGGAATATGCTAGGAAATACGAAAAATATATAATCAAATCATTGCGATTCTAAGATCGATTTATTAATTGCAATTAATTAATTAATTAATTAATTATATAAACTATAAAGATCCATTTAAGGTAGCTCTTTTCTGTTCAACGTTAGCGAAGTGAACTACTTTTTAAAACGGATGTAAGGATCCACCAGCTGCTCGACATTAAAGTGCATAGTTTTCTCCACATCACAGAAACTAAAATGAAAGGAGATACCATAATCTAAACTTAAATTTTAAGTTGCCGGTAATTTCCTTTGTAGAAAACTAAGGCGGAAAATCGTTTCAAAAAAAAGGGGTTTCAATTAACAACTTCACAACGTAGACTGTTCTTTAACCCAGATCTCTTACCTATAAATAAAACTTGAGCACAGAGACATTCCATCGAAAACTCGATCATGAGCAGGAAACTGTGTTTAAGAACACATTTTGTCATCTCATCTGTGGGCAACTTTATCACTTCTTGCTGCCACATAAAAACGCAACAAAAAACCGCATGACAGTGCTTTAAAAAAGACCACGCTTCATCCTAGACAATTACGATAGAGTAAAACCCGCTTTACTACGGGGAAATCTTTTCTTGTGTACAGCATCGCACTTGCTTCCCCTCTTTCATCAGGCAGCTTCTTCTTTATACGCTGCCAGCCATAACTGTAGTTGCAGGTGTGTAGGTAAATGTAGTTGTTGTAGTTTCGTTGTTTGCTCGGGGGAATTTACGGAGCGTTGATGGCTTTCTCCTCTAAGACTCGATTTTATAGAGGATAGAGATGGCAAGGGGAAGAGGAGTGGATAACGTTGCTACATTGCGATGAGGAGGTGGTGAACAAGAGCACGGGGAGATGATCTCTAGGCCATTAAGAGTGGCCAGCAAAAAGTTTTCGTTTATTGGTGGCATGGGCCAGTTTTATAGCTTCATTTGCACACAACAACTGCTGCAGAGGCCGAGGTCAGGTTGGTACACACATAAGATAGGGGGCAGGTGGGCGAACGGTGGGCGTGGCTCATTAGCAGGGTGCAAGGTGGATCGCTATTCCTCAAGCGGAACGGTAGCCAAATGCTTTCAGGGTATTCTAAGGTTATCGAAAGTTTTAAATCAAAGCAAAGATTTGAACAGAAGTTAGCGGAATTTCGAATAAAAATTTTAATCATTTCAAAACATAATTGTTTCTAGATAAGGCTTCCCCTGAGTAATACTTTGAAGAATTCGGCCGAAAAAGCACCCACTTACGTTTTGGGTAATCAGTATAAATTTTATGAACCGCTGCTTCAGCGAAATCTTTCCCACAATCAGTACTTCGTTTTGTGGTTTCTCCCAAATGAAAAATCACGACCCGTTGGGTCACTATCATCATAACAGTGCGGCCGATAAGTACGTGGCCCATTGTCATTAGCTGTGGGCATTAATTGCACGTGGAAAACGGCGACCTTAATGTATTCGGTTCCACAATGCGGCTGATAAAAAGAAATGCATTTGCAATGCCCAGATAGGCGGAGAAGAAACGAAAAAAAACATGAAAAACATATAGTTTAGAGCCCCGACTAGGAGATATCCGCTAATCACTGCCAGCTTTTGTTGAAAAAATATGTATCCTAGTGGTAAATTTTATAAAAACAAAAGTATAAAAACAACGATATTAGTAAATTTTACAAAAGCATGGAAGACAAATTTTAAAATTCCTGGTTTTAGGTTCTTTAATTCCCGGTTCTTATAAGATGGTTGACCACTAACATCTATTACTTTTTTCTTTCTTTTTAAGCGATCGTCACAACTTTGTTCAATTACCAATTATATTTAGCTAGTATTAGAATATCATTTGGCTTACAGTAAGATTAAGTGAAAATATCATCGGTAAAATATTTTTTCTGAAAATTTGCAAATACTTTTGTGACAATTCAATATACCCATTTTACTTTTGAAGACCAGGTATTAACCAGGAAAACTGCATTTAGCCAGAAAAACGAGAAGACAAATCTTCAGCGGATTTTATTTACACGAACCGGTTTAATTGGCTCGACCTCCAATCAGAATCAAGTTCACCAACGCAGCGGCATTAAGAGTCCCAATAAGTAAGTGCATGGGGAAAGACAAAATGAAAAGTTTGGTTGGAAATCGCTTACCGAAAGGGAAAATATCTGGAAGCTGCAGGATGTAAGGATAAAACAGCAACAAAAACGATGCAGGATTAACGCCAGTTTTTTTTTGAGAGTATGTATATGTGGCGAATTAAAGTGACCAACAAAAACAGACACACACACGGCCGCTCACTAACTAACACACACACTTGTACGCACCGAGAGAAAGAGAGAGATAGAAAGAGCAAGGGGAGATTCGGGAATTGAACACGTTTGCCGCTACTCCGATTTCGATTCCGGCGGAGGGCGTAGTACCGCCCCTAAATTATGGGCGACCCGGTTTATTTACACGTCCGAATTACTTATATATGTATACGTATGTATTTTAGACCGCGCCTGCTGCACTTTCTACTACACCTACAACTCTCTGTTGCGTACGCGCTTGTGTGTACGTGTGTGTGTGCGTATCAATTGCACACGTATGCATCTGTTTGACTGTGTGGGTGAATTTATTTTGTTTGGTGGGATTTTTTTACCCGAAAATTTGTAATCACACTTGCACTGCACAAGCACTGTTAATTTTCTTTGATTAATAATTAATTCTTGCGCGACGCGACATATCCTCGTAGCAAAAAAATGTACGAAGAAGAGAGCGAGCGGGTTGCTTAAATAGATTTTTCAGGTTTCAGAGCGACCAGCTGTGGGGCACAAAAAAATGCCATTGTCAAAGAGGCCATGCTAAATAATGTTATCGATAGTATCGTTGTTCCTTAAGTTAAAAACTTTAAATTTATTATGTTATGTTCATTTCCAATTGTACATTTTTCCCTACTTATAAAAATAAGCCACTATTTTACATTCAGCACCCCAAAATTACATGTGTTGTAAAAGGCAATTATTAATTAGGGATACAGGGGTGTCTTAGAAGTCTCCGTCAAAATTAGGGACGGTTTATTTGAAATTCAACAGGAAAAGAAAAGGGAAATCCGTCAGTGTCTGCTTTTGAGTAAATATGCTTAGATTTTGGGAACGATTTTCCCACAACCTACTCTTTGGTTAATTTGAAGTCAGTAAGTCAAAATGGATGCGGTTCCTGTGACCATGACTTTTTGATTTATATTTTTCTTTCTCAATAGTGCTTAACATCTAAATTTTTACACATTTTTCGCTGCCGGGCCCCTGATTAGTACGGGCCCCGGGAAAATGACACAGCTGGGGGGGACTACAAGAGAGACTTTCAGCTAAAATCTAACTAAAAAGATTTCTATAACATTTCTGTAGTAAACAAATGCTTTATTCTTCTATTCCTAGCCTTTTTAAATTCCATCCATTTTATTCCACAGTCTAATTACAATAAAATTTTAAGCACGGAAGCGGAAAAATATTAAATAGATTTTTGAATTTCGCGCACTTTTTAAGCTTAATAGAACAACGGGACTATTTCGTTCGATAGTCAAAATTCTTATCGCATTTTTCTCACAAAAGGCATAATGAGGGCATCGATGTATCGATTGCGGAATAGAGTTATTTACAATGCCTCTGGTCACACTGACATGCTACCAACTTTTTAATAAAACTTTGTTAATTACAAATACGGCGACCAATTCTGCGCTTAAAGTCAATCGCTTCGCGACATCCCGCGTCGCCATGCACAGCCGGAGTTTGCTGCCGGATCCGGCGGTATACCAGCCGGACACCCTGGACTTGAACACGGACATAAAGGCGGCGGACTACTGGTTCAACTGCTTCCGGGACATGGTGGCCAAGTTCGCCAAGGTTGCGGCCAGGTCGCAGGAGGAGGATCACACGGCCCCGCAGCGGGCGGAGCAGTTCCAGGCGGCCTACCTCCAGCAGCTAGAGGAGCACCAACGAAATGTGCCCCTCAACAGGGGCAAAGTGGTCCTGGGCACCAGTGAGCTCCTCCAACTTAACGAAACCATGCTGCGGCGCTACGGATTCACGGATCCCTGGCTGAGCCAAAAGAGGGTGGAGAATGCCTCCGCGGTGGCTCGTCTGAAGCAGCGTCTCCAGGAACTGGACGCCCTGGAGGACGAGGATGCCCGGTGGACGGAACTGGTGCGCGGCGTCCTTGCAGGCAACATGTTCGATTGGGGTGCCCAAGCCATTTCAAATATCCTCGAGCAGGACAGCAATTTCGGACTGCATTCAGCTTTAGAGCGCATCGAGAAGCGACCCTGGCTGCTGGACAACCTGGACAACTGGCTGAAGCGTCTCAAGGGAGCGCCCCACAAGTGCGCCGTGGTTTTTGTGGACAACAGTGGCGTGGATGTGGTCCTGGGCGTACTGCCCTTTGTGCGGGGACTCCTGAAAAGAGGCACCAAGGTGCTGCTCTGCGCCAACAGTGAACCCGCTCTCAACGATGTGACCAGTGAGGAGCTGAGATCCTTGCTGGATGAATGCTCGCGGGAGTGTGAGGTGCTACAGCAGGCCTGGTCCAAGGGACAACTGCTGGTGTACGCCAATGGACAGTCGGGTCCCTGCCTCGACATGCGCACATTGCCGCCGGAGCTGTGCGACGCCATCGCCGCTAATGAGACTGATCTGCTCGTGATCGAGGGCATGGGACGAGCCCTCCATACAAACTTGAACGCCCGCTTTGGCTGCGAGACCCTCAAGATGGCCGTGGTCAAGAACCGGTGGCTGGCCAAGTACCTGGGCGGAGAGGCCATGTTCGCCGTCATCTGCAAGTTTGAACCGGCTGTGCCCAGCTAGTCCAGGAGCCACCGCATCCATTGTTATCCCTTGTTGACAAAACACAATGCCCCCGCCCACAGATGATGTCCAACAGCCAGGGGTCCTTGTTGAGTTCGAAATTATTGTTATGGTCCACTGAACCCACTATCCACTATCCACAATCCAATCCTATCCCTCGACCTACCGATGAGATTCATATGTGTATAAATATAATCTTAATGCAAGTGCTTTTGTGGTCACCTCACCCATATAACAGCTACACTTTTAATAATTAAAAACAAAAATATATAATAACAAAGCCTTTTGTTTATCATGGCGGCGGTTTATTATCGGTCATGGTTATATAGACTGCAATTTTGATAAGCGTCGAATGGTGAGGATTACTCGCTGATAAGGATGGAGTCCGGCGCTTCCAGCGCTGGCAATTCATCAGCCCGGAGGGCTCAGACATTTCCCACCATAAAACTTGGATAATGTCTGTTCTCATTTACATATGGGCTTCGGTGCGTGCCAACTCTTACGTTTCGCTATCTCACTAATCTGCCTATTCGTGGTCGAAATAAAACAACAAAGAAGACAGTCACCATAATAACTGGTTGATAAGCAGTCAGGCAGATAAGATCGAGCGAAGCTAAGACCAGGAAATGGTTGGCCGGGAAGAACATGATCTCAAGCTGAATTAAAAACTAATTCCGTTTCACAGAACTAAGCATGAAAAACCATTAAAGCTATATATAAAAATATGTCATTAAAATCCAAAAATAACTTATAGAGACAATAGAAAAATTTCTTCGACTGCAAAAAGTCGTTTTTATTAATATGATTGGGAATATATAAAGATAAAATAAATCAATAACAAGAAAGGAAGTACCCTTTTTAGAAGTCATCGGAAACTTGGAAATAACTAACATAAAAATGGGTTAAAAATTTGATCAACGGTAGACTAAAAATTTTGAATGCAGATTTTTAGAGATTGAACCCACAAGTCTTTAGAGGTATGCCACTTTGAAATAGTATTAAATTTGGTAAAGTTATGGACTCTGGAAGTCCAATTGGCGGTCACCTCATTACAAGTCATCGGAAGCTTGGAAATAACTAACATGAAAATGGGTTAAAAATTTGATCAACGGTAAACTAAAAATGTTGAATGCAGATTTTTAGAGATTGAACCCACAAGTCTTTGGAGGTATGTCACTTTGAAATCGGATAAAATTTGGTAAAGTTATGGAATCCAGAAGTCCAGTTTTGGGCCACTTTTTAACAACACATCGGAAACTTGGAAATAAATGACATGAAAATGGGTCAAAAATTGGACCAACGTAAAAATGAAAATTTTGAATGCAGATTTTTTGAGAATCAAATTACGAGTCTTAGGAGATACGCCACTTTGAAATCAGATAAAATTTGGTAAAGTTATGGAATCCAGAAGTCCAGTTTTGGGCCACCTTTTAACAACACATCGGAAACTTGGAAATAAATGACATGAAAATGGGTCAAAAATTGGACCAACGTAAAAATGAAAATTTTGAATGCAGATTTTTTGAGAATCAAATTACGAGTCTTAGGAGATACGCCACTTTGAAATCGGATAAAATTTGGTAAAGTTATGGACTCCGGAAGTCCAGTTTTGGGCCACCTTTTAATAACACATCGGAAACTTGGAAATAAATGACATGAAAATGGGTCAAAAATTGGACCAACGTAAAAATGAAAATTTTGAATGCAGATTTTTTGAGAATCAAATTACGAGTCTTAGGAGATACGCCACTTTAAAATCGGATAAAATTTGGTAAAGTTATGGACTCCGGAAGTCCAGTTTTGGGCCACCTTTTAATAACACATCGGAAACTTGGAAATAAATGACATGAAAATGGGTCAAAAATTTCATCAACGTTAAATTAAAAATTTTGAATGCAGATTTTTAGAGAATGAACCCTCAAGTCTTTAAAGATATGTCACTTTTAAATCGGATTCAATTTATTAAAGTTATGGACTCTAGATTTCCAGATTTGGGTCACCTTATCACAAGGCATCACAAACTTGGAAATAACTAACATGAAAATGGGTTAAATTTTTGATAACGTTAAACTAAATATTTGAATGCAGATTTTTACAGAATGAACCCAAAAGTCTTTAGAGGTATGTCACTTTGAAATCGGATTAAATTTGGTAAAGTTATGGGCAGTGTTTTGCAGCACATCTTTCCAACCTAAAGCCCCTCTTGCTGTTCGTCAGTTTCCTCTGGTGGGCTGTTGGGAGCAACTGCGTCTTCCGAACTTAAGTCCTCGTAGCAAGCACGATGCCAGCAGGCCACTATGGCTCTATACGAATCCAGGAAAAGAGCCTGACTGTAGAGCTTGATGCCCATTTGCAGGACAACAAAGCCTATGATCACGCCCGGACTTATGTTATTCCAATCCCAGAAGAACATCCATACAAAGAGGGGGCGTAGAGCGTCAACGAGCAACCGACTGATGCTGGAAGAGTCCATCGTAATGAAAACGCCAACAAAGTTGTATGAGGCACATGAGATGGCGAAACCAATCAGGGCCAAAATCAGGGAGGGTTTTCCCGTGAGAGCCAGAACAAGATCACTCCAATCGTCGAAGACAGCTCGTGAACTATCGTTAAACGGACGCACGCTTGGCAAGAAGTTCAAACAAATGGCGAGCAGCGAGGTGATGACCAGTCCGAAGATTCCCTGCCAACCGGCAGCCTGCAGAGGAACCACATCCGAGGTCTTGAGCTGCTTCTCCTCGCAAACATACTGCAGACCGTGCAGGATCTCGGCTATAATGATGAGTAAGTCGCCGGTCAGGATGGATTTGTAGTCCGTGAACGGCAATGTGGCCTGCTCATCTTTCACTCGTAGAACGTCCAAATAGATGATGTCGAGAAGGGCACAAGATATGGTGAAGATGGCCAGCCATTGGCGGCCGGTGAGCGTGTGGTTCAGGAAAATGGCACTGAAGACGCCCGCAAAGATCGTTGAGGCTCCCCTTATCATCTGGAAGGAGGTGGGGTTGGTAAAATAAAGTCCCGTGAACAGCAGAATGGAGGCCACCGCATCCAGCACGGCGGGCAGGAGCATGCTCAAAGGACTAAATTCTCTGCTGGTGCTGTCCTCCTCCGTCAGGATGCTGTCCAGGTCGGTGATGATCTGTGAATTCTAAGATCATACATTTTTTACAAGCAAATTTAATTCAAAATGGATTGCATGGGTTTGACCGACCATCGGATAGAAACAATATGAACGTGAAATTGGGACATTAAAACCCAATAAAAAGCCCCCTTAAACTCTCTGTAATCGCATTTCTCAACTCACTTCCGATCGGCTGGCAATCAGGCGGATCACCTTAAAGATCACAAAGCACAGGAACTCGCCCAGGAACATGAGCAGGGTGAAGACTACAGGATGCTGGAATCCATGACGCTTTCCATCGCTGCCAATAACTTGCTGATGATTGGCCCAATTTACCACCAGGACATTGAAGGTGCCGCTGACCAGAAAGATCGCCGACAGAAAAAAACGATGATCCATTCTGCGAAGAAGTAATAATCTTTCTGAGGTGTTCAGTGCTTGCTTGCTAGGTCGATTAGTCAATATTGATAAGTGATAGGTGGACAAATATTGCGGTCATCTGAATTCTTGCCTACCCTTCCATAACCTATTAAATTTTAAATTTGAACTTTTGGTTTTCACTTATGGTACCTTTTGGTTTATAATAATTTAACAAACATAAACAAAGTCGTAATGTGTTTATAGTTCTGTAAAACAAAACAATTTATTGGTACATAACTAGATGGTAAATGTATCTAGAAACTCAACACCCCTCGATAAATCACTCATGAAGTACTATTCAAAATTTCAGTTATAGAATAGGTAAGTGCCAAAGTTTTCAATTTGATTTAACGGAATTTTTAAATTAGAACAGAACGGCGTGAAATTAACAGTATCGTTAACGCTAACGTTGGACAATCGAACATCAGCTGTTTCGGGCTCGTGTCACGAATTCATCCCTTCGAATTGTCAGTTGTCAGCTGTTGTCAGTTTTTGACGGTCGTGTGAAAATTAATGCAAAAAAGTCCCCAATAGATAAACAATAAATCGGTGTGCGGAAAAAGGAAGCCCAGGAACAGTTGAAACTCGCGTCGTTTTGGTTCTTTTAGTTTTCCTTAAACCACTTTGCTTTGCGCTCTGTCAGGCATTTCAGTTTTTTGGTGCCCCAAACCAAGTGATTATTATCGGCGATTACTACTAAAGACTATGGATATTCTGAGGAAAATGTTCAAGTCCGAGGCGGAAAAGGAGCCGGAGTGAGTACTAGATATGGTGGGATTATGAATGGGATATTATGCAAGTGCAGGAAGCGCATTCTAAAAATATGGGGGCCCCCGGAACACGAACACAGCGGCGTTTTTCAGGCGACGACGGATCGATAACCAGGCACCTGCCATGATAGATACATTTTCACCAGGATACACACACGCACACGGGAAATGCGGCCGTTCCTCTCCGAGAAAACGGAGGCTGCGTATTGAGACCCCCGAGGGTTGGAAGTCGAAATGGAAATCCCTTCTCATCCCACCCCCTTTTCCACTCTCTCTTTTCCTCCACTTCTCTCCTGGCCAGCTCTTCGGTTTCCGCTTCCAATAAGGACGAATTCCGGAAGCCCCAGTGGTTCGAGGAGGCCGAAACCGATGACGAACTCTTCGACGACGATCGCAAGTTCGCCTTCCAGGTCTTCACCAGTCCGCTGGAGATGCAGAAGCACTTCGAGAGCCAGCTGCAGCGGCTCCTGGAGTCCCTAAACGATGGTGATGGTAAGTCCATTTACAATTGCATAACTAGAGCCAGCGTACTTTTAAAATAATATATCTTCAATGCATGACTTCATACTTTTTAATTGATTATATATACATACATATATACACTTTATTTATATCTCCTCAAAAATATGTAGATTTGATATGCCAAAAAAACAACTATGCAATTTAGTTCTCTGTATAAATTGGTACTTTATTTTACCTTAAATGTATTTGGCAAAAGTAATTTACTATTCATGTAATTAGCCAAAATAAATCGATCGAATATATATCTGTTTAGGGTGGTATTTGTCTTGTAAACGCTTTCAGCAAATGTAATTGGTCGATTTAAATGTAATTTTCTAAGCGATTCGTAATCAATTAAGTAATGTCAACAACGTAGGATAGCAGATTGTATTTAAGTATTGGCAAAAAGTTTGCTATATTCAAAGACTTAAACTATTAATACGTACCATTAAAATGGACTTTTTCAGATGGTTTTGAGCGCGACTTGAAAGAGGACTTTTTGAAGCCGGGCTTTGAGAGCAAGATTTTGAAGAAGTTTGAGCAGCAAAAGGACTTGTCCCTGGACACGGACCTGGATGGCGAGTGAGTAACCATAGTTCATTTCCAAGCCAAAGTTGACTTAACAATTCAACATTTACAGGATCTATGCCGATCAATTGCACTCGCTCATCCAGCGTTTAAATCCGGAGGAGAAGCTTGAACCGGGTGACCAGGGAATGGGCAACATTTTGCCATCGAATCAGCATGGCTATCGCAAGAGCTATCAACGAGCTAAGCTCACTGATGAGGAGATAATCATGGGCCGGATACATGGAACCATTTCCGCCGATGGGGAGAGCAAGTCGTGCGCTCGTCCTCCGCGTCCGCCGATGAACAACAAGCCGGACATCATGACGCCCATGACCCCGATGTTGCCGCGCAGTGGAATGACTCCTTTCGGTGGGGTATTCGATGGCAACTATCAGGTGAGCAGGATCAGAAGCCCCTCTCATGGTAGCCCCTTAATTTGATATTATTTTTGGCAGGGTCCAAAGCTGTTTAGCCAGAGCGTCATGACCAAGACGGTGCGCAAGCCGGATGGCAGTTACGAGACCACCAAGGTGACTCAGGACTCAGCTGGTCACAAGACCACCACCGTAACCCGGATGATAGACGGGCGCAAGGAGACCATCGTCACCCACGATGGCGGAGATGGTTCGCCCAAGATGGGAGGACAGCAGAAGAAGGAGGTGGTGGTGGCGGCCCAGGGCGAACGCAACATATTCGTGACAAAAGAAGGCTACGCCATGCCACGGAACCTCTGGTGACCAGTGGTGAACAACTATTGCCCCAATCAAGACAAGCGATCTCTGCTGCAGCAACAGAAACAACAGCAACAGTACGAAGATAAGCTAAAGCGATTCGTCGGCAACATAGTCCCGCATCCACACAACATCCAAATTAGAACCTACTACATTTTAGTTTACATTCTCCTTAGTGTTTGGTGTTTTAGATGAAACGCACTTGAGACAACAGATGACGACGATTATTGACCATGATTTTATTGACCAGCGATCAATTGATCGTTTTGGCCATATATATTATGTGAGACAGGCGCACCACCCGGCGGCGCCGCACTTTCAGTTCCCAGATCCAGGGCTCTCTGCAGGCCAAGCTCGAACTCCCCATAGAATGGAGATGGAGTTGGGATCGGAGATGGCTCGTGTTGAGCGGTGCGAACGTGATTTTCAGTTTTGGCAGCAGCAGGAGCAGGCCAGCCGGATTGGATGGATGATAATTCAGTGTCGTCCACTCCAATCCCGCAGAGCGCTGGCATCCAAAACAAACCAACCAACAAACAATCGCCGAAACGGCGGCAGTTATTGTATTATTGTATTGATTCTTCGTGGTACTATCTGTGTCTCAATGCTGCGATCGTCAGCATCTAAAGTGCCCGTAGTGATTTAGCAGCGAAAAAATATATGGATCCACTATACAATACATTACCGCTTACCAGGCAAACAAATCAAGTTTATATACTATCTACAATTGCGTTAATTTTGTTAGTTATACTCTACATTTTTATACTTATACACCCGCGTGGTGAATTGATCTGGTTTCTGCCCAAGCAGTCGAGTTCAACTCACAGTATTTTGAATTACAATTCAATTTTTTGTTTATTAGTTTTACTAATCTTTAATGCTTAAGTTGATTTTCATCCGAACTAACTTTCAAAGAGGACACAATGCATACACGCATTAGTTATCATTCAAGAAACATGCAAATAAAGTGTTGTGCAATAAAAATTTGACTTTGATTTTTGGAAAAGGGATCTGTGTAATAAGTGAAATAGTAAAATAATTAAATTCTGATGCCGTATTGAACTAATTTTGAACATTCTAGAAAAGTATTTAGCTTTAAACAGAAGGTTAGTTTGAGTATCAAGAATATAATTGAATTTTAGAGCTAGAAAAGCTTATTTGATTTTATTTATAATTTTCTCAAAACAACATAAGGGTTTCTTCTTAAAAGATGCGTTGTCCAAGTGATGGCCTTTTTGAGTTTTTATTTTATTCAGTTTAGTTGGATTTAAACTAGAGCAACAGGATAAAGAAGCTATTAGCTATGGGCCATTGGCTCAATGATGATGGTCATCCTTCTTGACGAAGCGCAAGCCGCAGTAGCCGCAGATGTGATTGCCGGGTTTGTCCTGCGCGTAAAAGAGATTCCAATGAGTTATAAATCAAAACAGTTAGCTGAAGATCATACCAGGTTGATGTAGACCTTGGGATGACCCAAAGGACCATCGCCTCCGTCGCAGAAGACAACGCGTTCGGTGCATTCCTTGGGGGGTACCTCCTCGATCAGCTTAATGCCCCAGTTCTCATTAACATACCGCTTGGCATTGACGAATCGCGCATTGCGGTAGTCATCCTTATCGAACACCTAAAATACGCATTGATTTAGATATTTAAATACATATTCTACACAATGTTTGCGTAATCGCAGGATGGTTGCTTTGCAAATCCCTCGATTTCTCTTACCTGTCCGGTGTGTGTAACCTTCTCGATGTCACCGCGGCAGCTGGCACTGCGGACTGTGGCCAAGGGTGACATCCAATTCTGGCACGGACGGCCCAATTTGGCCAAATTGTTTACCAATTGCTTGCTTGCCATTTTTCTTACCACAAATTTGTTCGTACAACGTATTGTGACAGGAATCACCCTGTGGCTGTCAGCTGGCTTAACAGCACATTTGTTAGTTAACATTTAGCGGACAGCGGTCACACTGGTATTTCAAATATTTTTTAAGTCCTTATCCCTGGCTAACTTTTTTGAAATATTTTATGAATAATTTTTCAAATATATTAAAAATTTCAGATCTTTTTCCGCCCCTGTTATTATTTTTTTGTGTATTATAAAATATTTAGATTCTTTGCACAAAGTTTTCAAAACTATGATTCCAGGAGCCATCCCGATTGTTGTCTATTTTTTTTGGTCAAGAAATTAAAAGAATTCCGTTTCCAGTTCAGATACCGTTTATTCGATAGTTGAAACTAAACTATGTTTTATTTTTCAGAATTTTTACAATAGCAAGAATTTTTCGGTAGCTAACGAAATAAATAAAATTTGATTTTAAGTAAGTATAATTAGTCCATACGTAAAACAAAACAGATTATTGAGAACAATATTCTAAATATGATTTTTAAATTGATTGTCCATTGAAACTCCTAGCAACGCAACAATGCATTGGATTTCCCTAAGTGTTTCAATTAATACTTTAAACTTATTTCAGTTCCAATCTACCAACTAGTTATCAAAGCTCTACTATAAAATGTTTATCTTATATACTTTAACATACATAAATAACAAAGAAAAATATTCTCAATATGTTTATAAAATTGCTCTTATTGTTTATTGGGATGCCCAGCATTTTACATATGTATATTCTAATTAGGATGCCCATTTGTTTGATTTCCCTCTCAATTAAATGTTGTTTAGAATGAGGGGATGTAAACAAAAAACGAAGATAGAGCTAAAATTTCCCTTGGAGCATGCGCCCCAATAAGAAATGCCGGCATTTAATGACGAGAGGTTCTTCGTGCGCAATTCCCGAACCATCTCTTTCGTATTTTCGAAAATATTCGAATTTTCCACCGACGATCGGTGAATTGGCTCCTGGCGTTTGGGAAACGCATTCAGTTAGTGTTTCGTGCTCGTCGAGTGTTGTTCTCGGTTCTTCCTCTACAACATCTAAAGTTCTTCATTGAAAAGTCTTCTTTCCTGCCATCCATGCATATATACACGCCTCTATATATACGCATATATAGAAATTGATTTGGAATTGTTCGCGCAAAGAATTCTGGCGTTGAATCAAAGCGAATTTACGGTGTGTAATGTTACAAATTAATGGGATTACCTTGTGTATCCGAGATCCCATTGAAAAAGCACAGAAAAAAGCCCAATTTTCCACGGATTACATAATCGACAGTGAAGTGCTATTTGGAAAAAACGTGTTTTTCCACGTTTTCCGGTGCGAGAAAAATTAACGAAAGGAAACGAAAAATAGAATGTGCTTCAGCGTAATGGTGAATCGATAGAATATGGATATCAAAGAGGGTTTCCTCATAAAGTGGATGGCAATTAAAAGTGGTCCCAGAATAAAGTGAAGCATGCGAGGCTGCATCTTTTTGCTCTGCCCATCTCGGCATGGTTTCCTCCGAAACCGAGCGAACCGAAAGTTTAACGAACTGAGTTCATTTCTATTTTTGAATAATTCGAAAGCAACCGACAACGGACAACGGACAACCGCCGCCGCAAAGTGAAAAGTCTGCATGAGTTTTCCCTCGTCGCGGTGGTGCGAGATTCGGGACGTGTGCTTTTTAAGTGGTGCCGATGGTGGACTGATCCACCACGCCACTACATACAACTACACCACCCAACCACCCGCCTACACTGTGCAGTTTTTGGTTTTTTGGAAAATCCATAAAGGAATTGAAATATTGAAAGCAGATGACGAACAAATTTTTGTCTACGAAAGTGTGCAAAATATCTGAAAAAATTCTAGACGAAATAAAATTAGTGATGACAGGATATGAGCAATCACATTACGACTCAATTGGTTTTAACTTTCTAAATTATCGGTGTTTGAAAATGAATAACTATTTCTTTAATTAAATTATAACATTTGATTTATTATTTTTTAAAAATTGTAATTAATAATATAATTAACAAGCCTTTTGTGGGGTTTTAATAAGAGTTATAGATTTGTAAGATCGATTTTTTTGCTTTAGTCAATTTAGAAACCCAAAATTGATAGTAAATCATTTTACCAATATCGTTCTTAAACAAATTGTCTAACATTTCATTGTTTATTTATTTTAGAAAGCTTAGCTTTTTTAATGTTCCATTTAAATTTCTGTTTATTTTAAAAAGCTAAATTTATTTACCCTCCAAATGAAATGTTTGCTCAACTCAATTCACTTGAAAAACAATTATTTCAATTTTGCGCACTGTATATAATGTATTTTAGGTTCAGCTAATTTCACTTTCACGCAGCATCCAATATATAATCAATGATATGAGATGTTTCCAAGGTTTCCGCACACTCTGCCAAGCATATATCATAGGCACTTGAGGCCTTCAAACAATTTTGACAGCGGCTAATCCCCGAGTGCCCACTTCTCTCCTGGCTGCCACTTCCAATCTGTAGCCTAATGCTAATGTCCATGCATTGTAAATTATTAGCATATATATTCACTATTATTTGTGACAACTATCTGAAATAAATGTTTCTGCGAACCAAACGCTTTTTGTAGATTTTTGTAGACTTGAAAGCCGCACACTCACGTCAGCCCCATTTTTAAAGATTGTATAAATGTTTATACCACTTCCGTTAGGATCTATATCTTTCCTATATGCGAATATTGTGCGTAGTCTGATGAAATAAGTTGCCTACCTATTTTCTAGAATAGGTCATGATTTATTTATGTTTCTTTTGCTTATATTAATTATGATTTTTTTTTGTTTTTTCCACTTGACATAATTGGGTTGGATGTTCAGGTGATTGTTTTGGCTAATGAACAAAATATGATTTATGATTTTTGCACAGTTTCTATGGATGAGAATAAAAATATGTCAAAAGTTGTTCGCTAGAATTATACTTAAAGTTTTTAAACTAGATCATGGTTTCTAGTTTCACATTTAAAATATTACATTTATTTCTGCATTAATCAAACTATTTTTAAAGTTCCTTAAAACCAAAAGGCACTTTCAATGGGCAACATTTATAATCAAAATATCTGAAAAACAAATAGTGTTAATATGTTTTTAATTATTCTCTTGCCAGTGTAATATGTTAAATTAAACCCCATAACCCCGTCCAAAAGTCTTTGTGAAACAAAAGCCATCCCGCTCGTAAAACCGAAATAAAACCAAACCCAAAGATCTCGATCGTCTCATCCGTTTGCCACCAAGATGTCCGGGCAGCAACCGCCGCCGTACGGGAATGGTCCGCGTGGCTGGAATCCGCGTGCCCACAATCCCGCCTCTCCATCGCCATCGTCCTTCCTGTACCGTCCGCCCTCGCCATGGACGACGGCACCCAGTCCGCCGCCGATAATCTCGGGCCCTCGTCCCTTTGGACATGCCATGTCGCCGGCGCCACTCAACCAGGTGAGGGGTCAGCGCGGTAGCACCAATATACCCCATCCGCGACCCCAGTGGCCAGGTGGTAACCAGTCACCGGCGCCCTACCAACAGGCACCGCCGCCGAGTGGCTACTACGGTGGAGTGGCAAGTGGTGGGGCATCGCCGGCACCACGTCCCTACCGACCGGCTCCCCTGCAGCACCAGAACTCGTATGGAGCCCAGCCGACCAGCTCGTTCCAGCTGTCGCCCACACCATCGCCCATCGTCTGCCAGACGCCGAGTTCGGACTTCAATTACAGCAACCGGCAGACGCCACTGTCGCACCACCAGTACCATCCACTGGGGGCAGCTCCACCGCCATTCTTCCAGCAGCAGCAGGGAGCCCCGGTGATTCCGCCACAACCGAGACAACATGGAGGACACGGAGGACACGGACTGGCCCAGGATCAGATCGATTTCGTGGGCGTGCCGCTGGAGCCTCCGCAACCTAAATCCTATGTGATTTACGATGACGAAGAGGAGTTCGGTCCATCGACAGCCGAAATCATTGCGAACCAATCGCAGGACTACGTCGACGAGAAGCTTGCCGAATATCAGATGACGATATTGCAGTTGCAAGGTGAGTTTCAGAAATTAAAGCTTGCACAAATTAGTATAGTAGTTATCATTTTGTCATTTTACAAAATATAGCATCATAGCTACATAATTTTTTATTTAATCATACTTATAAAAAACTAAAGATATATACATATTTATGATATACAAATTTTGAGGATAGGTTTTAGTTCCTTTAAGTTTGGGTATCTATAAAAACTTTGGTTTGTTAGGAATATTAAAGGACATCAATCAGGAGTGTATATGTACTTTTATTCTAAGACAAAACATCCAAGGAAAACACAATTTTTAAGGCACTTTTTAATAAAAATCAAATACGATTTAAAAGTTCCCAATATATCTTTTCTCAGTGCAGCTGAGTCAGCGGCATTCTAGAATTTTTTGTTAAGGTGACAACTATCAGTTGGACGCCCCTTCAACACACAAATAACGTGTAAAATATTTGATTTTCTCTTGGCAAAGCATTGAACTTTGTTGAATCAGAGCGTTTTATTTTTTTGTGCTGATGGGGGAAAGCGAATGTAAATGTCAACCGAACTTGACCCAGACAAGTTCCCCCCCTCCCCAACTCACCCCCTTCATCCGCATCCGCATCCGCATGCGGATCAGCCTCCTGACACCATCGCTCGAAAGTAGACTATGGCCCAGATTCTGTGGGTCTCTTTCACCTTTCGCTGGCGTAAGTGCCTTTGGTTCGAACATTATTTTGGCTATTTTGGTGCCTTTGGTGCGCTTAGCCAAAGGTAATGACATAATGTCGCCAAAATGGAAACGGAATATAAATTTGTTTGGCAATCGTGCAAATTGCAATCGCCAATACAGGCCAAACACATCGAATGCCAAATGAATCGATGAATTGTTATGCACACATATAGAGTGTATACATATATTTTCTTTTGCTCTCTAACAATTCGCAAGTGCTGGGTATGAGATAATTTGTTATTTAATATTTTGCACTTATGGTGGGTGGGTCTATATTTGCAAATTCAATTTGATTTATTTGGGAATTTACTTTGGTAATTTGTATATTTTAACACTTTTGCTTGGTGCAAGAAATATGTATCTTTCAGAAACTTGTAGATATATTATACCTCTTTCCTGTTACAATTCAAAAGATGTTTGCTGTCCAATAATATACTTCTTTTTATGACTTGCTGTATACACCCAGGACAATAGGTAAATCGGATTTCCTTTTAGCCACAATTGGTGGCACAAGTCGAATGTAAATAATTGAGCGGCGTGTGATCACGCTTTGTGTGTAGCTGATAGGCGAGGTTTTGAGCCTTTTGTTCAGAGTACTTAGCCAGATGAGTGGAACGGGCAATGAGATCACTCTTTATATTGAAACGCAACGAGTCTGTAGACTGTGCCTTGACTATGGGATTATTCGGAAAAGTTGTTTATAGACAGAAGCACAACGCAGTGCTGTGAATGCCTTTTCATGTTCCAATGGTGATGAGGCCAGGTCCGGTGCTGATGTCACAGTGGAAATGGATTCATTCTTTTATTTATACACTGCATTTGCTCTGTCTGATTTTATTCCCTTTGTCTTGTTAGGCCCCAAAGTTTCCCCCAAATACGAAAATTGGCTGCATCTTGATTCAGTTTTGGGCTAACTTATTTTTAGACGCTTGTTTGGCATGATTTAGGTTTCTCAAGGGATAGGAGACTGGGCTGGCTGTGCTATTTTCGTATAATTTTCTCGCCCTGCTTTCTGGTTTATTTTCAAATTTAGCAGCATATTTCTTTTTCTTTTTAGTTATTTTATTTTTTTTTCTTGGCTTGCTCTACTCGAACTTGTCTTGTCATGGCGAGAAATGCGATTAAAAATAGAGTTTGTAGAGTTTTCTGGGATTTTCAGCTGTTTCGTTTGGCTTCTTGTTTCTAGAATTTGGTTGTACAACATATGGACTCGTTTGTATATTTTCATAATACACGAAAAATTTACAAGAAAAGAAATTAGGGGGATTGTGGCTTTAATTATGAGAAAATCTTTGTATTCCTAAAATGTTTGGGAAAGAATTCAGTTTTACCAAACAAAGTCATATTTATTTATTTAATTTAAACTGAGAATTGTGTAAACATTCAATACCCAAATGGTTTTTCTCCCACAATCAAAATGATTAATTACTCCTAATAAATCTTTTTTACTGTGCTATATAGTCAAGCTGGCAGGTAATATAACCTATTTTTATTTTACATATTTTAGCTTAAATTCATTGGCTAGACTCTACCTTTAGTATAATCCCCAGTCATGTTTTAAGTGTTAACACGTTATTCTATGTGACAGCTTTGATTTAACGATATTATATAATACAACAAATCCCTTGCCATTAAAATCTGAAGGAGGAAAATCTTGAAATTCCACAATTTAATTTTTGATCAAAATGTTTGTTAATTTATTCGTTTCGTTTGCAAATCTATATTTTACAATAAACGTTTTGCTGAACACCCACGCGTCTCCATCAAATGGGAAACATATGAGAAATTTGCATATATTTCGTCGTATACGTAAATGTATAATTGCTATAAATAGGGGATTCTCGAAACTAATTTTATCATTTTTCGCACGTAAAAATCGGGCATGGATGATGATATCTAGACATATGCAAATGCCTCAACTCAGACAAATCAAAATTGTTGACAGTTGCCCAGTTCTCTTTTCTTTGTATTGCTTTTCGACTTTTGCGATTCCTGCCAGTTTCTTATAAGTAAGCGCATTCAAATATTTATGGCTAATAGTTTATATCGTTTACATAGCTTAATTTTTGTGCAAATAAACTATCTTGGCTGATCTTAAAAGGAATTCATAACTCTTTAATTGCCTCTTGAACTGACTAATGCCCCGGAACTGAAAAATATGTATTGGGCTATTTCACCAGATGAATTTTTGTTTAGAGAAGTGATTGTGATGCCTTGAAGTCAATATTTGAAGACCAAGAAGCACCGCTCGTTTGCCTTGCCATTAAACTGAGCTACTTTATGGTTAGGTGTGAAATAAATGGGGAAACATCAAATATACAAATCAACTTTTCGAGAGCGGAAACCGATGTTTATGCGAAATGTTTGCCCAAAAGTCGGTGCTGGAGAGGTTATAAATATAGGAGGTCTATAATTAAACACTGATGTAGATACTTGTGGAACTGGATCATGAGTCTTTATTCAAGGTTACAATTGGCCAAAGGAAACGTGATACAAAATTATTCAAACGAATGTGTTCTCAATAAATTTGGAAATATACAAAAAAAGGATTGATATTTTACTATTGAGTTCTTACAAATTATGTTAGGATTGGGATTTCTCCACTGATCAAAGCTGATAATTAAAGCATCCGTAATAAAACATACTTCCCCTCTTTTTATTTTCCTGTTTTTTTTTAATGGGAATCCATGGTTTACATATCTAAGTTACAACCGAATTACTCATGGCCTCTCAAGTGGCAGCCACTTTTCAATTTTACAACCCGCACAGTGGCTCACACCCAGACGAGCTCGTAAACAAAATTGGGCTGTAAAATAAAATTGAACATGTGAATTCTCTCATGAAGGCGCCACTTTGTAGTGCTTTTGTTGCCACTATTTTGGGGGCCAGCTGCGCCGACCACCAATGTTTACTTTCTAAACATATTCGATTTTTACATGATTTTTCAAGTGGTGGTCGAGTGTGTTTTGGTCATTATAATAGGAATTTAATTAATCATTATTATCATACTACTTTGGGGAAAGTACCATTTCGAGAGCTTCAAAAAAATTTCGTTTTGAGGTTTATTGAAATGATCAGAAAGAGCTGATTCATATAAAAGGATGTGTTCAGAACAACGATCTATAATATCTTTTAAAGATTCTTTTAAAGATTAAATATTTACAGTAGTGCTACGTTCGCTATTAATAATTTTAGGGGCTGTTAAATTGATTGCTTTTGAATTCCTTAATATCCGCCGACCTTTGTCCAGTTTAGAATTAAAAGTTGTCTATGAATAACAAATTAAATTGCGTTGCAAGCAAATTGCTTTAGGCCATTTGAAGTGCAACTTTAGATTTCAGGGCCAACTTCTCGTAGTGACAACAAACATATAGCAATATCAGATGCAATGCAATCACCACACCGTGACGTCATAAATCTAGTCTGGTTTGAAAATACACGGCAAAACTTGTTTATTTCTTTTTCGTGATTATGTAAGCTCCAAACACGAAGAAAAAACATTTGTTTTGGTTTCCATTTATGAATGGCTTTCATTAAGTGCCGCTGTAAGTCGAGCTTTGCCATGCGCTGACCCATATTTTCAATATTCCTCTCAATTGAAGTATTTTTTTTGTAAATGTTTGTAAGCGATCCAACGGGGTTGTTGCTTATAATAATCCATGTGGGCATAAACAACCACCAGCCAAGGGCTGTGTAATTGATATTTTCTCACGCTCCATGATGTCACGCAGTTAAACTAGAGGTGCAAGGTAAAGGTTTACGATTACAGACCAAAGTACTTGCCCATTTGAATGCCACCCATTCATGCAGAAGAGCTGAGCTCTTTAATCTCTCGGAGAGAGCTTACGAGAAATGGGAGAGCTGGGTCTTTCTAAAAGAGACCCGAGAGTAACTGTTAACATACCTCCCCTTATCATTTAAAATATTACCACTGTATAAAATTAAGCTTTTTTTTGCGTCTTTAAAACCTTATTGAATTTTTATGATCTGTTTAAAAATATAAAAATAAAAAAGGTGAGACAAATTAGCTGTTGCTTGTTGGAATTAATGTTTATATATTAAAATGAAGCTGTACATTTTGAGATTTGGTTGCGTGAAATAAAAGTTTATTAACTAAGTATCCGTATAAAATTTGAATAGTTTGACAATAAGCCATTTAAATTTATTGTACTGTTCAAGATAGCTTAGTATCCTTGTTTTAAGCCGAATTTACTTTAAACATTTTTCGTGATTCAGTTGTTCAATTGAGGAAACGGATTGAAAAGGTCATTTGAGCTGTAAAAATTTTGAACTCACAAAAATTTCTTTGCAATTAAAATGTTTTAACCGGAGAAGTAATTGGGGAATGGGAAACCCGCAACGTTGACCTTGTAAAATTACTTGGAACTACAAAGTTTTTCATAGAAAATGTCCTCACCCCCTGGAAAAAAGCCGGCTACAGCGCCACTGACCCTAAATAATAACAAGAGGTCGGTTGAAACTCGGTGAGTACGTGCTGGAGTGGTAAACAACATCCATCAAAAGGCGTACCAAATATTGCGTGTGCTCGCTCTCAGTCCGTTTTTCTCTCTGGGTTTATTTGATTTAGCTCTCCAACGCTCTCCCGATTTGAAAAATACCAACACATTGGGGAGCACAGACTCTGGAAACATGAGCTTTACTACGATTACTATACGCTGAGCTGCCGCTTCTCTCACGATTTTTTTTTGGACTGGACAAGGCGTAGCATATTGAACGTCGTCGGTTTTGGTTTGGGTTCAGTATCGAACCGGCTTTCTACGACAGCGGATTGGAATCGCGGAGCGACAAAGTCGCCGGGCGTTTAGTGATGTGATATAGCCGCCTGCCCACCAGGCTAAACAGAAAAAGTAAAAAAGTATAAAAACCAAAAACCCAATTCTCGAATGAGAATTAAGAGCGATTGTGTGCACAAATACGAATTTTCTTAGCCAACCGCGTGAGATAATCTCAGGTTGGCATTGTGTCTGAAACCCCTAATAAAACCCCAAGTGTTAAATATAATAAAAGAAGAAGAAGCGTGTTTTTGCTTTTAGGCAAATTAAAGTTGAATTACGTGGGCCGAAAGAAAAAAAAATACTGAAGGCCATTCAAGGGTTGTTCAAAGGAAAATTCGGCACTCGGCCTGGTGAAGAAAAGTCACGGTGTGTGTGTGCGTTGCGTGAGAAAAATCAATTCTGCATTGGTGGAAAACCGGAGGAGAGGAGGAGTGGGGAAAGAAACGAAAGGACAAACCTAAAGGCTGGTTTTTTCGGGCTGCGAAAAACTCGTAACCGATGACAATTTGGCTTGACGAGGGTCTATTAGCGAAATCAATGCCATTATGGCTGATAACGGAGGGCCAGGATCCAAGCACAAGGATCCAACAACCATAGATGCCGGCGGGGGAGTAGGTGGAATCGGAACAGGAGCAGGAGCAGGCGATGACGTGCCTCCAGTCCCAGCTGTTCGCCGGCGTCGCGCGCATGAGCAGAAATCCTCGAGAGAGCATGTGGAGAAAGAGGAGGTGCATGGTGGAGAGAGCCAACAGCTGGAGACGTCGACGGTGACGAGGACCTATATGAAGACCATCACCACCTCCCTGACCACCTCGAGCAGCTCCAATGTGGAGGAGTTTGTCCTGGTGGAGCCAGCAGCTCCATCGCCGAATCAACAGAGATTGCGTCAGAAGGTGGCCCAGTATGAAAAGGTCTGGTCGGATGGCTCTAATCCCGCGAAGCGACCCGCTGACCAGAGCTCCGATGAGCTGCGACTGGCCGACGACCAGGATGAGTACGATGCCGAGAATCCCTTCGAGATAGATGTCCATGAGATTGAGCGGAGACTGCGCCAGGAGCGGCAGCGCGGCCTGGCCGAGGCGGAGGCAGCCAAGCTGGCCTTCCAGCAGGTTCAACTGCGGCACACAACCCCGCCGCGCCGCGTGGAGGTCACCAGTGACCAGGTGGCAAGTCCCTTCAACGTCACCCTTCGCACCACCAGTCGCATGAGTCCCGGTGCCGAGCTAGGCAATGTGGAGGAGCATCTCGCCCCGTTTAATGTGACCCTAAGGACCACTCGAAGAAGCAAGAGGAAGGAGATTAAGGAACTGGAAAGCTTCCTGGAAGGAGAACGTACCGTGCGGGAGGTTCCATCTGCGGATGGAGTCAGGACCATCATAACCTCCTCGATGACCAGCGATGGCGGCTATGCCGAGGAGAAGATCTATCGCCATGGCGAGGGCTATGTCTCGCCCAGGGATTCACCGTCCTGGTCGCGTTCCAGTTACTCCAGTGAGCGATCCAGTGTGACGCCGCCGAGGAGCGTGGATTTAACCGCCGGCGGACGAAGGATTCTGATCAAACTGGAGCAGGAAAGTGAACTAATCGAGGCGGACAGCCAACTGAGGGACGAAACCGACTCGTTTGGTCGGCAGGAAGTGGCCATGGCAACCGGCAACATTGACATTACCGTCGGCGGTAGCAACCCCCGCCGGCGTTTGTACCAGCAAACAACTGTCCAGGTGGGTGGCGGCAACACCCCCGACGAGCAAACACCCCAAAGGACGAGGCCCAGGGACCTGCCGTTGGGCAGCACCACCGGCACCAGCACCAGCACCACAAAGACAATGCTAACATCCACGCCAATTGGCACGAAGGAGCAACCGCAAGCGGGTCCGAAAACTCTAGTTAGTCCAGCTGCAACGTGCCAATTGCGTGGTTCTTCGACGGAAGAGCCCCGGAAAATTGTAAGCCACAAAACGATAACCAGCACAACGACCAAGTCCACTTCATCCTCCTCGTCCTCGTCCACGTCGCGCAAATTAATCGAATCGTCGCCGGTCGTCGGGAATATCTCGCTAACACGTACGGAAAAGTTCAACGCCGGTGACAACGATATCGACATTGATAACGATTCGGACACGGAGGGCAGACCGGCCAGTAGTATAGTGATTGTGTCCACCCCCACGCGACCCACCACACCGGCATCCGCGTCCGCATCCGCATCCGCATCCGCAACCCCATCCGCATCCGTATCCGTGTCAGCTGCCCACGCCCTCAGTGGCATCGGCACTTTCAGCAAGAGTCTGCGCCAGGATTATCAGACTCTGGCAACGCAAAGTGGCCGCAGCAACGAATCCCCCAGCGACCAGGAATACCAGGAGTTCCAGTCCACCATGGCGTCCATTAACTACGCCCGCAGCAATTCCCAGTACGACAGCCATATCAAGGAGAAACGAGGTAAAAATCGGGAGTTATATGGATAGGATATCTCGGTAGATTGGGAAAAGATCAGTTTAGGGATGTTTAGATGTTTCAAGTTGTGTAAAAAGTATGTTAGTGACCTTTGAAAAAGTTTAGTCGTGACTAATGATTGTAAAACATAAGCGTTAACCGATTTAAATAAGAAATTTGATTTGAATTTTATTTTTTGTAACCCCGGCTTTTAATAACATTAATAGGAATGAAAAGGAAGCTTGGTTATTGGAGTAGTGATACTCTTAAAAATAATCTAGCTATTTTAGAATAAATTGATTGCAAGAATCGTAGTCCACATTCCTTATCTTCACAATTTCTCCAAGGTACTCCCCCATTTAGCCTGTTTTGAGCTAGATCTTATCTCTACCAACTTTATACCCCCTCCAAAGATAAGGGAAATTGCAATGTTCAGTTATTTTGCTTGTTTCCCTTTTAGCAACCGATACATCTATATAAGGCAAAGGTATTTAGAAGATCCCCTATAGATTGTCAAGGTCAGTCGGCGGTACTTTGTGGTTACATTTAAACAGAGACACATTTGTATGCTTAATTAATTATTACACAAAAACAATCGATAAAAGCAAAACTGCCAAAATGACATCACCCATCGCCTCTAGACGTAGAAATTCGAACTTTAACTTGTTTTTGCTGACTGTTTATTGTTGCTGTCGTTATAAGTCAGTCGGTCGGTTGGTCGCGCCCCGAACTTCTAACTGGCGATTTATATTATTTATATACTGGCGCACAGTGCGTTTGTTATGTATTCGCCGCATCGGCTGTTGGCAAGCAATTTGTTACCTCTTTCCTTGGGTCGAAAAGAATTTATTGGCAGCGAAAAGCACTCGAACTGAACTACCCCCAGTACAGGTTGATGGGGTTGGATTGTTGTCTATTATGTGACCTCCTCGGCTGTTATTATGTTAAGCACAACAACCAATTAAGTGTCTGGCAGGCTGTCTGTCTGTCCCTCCTCAAAATGCTGATCTGAGTGGATCGAACAGTCTGTCCCCCGAATGACTAGCGCAATTTTTGGGCCGCACTTGCCGATGGTACATACTTATCTACACATTGTACTATATGCAAATAGTTTCAGACACACATTTGTATCTTTAGATACGCCATTGCGACCATTTTGTGTGCATTATCTTTAATATATGCTGATTATTGGGGAAAGGTGCTATACGCACGAAATATATTCAATGGGAATTGATTTTCATGTTTGTCATTTCGGTTGCTGAGAGGGTTTTGTGGTTGCGATAAGGTCGGACAATGATGAATACGATTAAGGGATCATTGTATTTTTTTGAAAAGGTCAAGTGCAGCAATTACGATAACAAATTGAATTGTCGTTCATAATTTGAATCATTTTTTTGTTGATGTCGCAAATTAATTACTTATAATTAATTACACTGAGTAAAGGCAGCTTTTACTTTTTGTATTTTTTCCATATTGTGTAGTAATTACAATTTTTGGAAACTTGAATGAACTTTGAATGCTTTTTTTGCTAACAAGCTCTAGGTTGTACCTTTTGCAGGGTATCCCAAAAACCTAACATACTCCTTTAGTCATTAGATGTCTTCATATGACAATAAGTAAGCATAAATCAAGTTTGCGTGAGTTAAGGTATTATATTTCCTCTTCTCGGATCATCGTCAATGTCAGCATAACGGCTCGCTGTCAAATATTTTGATGTTGCGTGTTTCAACAAACTTTTCGACTGCCTCGATAAATTTGTTTGACAAAGCAGCAACATTTGCCCCAAATGTGCGCCATATAACTATATTGGCAGGCCCTGGGCACACATAACATCATATAAAGCGACATGGGGACAGCACTTATAAATTTATAAACCAGCAAAAGTACGTCAAGCGTTCACTAATTGATGACAGTCACATGCATATAGTATAGTAAACTATTGATTGGTGGCTTTTGACTTGGTTTCAATATATGTCCTCACTTTCCCAGCAATTATCATTAATGCCATTTTAATAGGTGCGCAAAAAACGGATGAAAAAACCAAACTCTTTCAATATTTATGATATATCTTGCGGTATATCAGCTATTGAGACGCATCAAGCCACATTTCAAAGCCGAATTTGACTGTGAATATGAATTATGAGAGATATTCAATGCTCGGATCAATGAAAACGAAAATGTTTTCAAAACAAAGTGGCATCTAGCGTTATCTCAGGCGATCTGGCTGATGAGTCCGTCATTGTAAGCAATCCACACAAACGGAACAATCCCAGCAGCAGCCGTACAACTGAGATCATCGGCGAGTTGTTTATTGATTCTGGTATAGTCGTTGTTGCTGACACTATCTGTCAGTTCTAATATTTATAGGGCATGTAGTTTAGCGGCTTTTAATTGATGCCTAAAATGCGGTTCAGAGAAGTTGAAATTTGAGCTGAGGTTTGTAAATTAAGAAGCGAATCAAGTTTATATATATAAAGCCTAACTTGAAGTACCCGCAAACTGCCACTCAGATACAAAGTTTGCTCTTAACCCATAAAGTATTGCCGTTTTTTGATGTGGGAGATTCCTCTCCATATGTTGCTCATGTGGAAAGGAAAATAAAAAATTTTAATTTCGTGGCTCACTCCTCCTCAATTTTTAGTTCTGCTCGTGGGCAGATCTTTTGAAGATCTCTTCTAGAGCTTATTTTCCTTTTTTCGTCAGGGCAAACAAATTATCTTTTTAAATTTTGTTGCCTTTTTTATTTTCTTTACCTTCTAGGTGCTCAATCATTAGGTTTTGAGTTTTGACCATCGGTATCTGTTGGTTTAGTGAACAGTATTAATGACATAAATAAATAAACATACGTACGCCATTTGATTTCGATAAACATACAAAGCACATATACTTACTAATGACGCAATCCCACCACTTGACTCTGCTTATTTGCATCTAATATTTTCGAGTAGCTGTGAAAAACTGTTTATCGGATGGGGGGTGGATAGTGGGAGGGGCTACCTGTCGAAGGCAATGGAGCGTAAAGTTAAGTAATGCCATTTATAAGACTCTTCAACATGTTGGCTACAGGCAATTTATGCGGGCTTTTCTGACATATTTGCTGCTCACTTGTCGCCGCAGGTGACAACGACAAGTGCAACTCGACACACCTCACTGGCTCTTTGCTATTGTGTTGAAATTTAAATTTAAACGAAATTTAAACAGTTGATATAATAATTATATAGCAGCCTATGCTGTAGTGATCATCACATGGTTGATTGCCTTTATGGAAGGTCAACATATTGACTAGTTTTGTTTATTAAAATACGAAAAAGCCTTATCAAATCGCCCGAACTTTGGAATGTTGTCAAATTAGTCTGAGACAGTTTAAGTTTAGATAATATATAGTTTTTTAATTTGAACTTTTTTTTGTGGAAGAATGCGCGATAGCAATGGCATTTCCGAAAAGATAAAGGTTTTAAAGAGCAAAAAGTTTTGGAAGAAAACCTACATGATAGTGTAGCTTTATGTATATTATCCAATAGGTCGTACCCCACATAATTAGGCAAATAAACATTACGTTTTGTATTACGGAAATCCCCCTGCTGTACAACCGCGAACATTTGATTCGACGCACTTCCGTTGAATAGCCAAACATATGCTCTATATCGTCTGCATTCAAACACACTCCCCTTAAACGATTCGATTGGCTTTTGTTTATGCAAATGTAGAGGAAGGTTTCTTTGTGTATTTGATGTTTTTTTTTTCCTTTGGGTGGAAAGCCCAAACAATTAGCTATGCGTGAAAGTAAATAAACTATTTTTACCGAACACTTCTTTTTTGTTCTCTCACTGAAACGGTGGGCTTCTTTTCTATTTATGTATAGTAACTAGGCCAACTCAGACAGTCGGGCGACTGAAGCTGAACAGATAGCAAACTGACTGCCCTTTCAGTACTCGACTTTTTTGTTAGCATTTTCAGTAATTGGTAATTATTTTTAACGTAGAGAAAAGCTCATAGGTTTCATTCATAAAACCGTAAAAGCTATTTCTAAGAACTATTTTTCACAAGTTCTTTTTTTTCCACTTGACTTTAGTCTCGCTCATTAAACAGTAAAAATAGCGAAATAAACATAAATAACAATCAACCGACTTATCATAATAATCACCATCATTAACTCACTGACTGACTGACTGAACCATTCATAAGATGAAGTAAAAAAGAACCGACAGCCGAAACAGTCAAAGGAGGAAAAAATAATTTACCGCTGTTGAAATTCTTTGTTTTCATCTTTGAAGAATCTATAATGAGTAATTCCCCCAGGGATCTTGTAGCCATTTCATACATCATTATTGAAATGGAAATTGAAATTAACGAACCTCAAAAGTCATTCAACTTGAACTTTACTCCCTGGCCTGAATTTGCCCCTTGTTAATTGTTGTACGCATGATGCGGTGTAAAAACCAAACATGTTTCTGAATGCTTTTACTTTTGATATTGGTGTTCGATTTTGTCTACAATTTTTGTGAGGGCCTCTGTATCTATAATAATTGATTGACTAAATCACTCAAAGTTAAAATATTGTAATTGACTTTGACTTTTATTGGAGCCCATGCGTAAAAGATCTGATTCTTGTTGAACTATTTATTCTTGGAAATCAGGAATATTTACCTATAGATAAACGCATTTGAAAACGCATTCGAATATTTGTGATTTTATTTTGGACGATTGATAATAAATATTACACAATGTTTGATTACCTTTACTCGCCACATAGTTATAGTTCTTATCAGACTCCTCAACTTCAAGTGCATTTTGCTATCATGCAATAATTGGCAAATATATTTGCTGATTAGAAAGTTTCTGTATAGAAAAAACAATTTACAAAAATTCACTTGATTTATGGCATACTAAAATGCTAACTAATCAACATGTGTCAGGCCATAACGTTTATTTTTGGTCAGGCCAAAACCAAAATACTACAAACATAGGCAACTCGTTTTATAAAGAAAATTTATACAGTTTGCCAAATGCGGTAGTTCAGTTAATATATACGCAAAGCTTTTAAGATTTGTTACCAAAAATATCAGGTTTACTTCAAACGAGTCTCTGAAGAAGCGTCTTTTTGACCAAAACAACTTAATTGTTTGCGAATGACAAACTTTTTGCAAATTAAAATAAATAAAAGTTTCTAGAAGCGAAATCATTTTGTAATTTTATCTTTTATTATAATATAAATTTCTAATTCGTGATCAAACGAGTTATTTTATGTTTTCCAAATTAAGAACATATATTAATATTGTGTGTACCTTAACGTAACAGGTTTATATAAAAGTTGATAAAAAATCAGGTTATTGTCAAATAAATTTAAAGCTAAAATAAATTTCGCTCTCTAAACACATACTTTAAACAAGGTTACCATAACGTAAAGGCAGGAAAACGTTAATTCAAATATATATATTGCTTATAAACTTATTCTTAAACATTTGTAAAATTTCTTTGGTCGGCAAGGGGTATAAATGCCACATTTGTGTTAATTTATTATGGGATCTGCTGCATCGAATTTTTACAAGCCATTAGAGCATTTTAAAGTGTCCGAAAGAACCATAAAAATGGCCATTAGATTTGACTTGATATTTTACCTTGCGTCAAGTTCACCTAATTGCATAAATTTGTGGGTTTCGCAGTCCCCGAATGTTGGCAATATTATTTATTTCATTTTAGAAAGATTAATATATATACACGACATTCGGTTGCTTTGCAAATTGCGCAACCTTGAACTAATTTCTATTTAAATACTCTTTTGTCAACATTTCAAAAATTGCGTCACTCAACTGGCAATAAGTGAATGAATATTTCAAATCTAAAGAAATGGAAAATATAAGAGACAAGTTGAGGGGATGATTTGAAATTAATTATTACAACTTGTGTGTTTTTACTTTGTAAATTGTTTTGATAATTGGCTGTGCATTTGACACATTCATGGCTACGTCGATTTATTTTATGTAATAATTCTTATTCCAAGCATTCTTCGTGTCTAACTGTAGAAATTTTCCATTTTCGAAAAAATAGTATTTCTTATTTATTACGGGAAATCTATTTTCGTTTCATGTTGCTGGCATGCGTTTGGCCAACTGCCAGGAAGCGAATAGACCACGCACTGGGCCAAGTCTTGGAGCTCAGTTCCCCATGGGCTGGATTCCGTCTGAGGGGAGGGGGGATTATGGCCAGACAGCTGCTAGCTGCCATTTTCATTTCCATTTCCACTGCACTTTTCCATAATGACTCTGCTTAATGCGTTGCTTTTTCGATCTCTTCTGTATATTTTGATAATTGTTTACAAATTGATGTTTTTAACGCTTTGTTTATTATTTCAATTTATCGGCCAAAGAATTAAATTGAGGTAATTAAGGCACACAAAAAATGAAAGAAATGAGTAAATATTTGGCTTGCCCAATCGTAGAATTCATGTTTACAAATTGCGGTCTACCTTTTTTGACGCAAAGAAAGGGTCAACGAATTTTGGAATATTTTGCGGGCATTTTATGGGTCGGTCTGGGACTTTAACGTTAATATTTATATGATTCATCAGAAAAGTTCTTATAACGTAAACATTAAAAAAAAAATAAAAGAGATTTTCCGGTAAGATTTTTCAAAGGGATCAATGGATGCTATATAAAATAAAACAAATCAAATACCTACTACATTTTTTAATTTACCTAAATTTATTAAGGAAACTTTTTGCGATAATATCGCGAACGTAAACATGATGTCATCGTCTTAATTTCGTTAATAATAGCTAGCTTAACTGATAATTCCATTTAAACAAACATCAGTTGTAGGAGCAGGTAAAACCGAAATGAAAACGAAAAACCTGTATTTACCCTGTGCATACCAAGAAATGTATCTTATCGGTTGGGCTCAGTATCTTTGGTAGTATCGTCATGTCTGCGATTCGCCTTTTATGTCTCGGCCGTCTCGACTGCCGACACTTGTCCAACATTTAATTGCAAATGTACGAAATGTATTCCTCATTTACTGACATTTACCTTTTTCTCTTTATTTTTCATTTTCAGAGGAGCAAGAACGTGTGCAGAAGAAGACATTCACTAATTGGATTAATTCATACCTATTGAAGGTGAGTTTGTCTTGTCTATCCGCGAAACGTCTCAATCGATCCGCCTTTCGTCTTGAGAGTGCCAATGAATTTTGTCTACACCAAGTGGCATTGGAATTTGCATATAGATTTGCATGTGATAAACCAAGCGTGAGAGGCTTTTTTGCCTGCCAAAAAAACTGAACAAAACTAACCCACAACAAAATGGGTCAAGGGGCGTGACACGTCCATCACTCTAAATACAAAATCATAAATTAAGCGTGATAAGTGCGTTTAAGCTTTTATTTGTCGAGTAATTATGATGGAATAATAAGCGAAAAATGGTTGTTTAGAGAGATATCAGATTCATGAATCCATGAAATTTGAAGGTTGTTTTTGGGTTTGTCATTGTCAGCGAAAAGTGAAAAGATTTTGGGAGCTTTGAACCTTAAATTTAAGATTTTTTAAAATAATATTCAATGCGTGTTGAAGTTATAGGAATAGCTATAAAAATACTGTATTCGGCCCCTTTTCACTCGATTTTGTTTGTATTATAATTATGTCTTCTCCCAGAACTACAATTTTAACGTAGACAAATTCAATAGAATTCTTTTCAAATATTTATTTAGCTTCTGTGTTTTTGATCTTTTATGATTACCATATAGGCGCGCAGAAATGTACAAAGCCCACCACTTCCCTCATTAGCATATGTGTGTGCAAATATGTACATACCTCCAGGTTCTGCACAAACATTTGTCATGTCTGAGCATATTCGAGTCACTCTTCTTTGCTGGATAGCTTCCAAGAAAATTGTGTAAGTACACGCACCCAGCTTCTACCAATGCGAGATATTCCTCAAAGCATTTGGCTAGGTGCTCTCCATCTTTATCCACTTCAGCCTTTTAACAATGCAAAAAAGATTGAAAGAAAAGTGGTTGAAAGAAATCCAAAGAGAGGCAGAAGTTGACGGCTGTCTAACCGAAGTTGCCTGAAAGCGAACAACCAGAGAGTTGCATTAATGCCAAACGTATCGCTCAGATAGTTCCGTTTCAGGCGGGGATCGGCTGGTGGCTTCAATTGCATTGCCATTAACCCGCAAGAAACCCACGCGACGCCTACTGACTTACTTTCTTGCCCCGAACGGAGGTGATTTAATGCACTTTTCAGACTTTTCAGACTGCTCAGATTGAGTGAGCCATGTTTCGTTTGGTGTCTCTAATGTGTTATCTTTTAATACCAACGGCAATCTGCAGACATGAGCCGGCATTTTTTTCCTGCCCACGCTACTGTAGTCAAAAAATTAGTAGTTATTTTAAAATTTATAATTTGAAACCATTTTGAATATTCTGTATAAAAAAAAGTGATATTAAAAATAATGGTAATTTTTGAGTATTTTTCTAATAACTAATTGGAATAAAAGATTTGATATTATCATACACAACAATCATTAACGTTACTACAAAATGGACATGAGTCTGAATAAGTTCTCATTTAAATACTTCTTAAATGAATGTCAGAAATCATTTAAATACTTTTAAATAAATATTGTTAAAGTATTTTTATAAGAAAAATCTATTTAAATTAAGTATAGCACTGTCAGTATTAGTTTGCCCCCTGTTGTATACGAATGCTTGTACGAAAAACTGTTGCCGGCCGGCCGGCAATTACTCCAATACAATCCAATCCGGGCAGCCATTGAAAACCAGTTCCTCGACTCAAAAACTCAGAGACTGCAGCTCGATAAGGCTGCCAGTCGGATCCATGGCAAATAAAAGGAGCAGCAGACATGCAAGGCTCTCCGAATTGATTTCCAGAATGCGTGGGCTCGGCTTCCCTGATTGAAGTCATATTTCAGTCGTCCAAGGAGCCGGAGATGCAACATCTACATCGGGTTATGCAACAATATGCAAATGAGTCACTTAATGTGCATAATGACTGGGCAAATTGCGTTTGCTGTCGGTGCCTTTGCAATTGCACAACGATTGGTTGACACGTTTCACTCCTAGCAATAAATAAAATGGCAAGAAATATATTACTGTTGCTTTTACTAATAAAAAGTGATTTATTTAATTTGTGTTCACCTATTGAGGCTTCGTTAGACTTGTCAATTAGCAGGCATCTTTCGTTTTCCATATTGTATCCAGCAGATACACACTCGACATGACAAGTAAAAAGTTTGATGGGGGAGCTCAACAAAATTTGAACTGATGTTTGTTTTATTTCAAGCTCAGTTCAAGGTGAACGGGGTTTTTATTTCGTTTCGTTGGCGACCCAAAAACCCGCTCTGGACGCTCGCTTTTCATGGAATTTGATTAAAATTTATGAATTAATTTATACGCTTGAACCAGCATGGTGGGTCGCAGTGACAAAGCTCGCTGGATGTTCAATTTTTTAGTCACCGTCCCCATATGCCCAGTTCTCCACACCCGTTGGCATTCGTTTCTTTATGACATAATTGATGGCAACGCCCCGGCACGAGTCGTGCCCCCATCGCAACTCCCGCATGGGAATCCATTTCACGGAGTTCGCATAAAACCAAAGTGAAAGGATCAAGCTATTAGAGGTGATTAAATTAGAAAGGATTCCATGGCGGGAAAGTGGGTTACGAACGCTGGGGTAGAAACATTTGTCAGGTGCTCATCTAATTGTGTTGGACAGGCGACAAGTGAAAAGATTAGAAAAGATTTACCATCCTCTTGGCACTGAATCACTCAGAGTCACGGATTATGGTTATGACTGACTGCTTTGAAATGTACGATAAATAACTTTACACTAGAAAACAGTTTCTGGGGTTTTTAAAAATGTTAAGGGGTTTCAGATTTAAATTTTATATAAAGTATGTAAACTAAAAGGATTTTGTACTGGAGATAGAATAAAACGTTTGAATAACTATAATATCAAACTTAGCTGTAGGCCACACGAAACTGACACTAAATATTCCATCAATTGAACCACATAAATACCTGCACCACCCTCTAGATTTGAGAGAACATTTTTAAGCACTTAAACACTGTACTCACCCACCTACTTATCAATTTAATTTAAGGTAATTATAATGGTGGGCGGTTTGATCAAGGCAAGGTAGTCATTTTGCGATTAGCTAGTAAGACTCATCCGCAATGTCATGTTCTAGGTATATTAAGTACCTCTGAGGCGCCCAGGCAATGGCTGTAATGACATATGTTGGCCCGAAATAAACAGCGGAAAGACAAAAAAAAACTTACATATAAAAACGCCATGACACCATAAATTCCGGAACTAAATGGAAAAAAAGAGGCGTACCTAGTGGAACAGGAAACGGAAGTATTGAAATTGATTTCGCTATGTCTGTTCTGAAGGAGAATTCACACAAAAATGAAAAGTTTTTGCTGGAAAAACTTTTACCAAGCATTGTCATTGTCTTTTGCATGTTCGCAACAGTTGAATAAAGTTTTGCAGAAACTATTTACCCACAAGAAAGCTCAATTAAATGCTACACTCAATTACAATGAATTTTCCTCGCTTTGTACGGTTGTTTGTTTGTTTGTTAGCTTTGTTTGTTTTTGGTGCCACTTCCGTTGCTGCGGCCTTAATGGCATTACCTTAAAAATTGTAATCTTTTGCGGTGAATTCAAGTTAAATGGCTGCTCGTGCCATTTGCCAATTTGTCTTGGCTCGCACTGAAGTATCACAGCAAATTATCGCTATGGCAAACAGCAATTTAAACTATTTTAATTGATTTAATGCGCCTTAATGTTGAACGATTCCGTGAGCTGCATTTGATTGATTAACCAAAAATAAACTTATGCAAAACCTGAACGACCGTATAAAAATTTACCAAAGACGAACCATTAAATCTGTTCATTGCACCTCATTAAGTGTGTTTATTTGCTTGGCTATGAGTGCATAACGCGTTCATAGTGGCATAATAGTGAACATAATATAGTCATGAAAGTGCTATTAAAAAGTACACCAGAAGGCACTTGAAGGCAATGGCCGGTTACTTGGCCCTACTTAAGTGAGAGCTCGTAAAATGGATTAAATTTAATGAATTAAATGGGGAAATTTTGATTAGAGATTAAATATTATTTTCCACGCATTTTTACTTTAAAGGTGGTGTTACATAGATTAGATTATGATTAAAAACTCAGACTATTTTTTAAACAGCGCCAAAGCTTTTCTTTTACCAACACTAAAATGTTCTTAAACTGTAGGTACTTTTAGGAAATCTTATTTACTTATGTGTAAACTTCGAATACATAGATTGTTTAGTGAAAATTGTTAATAATAATATCTTCTTAATTAAATTATGTTTGTGTTTATTTTTAAATCTAAAACATGTTCCCTTAATGACGTTTCCTTAGCCACCATATTATCACCACTAATTCCTTAATTTGCTTTCCCATTTCAGCGTGTTCCACCGCTTCGTATAGATGATTTAATCAATGATTTACGCGATGGTACCAAACTAATTGCATTGCTCGAAGTTCTGTCCGGCGAACGTCTGCCCGTGGAGAAGGGCCGCGTTCTGAGACGTCCTCATTTCCTCAGCAATGCCAACACGGCATTACAATTTTTGGCCAGCAAACGGATCAAGTTGGTCAATATCAATCCCGCAGATCTGGTGGACGGGAGACCACCAGTTGTGTTGGGTTTGATATGGACGATCATCTTGTACTTCCAGGTAAGCATGCTTATATATTTAATCTTACCCAAAACACACCGAGTGCACCAGTTCACGAATTGAGAGCACCACCAACAAATTGGTTGCTAGTTGTACACCTTCTCACGAGGCTACCACCAGTAGAGATGTACACTTGAAGTCCAAACCCCACAAATTTTGAAACTTTGAACGTAATTAACCCTATGAACCTTCTTTTTCTATATACTTTATTGATATCATAATCTTTAAACGTACACAAGCTTCGTAAAAAGAGGCGGAAAAACTTAGTAGTAGTTATAAATTATGCGCCACAGGTGGGTCCAAGTCGAACGTAATTGTTGTTTTGTCGTGTGTACCTCATATTTTTTGGGTAGAAAATCGTTTTTAGTTGGTAGCCAAACCTTTTAAGGCACTTCCATATCTTAAGTTCAACCATTACATTACAATTGCATGCGGGAAGTATTGAATTTGTATTAATTCAATTATGTATTCATAGATCGAGGAGAACAGCCGCAACCTAGAGTATTTGGGTCATGGTATTGGCGGTTCGGTTAGTTCCCTCGACAGTGTTGGCAACCAAAAGCACGGCGATCTAAAGGCTGAGAAATGGAAGCAGGGTGCCAGGAAGACCCTGCTCAACTGGGTGACCAATGCCTTGCCAAAGTGAGTCCCTCAATATTTTGGCTTTATTTATGACAATTAATTTGCGAATCCCAATCCCACAGAGACAGTGGTGTGGAGGTGAAGGATTTCGGAGCCAGCTGGAGAGATGGCGTCGCTTTCCTCGCCCTTATCGATGCCATCAAGGCGAACCTGGTCAACTTGGCTGATCTGAAGAAGACCAGCAACCGTCAGCGCTTGGAGACTGCTTTCGATGTGGCCGAAAGCAAGTTGGGCATTGCCAAACTCCTGGACGCTGAGGATGTGGACGTACCCAAGCCGGATGAGAAGAGTATCATGACATATGTGGCGCAATTTTTGCACAAGTATCCTGAACCAAAGGTGAGTCTAAGTCACATGGAAATATTTTAACAAATAATGGAATTGGTTAAAGTCAAAAACATGAACCAATAGGAACCCATTATTCCTCAAAATTGTAGATAACTTAAAAAAGTACATAACATTTCGCTTTACTGACCATATTTATATTTTTTAGGGTGCTTCACGCGACCAATCGCATGTGCAGCAGGAAGCGGACGAACTGCGTCGCTTCCTGGTGGAGAAGACAACCGAGTACGAGCCCATGGTCATGATGAGCTCGTTCCCACGCGATTTTAGTGAATACTTACTGGCACGTTCGGAAGTCGATGCCCATCTGGCGGCATACAACCGCCTGAAACAGCTCATCGAGAGCCAGAGCGGATTCCTGCAGGTCTCCCGCCAATCTTGGGAGGAGATCAACGAGCTGTGGCAGCGCCTCCAGTACCAGATGATGTACTGGCTCTGGCTGCTGGACTCTGAGCTGCCCGGCGACTTTGGCACCGTTGGCAAATGGTTAGCCGAAGCAGAGAAACTACTAATGGACAATGATATACCCAATGCAATGAACGAGGAGACGGCCGCTGTGATCAGCAGGAAGCTGGAGGAGCACAAGCTCTTTTTTGCCGATCTGCCTCGCATTGTGGCCATGTTTGAGAATGCCAAGCGGTCACCGCTGGCCCAGCAGATTCCCCTGGAGCAGTTGCGCAACATGGAACGACGCCTTCAGGAAGTCGGACCGAAGGCAGCGGAGCGCAGGATTCGTTTGAAGTTCCTGGAGCACAAGTGCTGTCTGATCGCCTTCTTAAATCTTGTGGAGAACAAGATGCGCGGCTGGACTGGAAAGTACGGGCACGAGGAGAAGGTGGCCCAACAGCTGGAGCAGTACAAGAACTTTGTGTCGCGCAACAAGATCTTCCAGGAGTTCCAGAAAGCCTTTGTCGATATGCAACAGGTGGTGGATGAGTACAAGCGTGAGGGCAATGTGCCGCGCAAGGAGATTAACGAGATCGATCGCTTTATGTTCGAAACCGAGGAACGCTGGAAGCGTGTTTCCATGGAACTCAAGTGCTGCCAGAATTCCTTGGAGGAAGTGGTCAACTGCTGGCGCAGCTGGAACCAATTGGCCCCCACTTGTGAGGAGTGGTTGCTGCTGGCCGAACAGAAGGTGAACCAGAGCGAGGATGAGCGTCTGGACTTTTTCCAGGATATACCCGTGTGGAAGGACAAGTTTGATGCCCTTGCCAATTCGGCTAACTACTTGATTGCCTCCTGTGAGGAGCCCATTGCCCAGCAGTTGCGTCAACGACATGGAGCTCTTTCCGAGCGATTTGAGCGTTTGTTTGCCAACACCAAGCAGTACATGCATGCTGGAGACATTATCCGTTCCCGGCAGGAATACAAGTCGGGCATAGAACAGCTTTCCCGATGGCTGCGAGGTGCAGAGAGCGTTTTGGACCAGCGGCAAGTTCTTGGCAACAGTGAACAAATTAAGCAGTACGGCCAGCAGTTGCAGCAATTGGCCAGCGAAATCGATGACAACGAGGAACTGTTCAAGACCATCAGCAGAAACTTCCAGTCCCTGATACAAGATCTTTCCCGCGACGAGGTGGACAAGATGATGAAGCTTCTCAAGCAAGAGAAGGAATCGCTGGTGCGCATACGTGCCCAGTTGCCGGCCAAGCTGCATCTCTTCCACCAACTTCAGATTCAACAGGAATCTCTGGAGGCTGGACAAAAGGAAATCCATCAGTGGTTGAGTGAGGCTGAACAGCTTCTGGGAACCCATAACCTTTCTGGAGGCCGTGATGCCATCAATGAGCAACTCCAGAAACACAAGACCTATTTCTCGCGCACCGTCTACTATCGTTCCATGCTGGAGAGCAAGAACAAGGTGTTCCAAAACCTTCTGAAGGCCGTGTCTTCGGACGACAAGATCGACACTGCTCCTGCTTCGCAGCAAATGCAACAGCTGAACGAACGCTTCAACTATGTGATCCAGAATGCCCAGCAGTGGGAGCAGCGCTTGGACTCGGCAGCTGGTGGATGGATCAACTTCAAGGACAACGAACGTGTGGTCAGCGAGTGGCTCACGCAGGCGGAGTCCATGCTGGTGGAGAAGCACATCGAATCGAAGACCACAATCGAGACGCAGAAATACTTCTTTGAGCAGGTCAACGATCGCTGGATGAACGATCTGGTGCAGTCGGCCCAACAACTTCTGACCACTTTGCCCGCCCAGGAGCAACCTGCAGTGGTTCAGAGCGTGGAGCAGTTGCAATCCCGCTGGAAGAATGTGCTATCCCAGGCTCCATTGCACTTGCTGAAACTGGAGTTTAGACTGGACGAAAATGCCTTCTATCAATCTCTGAAGGATGTGGAGAAGGAGTTGCAGCTGGAGCAGCAGGCTCTCAATCGCAACGAGGATGTGGACTCCATTCTGCAGCGCAACCAGCAGTTCCTCCTCCAACAGGATGTGGTTCCCCGCCTGGAGCGTTGCCTTCAAAACATGCAACGATTGGCTCATGCCCACAGGCAACAACAGCCCGGTGACATTAGTCTGGATCAGGCCTACGACAATGCCAAGTCCCAGTGGCAACTGTTGTCCAACAAACTGGGTGACATGCGTCAGACTCTCCAGCAAATCCCAGCCCAATGGCAGGGATATCATCTGAAATTCAACGACATGGTCGATTGGATGAACGGTGTGGATCAGAGTCTGAAGAACATCGTCAATGAAGTTAATACCATGGAGGAATTCGAGAAGGAGAAGGTTGTCTTCCAGGTGAGTTAAACAAACATATGTTTTCACCTTTCCATTTCGCTCATCCCTAAATAATCTTCTCATTACCTATCACGCATGCATTAAGCTGAGGGAGCTAGTGGTAACTAATCTGCTTTTATATAGAATCAAATATCTAATACCGCTGTGATGCCAACTGCTTTTCTTAAATTAACATTTAATTATAATAACAGAATGAGCACACTGGCATCACAGTTAATTTCTAAGCCCATACTAATTAAATATTATTTATTTGTAACAGAAAATCTGCCAAGATGCTGACAACAAACGCGAGGATATGAAGTGGCTGGTCAAGACCTTGGACTCTCTTCTAAGTTACGCAACCGAAGATGAGGCTAATCTAGAGCAGAAGAAGCTGGAGGACCTGATCGCTCGCTACAAGAACCTCATACCCACGATTGAGATCACCATGGTCAAGACGGAAGTGTTCTCCAAGTGCTACACTTACCGCAGGGAAGTTCACGAGGTTGTCTGTCTGCTAAGCAAGGTCAAGGATCAGACGGCCAATATCCCAGCTCCCGACAGCCTGGAACGAGTGAATCGTCTGATTGAAGAGCAGCAATATGCCATCAATCAGCTGGATCACCAGCGTCCCCACATCATGTCCATGCTACAAAGAGGACGTGACCTAATCAAGGATGTGCACGCCCCAGCCTTTGTGAATACTGATGTGAAGAATCTGGAGACGGGATGGAATCAGGCTTACACTGAAACTTCTGACAAGCTGCAGGCCCTCAAGGGCACCCAGGCTGTGTGGAGCGACTTTGTGGACCAGAAGAACGACATCTTCTCCATGTTGCAAACTGCGGAAACAGAGCTTCGTTCCCTGACTCCACTGCAAACCGATCCCAAGAACGTCAGTCAGGACTTGAAGTCCAAGAGAGATCTGAATGTGCAGCTGCAGCAGGCTTCCCATCAACTCCTGCCTAAGTTGCATGCTCTCAAATCAGAACTGGCTCCTCTGGCTGCCGCCGACAAGCGTCCCATCCTGGAGAAGGAAGTGACCGAGGTGGAGAAGATGTTCTTCAACACCATGGAGCATGTAAAGGATCGCGTGGGCTATCTGGAGGACTACAGTGCCAAGTGGAATAACTACAAGACACGCCTAGCCGAGCTGCAGGAATGGGCCAATAAGGTGGCGCCAAAGAACATCGAGGCCCTTCAGTCCGAGGACCTCACACCGGAGGAGCGAGTGGTCAAGGTGCAGGCCTTCAAGCGCATCCTTGGGGATCGCATGAAGCAACTGGATCTTCTGGCCGCCGATGCCTCCGAATTGGCGCCCAAGGAGGGCAACATTGCCGAGGCCAAGCGACTCAAGGGCGAGATCACCAAGCTGCAGGAGGTCCTCAGTGCCATCAACCGCAACGTGGACCACCAGGCACAGGCTGTGCAGGAGGATCTCGTCAACTGGCAGCAGTTCCAGGCCGGTCTGCAGCAAATCAAGCCAGCCGTGGAGCAAAGCGAAGTCAAGGTAAATAATGTAGTTTCTAAGCCCATCTCCCTCGAAGAAGCCGTTGCCATGCAACAGAATGCCCAACAATTCGAGACACAGTGCCAGGAGCAATTGGACAAGCTCCATGGCATATCAAACATCAGTCATAAAATGTTATGTAAGACCAATGCTCCCGACGAATTGGACGCCATGCACTCGCGTTGGTCGGCTGTCCACGAGAACGCGAAACAGGCGAGCGCCAAGCTCGAAAAGTTGGTGGGCAATTGGAAGTCGTTTGACGCCGATGCCGCCAAGCTGGAGGATTGGGTTGGGCAGGGCGAGCAGCTGATGTCCAGGCGACCAGCTGTCCTCAACACGCCGCACATTGACAAGCTCGAAAAGGAGCTGGTCAAGCTGAAGTCCTTCAACAACGAGATCTCGCAGCAGCAAGCTAAGCTCGTAACTCTGGGTCAAAATGCCGATCAGATTAGTTTGCACTTGGCGCCCGAAGGCGCTGCCGCTCTTAAGGATCGCGTGAACCAAATGAAGGGCAAGCTTCAGAAGCTCTCGGAAGCCACTCGCGGCCACATCAACGAAGTGTCCGATGCCATCATTTCCCGGCAGGACTTCAATGCCAAGTTGGTGAACTTCTCGAACTGGATGGAACAGCTGCGTAACCAGGTTACGCAAGTGGAGGAAATCAACCCGGAGCGTGTGGAAACCAGTCTGCATGTTATCCACGCCCTTCTGCAGGAACATGCCGATAAAAAGCCAAGTTTCAATGCCATCTACGATGAGGTTAAGCAATTGGCCTTGGGAGCCACTCCCGAAGAGTCGAATGCCCTGAATGATGCCTACACCGCTTTAGTGGTTAACTATCAAAACCTAGAGACCAACATGCTGCAAAAGAAGGCGGCTCTGGAGAAGTGGACTGAATTGTTGGGCTGGAAGAACGACACGGAGTCGCATTTGAACTACTTAAAACACCAGCTTGACAAACCGGAAGGACCCGCTGCCGAGGAGCTGACCAAGGTCATCGATGAGATCGATAATTTGGGTCAAGGCATTGGGTACTGGAAGGGTCAGGCCAAGGAGATCGACGAAAATCCAGCCATTCAGTTAAGGGATGCTCTGTCCCGTCGTCCACTGATTGCCACCCAAATTGTGAATGATGTTGAGAACAAATTGGAGAACCTAAGGTTACGCTCGCAGAATCAACAGCAGCAAATCCAACAGATGACCGTGCGCAAGGACAAGTTCCATGCGCTGGAACACAACTTTGGCCAGGCGCTGCAGGAGAATCGCGCCAAGCTGGACGAGATTCTCAGACAGCATCCGACGCTGAACAACATCGACCAGATCATTGCCGATTTGGTGGCTCTGAATGATGCCCTAAAGTACCAGGCGGATCTGAAGAATCGCATTCATGACGAAGGTTCTTTGCTGATGCGTGAGGATATTGCCAGCATGCCTGCCATTCAGGAGAGTCTTCTTGTCATGGATAAGAACTATGATTCGCTTCAAAACGAGATTGCCGATCGCATACAGAAATACAATTTGATCAGCCAGGCATTGAGGGAGTACGCCGATTCCAAGGATAAGTTCTCCAAGGAGCTGAAGAAGGCAGAAGATTTGTTTAATGCCATACCGCAACAGCCACGCGATGAGACTGAGCTCCATCAAGCTTCCGAAAAGACCAGAAAGACCATGGAACAGTTGCGCAAATCCAAACTCTGTTTGGATGAACTAGAGCGGCGGGGCAACAATGTGGGAAAACTGTTCAGTGCAATTGGAGAGCCAATTCCCCAGGAAGTGCCACAGGAGGTGACAGCAGCCAAACAGACCTGGCAGGATCTGCACGACAAGACGGCCAAGAACGCCCATGTCTACGAGACTGAAGCCGTGATTTGGTCGCAGATCGAAGATGCCAAGAAGGATCTGCTTCCCTGGTTGTCGGAAACCAATCAGGGACTCTGCGATGCTGCGGATAACTCAATTGAAATTGAGTTTGGACCCATGCGTCTGAGCAAATATCGCACCGAGTTGCCTTCCTACCAGGCTCTGAAGGATTCGATTGTAGAGAAAACAAATGATTTGGTCAAGATCAACAGAGGCGCGGAGATCCCCGCCCTATCTGCACTCAATAAACTCCTGACTGATCAGTTCGCTGAGGTGAGCAACAATGCTGATCGCTTAAGTGCTGTCACCACTTCGTTTAATGATCAGGAGCAGGAGTTGCGCAAACGCTCAAAGGAAGCTGGCGAGCGGGTGAGCAAACTGCGTGAGCAGCTCATCAAGTGCGACGACATGTCCGGTGATAATAACAAGATCATGGAACGTTTGCTGCAATGCCGCGCCCTGCGTGGCGAACTTGACAATAGCGGCAATGAAATTGACAACATTAAACAAAAGGTCGACGAGCTGCGTAATCTGTATCCCACTTTCAGTGAGTCCATCATACCGAAGGAACTGAATAACGTGCAAAAGCGCTACGAGAATGTTGATCTCTATGCCAAGAAGATCGAAAGTTCTCTGCTGCAGTTCCTTAAGAAATTCCACGCCGATAAAGTGGGCATGCTGAAGCGCCTCATTGCCACTCAACGCGAGAAGGTAGCTTGGTGTCAGCCGGAGTCGTCCAGTGACAAATACAATCTGGACGTGAAGAAGTCCTCGCTACAGGAGGTCAGCAAGAGCATTGATGACTGCAAGGCGAGACATGCCGAAACACTGAAGTCACTGGAAATGCTAAAGGCTGTCGAATCGCCACAGAACCTGGCTGAACTTACCAGCGATGCTGAGCTTCTACGCAAGGACATGCAGGCCCTTCAGGATAGCTTTGACAAAATCAAGGGAATCCTCGACGAAAATGTAGATTTGTGGTCGCAGTATGAGCAATCGAATGAGCAGATTTCCAACTGGCTGCGTGACGTTGAAGGAAGGGTCAAGGCAGAGACCAGCAGCCAAGTTAATCTACCCGAGGTGCCACAAAAGCTTCAGGAATTGTCTATACTCCAACAGGATGTCTTGGCTCATGAGCCCATCATAAATAACCTGGAGCAAACATCCCAGCAACTAATTGAAAAGAACCCGGAGGCGAGAATTGGACAGTTTGTTACCCACTTAGTGCAGCGTTATCAGGCCGTGGCTAAAGCTCTGACTGGCTACATAGACAAGATCCGTAGTGCTCAGTTATCCAATGCTAACTTTGCCAAGGCAGCCAAGGACTTCAATGAATGGTTCGGCGATGCCAAGATCGAATTCCAGGAATTGGCACGCATGGGATCCCCTGGGTCTTCTTCTGCCACAGCTCAACAGTTGCAAACCGTCAAAAACTACATCAAGACCTTTGACAATGGACAGATTCTGTTGAACAACGCTGTGGACATTGGTGAGGCCCTCTATCCGGTGGTTTCCCCCGACAACCGCGAACGCATCCGTTCAGATCTTCGCCAAATGCGTGAGAAGTTCGATTATCTGCGTGATGAGGCAAATGCGTTTATGCAGCAGGTTGAGGGTGTTTTGATTCAAAAGACCTCGATCGAAGAAAGCTACACCCAGGTTTCGCACTATCTCAACGAATCGAAAGCTAAGGTTCCCGCTGGTGACGAATTGTACCCAACTCTGGCCACCAAAAAGGCTGCTCTGCAGAATTACAAGACTCAGCTGCAGGAAATAACACTTCACAAGAACGCCCTGAAGCAATTGCACGACAAGGCTGTGACACTGTGTGATGATGAGTCGGAGAGGAAGACCGACGAATCTATCCAGGAGTATAACACACTCTCCAAGAAGATTTCCGATAGGATTGCGACCGTGGGAAATCATGTGGTCAAACATGAAGCATACGATCAAGTGCTTGAAAAGGCACAAGACTGGTTAAATACCATTAAATCCGAAGCTATTGACATTCTCAACGAGACTACTTTTGAGAAGGAGGGCGCGGAGGAAAAACTTCTTGTGGTGGAAAATCTTCTACAGCACAAGCCCGAGGGTGATTCCATTTTCGATACCTGTCACAAGTTATTGGAAACGGTGCTTACACAAACCCATCCCAATGGCCATCCAGCTCTGCTCAAGGGTTTCGAGGAACCAAAACAATCTTGGGAGGACTTCATGACGCTGTGTCAGGACTCGGCGGTAAAACTAAAACAACTCTGCTCCAAATGGGATGAGTTTGACACGATCATAGAAGAACTCGATAACTGGATGAAGAATGTGGAGGCTGTTGTAAAGAACCAGAACCTCAAAAGCACAGCGGAAGCGAAGAATGCCCACTTGAAGCAGCTCCAGGAAATTGCCAAGGATATTGAACGCCGGGGATCGGCCATCAATGATCTGATGGATCAGGGACGTGAGATCGAAGGTGAAACCGATTTGAACCTCAAGTTGTCCCGCCTGAATACTCGCTATCAGACCCTGAAAAATCTATGCAAGGAATCGATAGCCAAGTATGTGAACTATGTAAAGGATCACGAGAGCTTCGATAACGATTTCGATGCATTCAAGCAGAGTCTTCAGTCTTCAGTTGACGAGCTATCCAAGGCCAATGAGATTGTGGGCGATCAAAGCGTGCTGCAGGATCAGCAGAACAAACTCCGCGAAATGTCCGACAAACGCATTTCGGATTCCACTCTTTTCGAGGGCCTCATCGATCGGGGAGAGAAGCTTTATGGTCACACCAGTCCGGAAGGTCGTGAGATCATTCGCCAGCAATTGCGTTCTCTGCGCACGCTGTGGGACAACTACACTGATGACTTGAATTCGGCCACACAGAAGATCGATCAGTGTCTGCTGCAGTTCAACGAGTTCAGCATTGCCCAGGATCAGCTCACAAAGTGGCTGAAGGATGTCGACAAGGCCATGCAGAGCCACACCGAACCAAAGACTACGCTGCAGGAAAAGCGAGCCCAACTACAGAACCACAAATTGCTCCACCAGGAAATCACCACGCACAATGTTCTTGTCGATAACGTCTGCGACAAGGCCCAGATACTGGTGGATCAAATCAAGGATAACTCGTTGAATGTGTACCTGGCCTCGATTAAGCAACTTTTCCAGAGCATCGTCCAAAAATCCGATGAGATCTTACACAACTTGGAGGATTGCGTTCAGAAGCACAATGAATTAAACAATGCCTTGTCTTCGGCCAAGACGTGGATCTCGAATGAGAAGGCCAAGTTGCTGGAATGTGATGATGCTTATGGCGAAAAAGCGGACATTAAGCGAAAGATCGAAACGTTGGGACAACTGGCTCAGAACAAACCCCAGGCCATGAAGTTGATCAGCGATATACGTGATCTATTTGAGAAGGTGAAGGCCACGACTTCTGAGAAGGGCAATGAAGTGCTGGACAAGGAGATCGAGGAGTTGGAGACCACCATGAAGAGCCATTTCGACGACATCGAGGGCATTGAAGGCAAGCAGAGGGATGTGCTCGCCCAGTGGGACAAATTTGAAAAGGCGCTAGAAGAGCTGACCAAGTGGTGCCGCAATGCGGAGGCTGTATTCCGTGAACAGCAGCTTAAATCGACGCTTCACGAGAAAGTGGAACAACTGGAAAAGTACAAGATCCAAAGGGAGTTGATAATCCAAAAAGAAAAGGAGGTCGATGCCTTCGGAGATGCGGCCCATGCCCTGCTCAACAATTGCGGAGCCGATCGCCTAAAGACACTAACCACCCAGGTCACCAATCGCTATCAGCTGTTACAGGTTCTGAGCAAGGAAGTGGTCAACCGCTGGTCCAACCTTGTCGATGACCACCAATTCTACCAGGACAAGTACAACGAGGTAGATTTGTGGCTGCAACCCATTGAAACGCAAATGCAGAAGGTGCTATTGGATGAATCCACCCAGAGTTCAAACATCCTGCAAGTGCTGCTGTCTGAAAAAGAGCAGGCAGAGGGCCTATTCGCTGCTCTAAATGCAGCTGGAGAAAAGGCTTTGCCAGAGACTTCAACTCAGGGTAGGGAGAAGATTCGCAAGGACTTGCGTGATATCCGCGATCGTTGGGATAAACTGGATGAAGGCATTCGAAATCTGGAAAAACGTCAGGAGGCACAGGGAGTACAGCTCTCCAGCTACCAGGACATTCTTAACCAAACCGTCAACTGGTTGGATCAAGTGGAGAAAGTTATTCACAATGAAAACCCAGCCAGCTGGACCAGCGCTCAGGAAATTCGGTCGAAATTGTACAAGTACAAGGCCACAAACCAGGACATCAATTCCCATAAACGCATCGTCGAGGCAGTAAATGAAAAGGCAGCGGCCCTTTTGGGAAGCGCAGCTCCTGCAAATGCGGATGAGATTTCCAAGGCAGTGGCTGAGGTGAACAAGCGGTATGATCAAGTGGGTCAGGACTGTGCCAAATTAGTGGCTGATCTTGACGGAGCATTCGATGTGTACCAGCAGTTTAGTGAGCTGCAAAAGGCTCAGCAGGATTACCAAAAGAATCTTTGGGATCGTCTCACCGGTTACTCCGACTACTCAGGCAATAAAGCAGCGCTACAAGCTCGTCTCCAAAAGATTACCGAGATTCAGGATGCTTTGCCGGAAGGTGTGGCCAAACTCAAGTCCCTGGAAGATCACATTGAACAACAAGCCAGCAATATTCCCGCCCGATCTAAGGACGCAATGGCCCGTGATCTGGCCAACTTGCATGCTGATTTTGAGAAGTTTGGTGGCTCTTTGAGTGACGTGAAGAGTGGACTAGAGAATCGTCTTCAGCAATGGAATGATTACGAAGTCAACTTGGATCGCCTGATAAATTGGCTGGGTGAGGCGGAGAATGCTCTGAAGAACTACAACCTGAAATCGTCGTTTGAGGAGAAGGAAGAGCAATTGAATCGTTTCCAGTCCCTGGCTCAGAACTTGCGTCAAAACGAAGCAGACTTTGACAAGATGAAGGACGATACCTCTGAGCTGGTGCAAAGCTCTGGCGAAACTAGGATTGCTGTAAATGTGCAGCAGGTCTCTTCCCGATTCCAATCGATACAAGCTACCGCTAAGGAGATTCTTAAGAAGTGCGAGCAGGCTGTCCAGGATCATGGCCACTTCAACGACAAGTACAAGCAGTGTGCGGATTGGTTGGCAAATGCCCAGGCACGTTACGATGATTGCTGTGACTTGTCCACAGTTGCATCCCGTGATGACCTACTAAAGAAGCAATTGGTTATCCAGGAGCTCCTGGCGCAGCAGCCAACTGCTACTCAGCTTCTTAACAGCACCGTTGAACTGGGCGAGAAGTGCTACGGTTCCACAGCGACCGAAGGACGTGATGCCATTCGCAGTCAGCTGGATGATCTGACCTTCGATCAATTGTTTGACAACATTGCCATCACAGCGAGGAAGATTCAAGATAAAATTGCCAAATGGTCTGGCTTTGATGAGATTGCCGACAATCTGAAGAGCTGGTTGGACGAAACAGAGAATGCACTTCCAGCGGATATTGAGCTGAAAACAACACTGGATGAGAAACGGACTAAACTACAAACCTATCGTGACATCCTGAACGACATTAATAACCACCAGGTGGAGTTGGGTAATCTTCAAGAGATTGCCGCCAATTTGCCGGAGAAGACGGACCTTGTGGACCAAATCCTTAAGGACATTTCTGATCGGTTTAGAAAGCTGCAAAAGCGTGCCCAGAACTACGTGGAGCGGTACGAGGGTATTGTGAGTGCTCATCAGCAGTACTCCAAGGCCGTGATGGACGCTCAAGAGTTTATCGATGCCACCCTAAACACCGTCCACTATTGGGGCGATTTGGATCTGGAGCAGATCTCATTGCACACGAACCTCGATCGCCTGAAGAATCTTAAGGCTAGTTTGGCTGATGAATTCCCGCGAGTTGATCAAGTCAGGGCTTTGGGCGAGAAGGTCATTCCGGGCACGGTGGATGTGGGTCAGGTGAACATTAAGTCCCAGATTGACACCACCCAGCAGGAATGGGAGAGTCTACTGGCCACCATCAGCTCCACCATTGAAGGTATTGAAGCGCGCTTGCAACATTGGTCGGAGTATGAACAATTACGCGATCAGTGTCTGGCTTGGATCCGTGATACCGACAACAACCTTCACGCAATCGATCTTAAGGAGGATCTGCCAAAGAAGCGTGCTCAGTTGGATGCACTGAAGGCTCTCCAAGGAGATGTTCGCGCCAAGGAACTGGAGGTTGATAATGTCACGGAAAAAGCACAAACCCTGCTTAAGGGACCCAGCAGCAATCGAGCCTCGGGTCCTGAATTGGTGACCAAGTACCAACAGATCTTCCACAAGGTTAAGGAACTGAACAACCGCTGGCAGCAGTATGTTACTTCCCACGAAGACTTTGACAATGCAATTTCAGACTGTTCCTCATGGATCAATGACATCAAAGAGAAATTGGACTACTGCTCTGACATGTCATCTATGAGTCCGAAAGAGCTGGATAAGAAACTGGCCACTATTCAAGATGTTATCTTGCTGAAGGACGAAGGTTCTGCTCGTGTCCTGAAGATCCTGGAGCAGGCTCAGCATGTGCTGGCTAACACGGCTCCCGCAGGTCATGAGGCCATCAACAAGGACCTCACAGATCTTCAGGATCTTTGGTCAGGAATTGCTCTGCGCATCATGGATGTTAAATCTAATCTGGATGACTCGATTACTCAATGGTCAGGTTTTCTGGACCAAGTGCAAAATGTTCGCAAATTCAACGAGTGGTTGGATGGCTTGGTTAAGGAATTAAGCGAACACCAAACAACTATGACAGAGAAGCGAGCTCAGTTAGATCGGGTTAAATCTACGGAGGAAAAGGTGCGCGTGGAGAAGATCGATGTGGATGCCCTTAAGATCCAAGCCAAGGAAATGATTGCTAGCGGTCAGCAGAGTCAGGCGGCCTTCCAAGCTCAGAAAGTGTTAGATACGTTTGATGAACTTTTTGCTAAGACCCAAAAACTACTATCAGATCGCCAAGATCAGTACAGGGATCACCGAGTCTTTAAGGAGGGCTACGATGATTTGGTTAGCTGGATTGGACGGGCCCGCGAGAAATTCCCTTCATTGAAACAGAGCAGCTTAAGCGATAAACTGGCCATCGAAAATGCTGTCCATGCCACGGAAGCTCTTCTCAACAAGCAGGCTCAGGGTGAACTCCTGGTGGAGCACTTGGTCCACACTGGAGAAGTGGTGCTGGCCAGTACGTCTTCTCAAGGTCAGGAGATCATTAGGAATGACATCCGAGCCCTGCGCGACAGCTTCGAGGGTTTGTTCCGTGAAATCAACCAGCAGAAGGAGAACCTCGAGGTCACCATGGTGCAGTGGCGTGCCTACAAGGAGGAGTATGAGCGGCTGATGGAATGGTTGCAACAGATCGACATCCTTGTAAAGAACCACAAGCTTAACCTGTGCCCCAACCTTCCCGATAAAGAGAAACAGGTGGCTGATATGAAGGAAGTGATGTCAAGGCTTGAAAAGGGCAAGGATGACATTGATAAGTTCAATGCTTCGGCTGCCAGTCTTTTGAAGTCCCACCTGGACACTTATGTGAACAATCAGCTAAGGCACTTGGGTTCCGTCTATCAAGTGCAAGTAAACCTAGCCAAGGATGTCCTCAAGAAAGTGGAAACCAATCGCGATCAACATCGTGAATACGATGCTAATATGAAATCAGCCAAGGATTGGATTGCCAATGCTAAAGCCACTATTCAATCGGCAGGCGAAGGAGCTGGCTCCAAGGAGGCTCTGCAACGGCGCCTGGAGCAAATCCAGGATCTGATTCGCAACCGTGAGCTTGGTCAAAATTTGGTACACACGGCTATTAACAATGGCGAAAAGATAATCAGAAACACTCGCTCCGATGGACGTGATGCTATCAACAGTGAAATGAAGGAACTCCAGACCGATTGGGACCGCCTGGTTAAGAAAATGTCCACCGCCAAGGTGCAATTGGAGACGAATCTGTTGCAATGGGCAGACTACAGTTCTAGCTACTCGCAATTGCAGCAATGGATTACCGATAGGGAGGCCAAGTTGCAACAGGCCTGTGAGCAGAAGATCGTTAAATCCAAGCGTGGTCAACCCGGTCTCAGCTGTGGCTTAAGCGAACGCAAGGCCAATCTCCGCCAGACAAACAACATTGTGCAGGATATAGTGTCTTTTGAACCCATGATTCAGTCGGTTACATCCAAGGCTTCAGTTCTCCAGCAGGGTGCTCCAGGCACTGAGATATCGGATAAGTACGAGAATCTTACCAAACAAGCCAAGGATCTGTATGAGAAGCAGAAGAACACCATTGAGAGCTATCAGTCTTTGATTGATGCTGGTAATGAATTTGCCACCTGGCTGAGAAACGCCAAGGAGCGTTTGAGCAAGTGCTCTGAACCCACGGGAGATAAGCAAGCTCTGGCCGAGAAGACCCATCAACTAAAGATTCTGCAGGGTGAGCTGCCTGAAGGTGCTCAGAAACTGAAGAATGCTCTGGAGCAGGGCGAGATCGCTTGCCGCAGTGCAGAGCCGGAGGATTGCGAAATCATCGAACAGGAAGTGGCCCTTCTTCAGGAGGAATTCGATGCCTACAGGGAAGCCCTTAATAAGGCTAAGGATTATCTAGAAGTGGGCATTGTCAAGTGGTCCGACTACCAGGATCAGTACACTGAAGCTTTGGAGTGGTTGAGCAAGACCGAAGCCTTGGTGCAATCGTACAACAAACTCCAAGATAGTTTGATCCAAAAGAAGGTGGTCCTCGAGCAATTCCAGGGACATCTGCAGACCCTGTTTGACTGGCAGAAAACTCTGGATGACCTTAACATGAAGGCCCAGGTTCTCCTGGAGACTTGTTCCGACACAAGAATCAGCAATGCCATCATGCAGTTGACCACCAAGTACAATGCTCTACTGACCCTGGCCAAGGAGGTGATGCGTCGCCTGGAAATGCACTACCAGGAGCATCAGCAACATCACAGTCTCTACGAAGAGTGTCAATCTTGGATTGAAAAGACCCGTGAGAAGCTCGCCGAGTGTGAGCAAATACCCGGAACTCTTAGCGAAGTTCAAATCAAATTGAACACTGTGAAAAACCTTCGTCAAGGTTTCGAGACCGGTCAGAACAAGTTGCGTTATCTTTTGGAACTCAAGGAGAAGGTGATAATGAACACCGAACAAAATGGAGCAGCCAAAATTCAGGAAGATACCGAATCCCTGAAGCAGGACTTTGACAAACTGTTGGTGGATCTCAACGATGTTCGCCAGAAATTGGCCAATCGTCTTGCCCAGCTGGAAGAGATCTTCAAGCTTTACAAGATCCTGGTCGAATGGCTGGAGGATGTCGAGCCGAGTGTCAAGGCCAGCGATGAGTACCTCAACGATTTAAGCGAGAAGCGTGCGGCGCTGGAGAAATTCCGCGTCATTCAACGTGACATCAATGGACATAATGATATTGTGGAAAAGATCAATCAGCGTCTTAAGGAGGATAACAGCTTGGATCTGAATGACTTCCAACCGGGTCTGGGCAAATTCGATGAGCTGCAGACGCAGGTGAACAAGATCATCGAGTCACTGGAGAACCAGGTGAACAGCCATGAGAAATACAAGCAGGCCTACAATGAGCTGCAGGATTGGCTGCGTCGCACTCGCATCGAAGTGGAGCAGTGCGCCGATTGTCATGGCGAGAAGGATCAGGTGGAGAGTCGTCTGAATCGATTGGGAGACATACAATCCTCTTCCTTGGAGGGCAAATCCCTGCTGGAAGCTTGCGAAGAGCTCAGCCAGGCGGTGATTGCCACCAGCGGACGCGAAGGCCAGGACAATGTGGCCCAGGAGATCAAGCATCTCACCTCGGAGTGGGAAACCCTCCAGGCTATATCCCGCGATGCTCGCAGCAGTCTTGAGTCTTGTTTGGCTGCCTGGCAGACCTTCCTGCAGAAGTTTAACAAGATCAACCTTTGGATCGAAACGATGAGCAAGCGCGTTACCAAATCCCAAGAAGGCGAGAACAAGAACCCCGAAGATTTGGTTAATGCCAAGGTAAGAAATCTTCGTCAAGTCGAGATCTCGCAACTGTCGCACGCACCTCTAACAAAAAAAAAAAACTACTAAAATTGTAATCGAATATTATATATATATCTAGCCAAAGCGCGCACGTAAAGTAGAACTCTCACCGACAACAAAATTTGTATCTAAATACCTCGTACCGTGAGAAATTAAATCATGTACTAAAACCACACTAATCACTACCGCTAACTTTTCAGCTAATCACTTTGTAAACTCAATTGCAGCTAATCATTTACACAGACTCTTGTCTAATGCCTAATTGCTTTATGTGCTTTCAATTGCCAGTGTTAGATCATGAAACTAAAGTCCTTGTCTTTCCCTAGAAATTGCTTGAGGAAGTGCTGGCCGAAAAGGATAATGTTGAGGACCTGAACGATAACTGTGAGCTGCTCATGGAGCAGAGTGCCTGCACTCGCATTCGCGATCAGACCATCGAAACTCAGGCCAACTACACCAAGCTTCTGACTTCCGCCCAGGGATTGGTGGCCAAGATCGAGAAGAATTTGTCCGATCACACGGAGTTCCTTAACTACAAGAAGGAAATGGACGCCTGGATAGAGAAGGCCCAACAGGTCCTTGATGACTGCTCCACCGAAGGCGATGCCGCAATCATTGCCCAGAAACTGGATACCGTCAATGTAAGTTATGTTTATTTATAGGAATCATTTTTATAAACTTTTTAAGATTTTAAATTTTAAAATTTTCATTTACTATTTGAAACCTAATACATATTAATAATATTTATTTAACAGTCGTTGGCTTCCCGCCTACCCGAAGGACAGCATCTGTTGGCTTTGGTGCAGGATGCCTATTCAAAGGCCTCGAACATCACGCCCGAGGATAAACAAGAAAAGCTACGGGAACTGATGACCAAGGTTCGTGAGGATTGGGATGCTCTGGGTCTGGCGGTAAAGGAAAAGTTGAGCGACCTGAAACAGGCCCAAAATCGTTGGAACGATTTTGCTGCCAACAAGGATAGACTTGAGAAATGGCTGAATGAAACAGAGAAGACTCTTAAGGTGGCACCCGAAACAAAGGGTGAACTGAGCGAAATGAAGACTTTACTGGAGCGCTACAAGACCCTTTCGAATGAACTGAAACAGAAGGGTAATGAGCTGGAGCAACTGCAGTCGGAGGCTCGTGATTTGGGCACCGAAGTGGATGCAGTGAATCGCCTGCAATCCCGATGCGACAAGCTCAAGAACGATTGCTCGGCTCACATTGCTGCGCTGGAACAGGAGGTGTTCGACTATAATGCCTATCACCAGAGTCTGCAGGATGTGGAGAAGTGGCTGCTGCAGATCTCCTTCCAGCTGATGGCCCACAACTCGCTGTTCATCTCGAACCGCGAACAAACCCAGGAGCAGATCAAACAGCACGAGGCCTTGTTGGGTGAAATTCAAAAGTATCAGACCAATTTGGATGACTTGAATGCCAAGGGTCAGGCGCAGATTAAGCGCTATGAGAGTACAACTCCGGCCATTCGTCCCACTGTCGAGTCCCAGTTGAAGAACATCCAGGACAGCTATAACTCCCTGCTGCAAACCTCAGTGCAGATAAAGAACCGCCTGCTGGAATCGCTGGCCAAGTTCCAGGAGTACGAGGACACTCTGGACAGCATTATGCGTAATCTGGAGGCATATGAGCCGATCATTCAAACCGAACTGGATGCCCCGGCTACCAGTCTGGAATTGGCTCAGAATCAATTGAGGTGTGCCCAGGAAATGCAGAATAAGCTGAACAATGAGAAGTCCAGATTGGCAGCCGCCGTTCAGGCCTGTGAGGCAGCTACTGCCTCCATAAGTCGACCAAGTTCTCCATTGGAAACCGCCATGCAGGCCATTCCTGAAAGGGAGCTTATTGTGCGCGCCAAGCTCGAAGATCTGCTGGATCAGGTAGGATAACGTTGAATCCTTAATGCATTTGTAGTCTTGTTATCACTTTTAGTAGTTCAAAATGATGTAATCACATTTTTCCAAAATGAATGGAAGGTTATATAAGTAGATCTAATGCTGCCAGCTTTATTTATCTTAATAGTATTATTTTGCCGATTTCAAAAATATTTTATGAACCTTTTCTTTTAAAAAAGTTTGTTATACAAACACTTTCACATAAGATTTCCTTTTAACGGAGGTTTCCCTCCTGATAATTTTTATAGAAATAGTTAGCTAGATTTTTTTATATACATTTGTACATCTTTAAACTGTTTAAATTTGTTTATATAATTTATTGAAAGCCCATAATATTTTAAAACAACTTAGTGAGTTTAGTTTTTCTAAAAGATTTTCTATATTCTTCCATTCTGTTTTTCTTTATTTGTTCTCTTATTTTCTAACCAACGTCTTGTTCTTTTTATTAATCCCTTAACCCTACCAACCCAACACTGCTCTAACTTTTGTTGATTTGCCGCACTCCCCGTAACTGTTGTAAAATGCACAACCCAAAAAAAACACGCTATGCCTCGTGCTTTGCTGCATATAAAGAAACCGCCTCCAAAGACTCAGAGCTCAACCGGAGATGTTAACAAAGGTGATGATCAAGACGACGATGATGTTGAGATCCAGGTTGAGCTCAGCGATGTGAATGAGGCGCTTTTGGATCCAATTGCCCACGAGCGTGTCAGCAACTATCGTCGCATAGTTCGCCTGAACAGCGCCCATGTGGGCAAGCTGAATGAACTAGTTGCTAAGGTAAGGGTTATCCCTAGTTGGAATCGAACAGGTGGCGGACTGCATGGCTACAGTATTTACTATCGATTGCTTGATTTTGTCGTTATAACTTACTTATATTAATTTAATTGCTAATCAATGGGGTGTTTCTTTCCGTTTAGGTGCAATCCCACTTGGGTGGTTTGACTGCATCCGTTAGCGAACTGGAGCAACAGCAGAAGCAGCGCGGCGAGCTGCAGGATTGGGTGAAGAAGCAGCAGAGCTCCGTCTCGGATTGGCTGATGCGTCCTTGCAAGCTGCGTCCTGAGGCAGCTCAACAGGAGCTGGTATCCATGAACGATTTGTTGAACTCCATCGGTGACAAGAGATCGCAACTGATGTTGGAGATGACAGGATCATGTAAGTTTTAGATGTAGTAGTTTTTATTTTCATCCTTAGGTCAGTCAGGAATCTGAAACCATGCTCAAACTTAAGACCCTCTTAATCAAATTAACTTTCATTTATCAAAATACTAGTGGGCGATGAAGACACCGATCTGGATGACAATATTGACAAGCTGGAATCGGAGCTTATGGACGCAATTGCCAAGAAGCAGGCTGGCCAGAATGTGATCGATGGCTATCGCCAGGGAATGGCGGATGTCCAAAACTGGTTCGATACCCTGATCAAGCGAATGGATGTTTTGGATCGCGGATCGGGCTTGAATTGTGCCCAGAAAACGGCGGCCATAAATGAGATCAAGAACGAGTACGAATTGCAGGGTCATCCCAAGATTCAGGAACTCAAGGGCAAGGCTTCCCAAGTGGCAGAGGTCATCAGCAATCTAGATGGTCAGCAGGTTGAGGAACAAATGAAGTCGCTGGACCGTCGTTTTGCCGATCTTGGCAAGCGCATCGATCGCAAGGCCCAACTGCTGGATGTGACCAACAAGGGAGTGGAGGGAGCCAAGGGCGAGATTGATCAGCTCCAGAATTGGGTGAAACAGCAGATCGAGGAGCTGCAGGCCCCCACTCCATTGGGCTACACACCCAAGGATGCGGAGGCGCGCCAGCAGAAGATAAAGAGCCTGATGAAGGATGCCGAGGCCAAGCAATCGTTGGCCGATGTTTTGGAGAAGCGCGTGGCCAATATGCAGCAGGAGTTGGAACCCGTTGAATACTCCCAACTGGAGTCCGCATTGCGTAATCTTAACACAGAGAATCGCAATCTATCGGGCGTACTCAAGGCAGAATTGGATCGTGCTCTGGAGGCCAGCAAGGCTCGCAAATCCCTGGAGAATGATCTGGATAAGGCGCGCCAATGGTTGAAGACCAAAATCTCCGAGGTGCGCAAGTTGCCGGTTTATCATCCACTTACCTCCGCCGAGATCGAGAAGAAGATCCAGGAGAACCGGAAATACGATGACGATGCCAAGCAGTTTAACGACAGTGTTTTGACTGATGTTCAGCGTCAAGCGGCCAACATAATGAAGGATTGCGATGATGCCGATAAGGCTGCACTGCAGCAGATCCTGGATGAAATTGCCGCCGATTACCAGACTCTAAAGGATGAGAGCGGCAAGAGAGGAAAGTCCCTGGACGATCTCTTGCAAGGTCGCAAGGCATTTGAGGATTCGATGAAGAACATGGGCGACTGGTTGAACGAAATGGAAACCGCCACCGAGGGTGAGCTGCGTACCACCAGTCTTCCTGTTTTGGAGGAGCAGTTGGCCCACTATAAGAAGCTCCTCAATGATGCCGAGAACAAGGGAAGCCTCATCAACGATGTTTCCGAACAGGGCAAGAGCATCCTGCCCACATTAAGCAATGCCGATAAACTGAAACTCAACGATGACATCAAGAACATGAAGGATCGTTATGGCAGGATCAAGAATACAATCGATGACCGCGTGAATGCCTTGGGCGATCACATTAAGAAGTACAAGGATGCCAAGAGCAGGTTGGCCGATTGCAGTCAGTTCTTGGGCACTATTCAGCAGAAACTCCGTGAGCTCAACCGACCAATTGGCTCTAGGATCGAAGATGTGCAGGATTTGTTGGGCTCCTATGAGGGAATACTCAAGGAGCTTAAAGACAGCAAGAGCAAGATGGGCGATATGCAAATGGACGATTTGCCAGAGCTGCAGAGCATTTTGGCCCAACAGGATGATATGATTAAACTGATAGAAGATCAGTTGGCCCATCTGCGCCAGCTTCTCATGCTCCGCGAGCAGTTTATTGCTCTGATCAATGAGATCATTGCCTTTATCATGAAATACACCGATGTCATAATAGATATTGAAAACTCACCTGATAGTTTGGAGGATAAGATCAATAAGTACGACGATGTCATTGTGAAAATCCAGGAGTGCGAGGGTGTCCTGGCCTCCGCCAATGACAAGGGCCAGAAGATCGCCTCCGAAGGGAATGCGGCCGATAAGAACAGCATCACCGAGCAACTGCAATCCCTGAAGAATCAACTACAGAATCTCCGCAAGGCCGTGGAATCGCAGCGCCAGAAGCACCAACTGCAGCTGGAATCGCACAAGAAGATGGCCGCCGAGCTGAGCGAAATCCTCGATTGGCTGCACAGCAACGAGGGAGCGGCCAAGTCGCGTCCTCTTTTGGATCGCGATCCCGAATCTGTGGAGCGCGAGCTTCAAAAACACCAGGGTCTCAGCCAGGACATTCAATCGTATCTGAATAAATTTAACAAAATCAATGATGGTGTTAAAACTGAAATTGGCATGCCAAGTTCCCTGCTGGAAATGCTCTCCGAGGGCAGATCCCTGGTGGCCTCCCTGCCCCATGAACTCGAGGAGCGTGAGAAGTATCTGAAGAACAACCGCGACTCACGTTTGGAGTACATGCAGCTGGTGGCCAAGTTCAATGATTGGGTCCATGAAGCCGAGTTGCGTCTGCAGAATAGCCAGCATGGCATTGACTACGAACACTTGGTTCAGGACCTCGATGAACACAAGATTTTCTTTGGCAATGAGGCCCCCATCCGTAATCTGGTCCACAAGCAGATCCAGGAGGCAGCGGACAAGATCTGGTCCTCGCTGAACAACTACGAACAGTCGGAACTTTCGGCGGAGTTGGCCCAGTTCCAAACCAAGTTGACCAACACACTGGCCAGTGCCAAGACCCAGCAGAGTGAATTGGAGAAGGAGGCGGAACGCTGGCGGGAGTATCAACAGTCCATTGATCGCGTCAAGGCCACCATCGAACGCACCAAGTTCAGCGATGAGCCCGTCCAGAATTTGGCCGGACTTCACTTTAACATCCAAAAGCTGACCCACGCCATCGGAAATGTTCAGGTGAGCTTTGGGTACATTTTTGGGTATATTCTGTCCGTTTTTATTTAATTTAGACTCTCAGTTTTGGATGAAACTTTGCAAAAAGTCATTCATTGTTTTAGCTTCATTGTTTTTAAGTATCAAAATCGAAATACAAATTATTTAAATAATTTCGGCTTGCCGAAATTCCAGCTAAAATAAATTGTTATATAGATGGTTCTTAATTTGTATACATAGTAGGAACGTCGGTATGTAGAAAAATATTTTAAAATAATATAATATTTTAATAATCAATAATAGGTATCCATTTTAAAGCTGCATGAGCATAAGTAAACTCATATTCTTATTACGAGCGACAATAATACCTTTTGACGCACATACTTTTTATTCTCGTAAGGGTTTATGTACGCTGTTTTAAAAATATGATTAAATGAAACTGTATAACATTTGAAAATAAATGCAAGATAATAAAAGTATTGAAATGTTCCCCAAAAATAAAAGAGATAGGATTTAAGACGGCAGAGTGCGAAATATTCCTCCCATATGTGATTAAGTTTTAAATGCAACCCCACCATATGGAAGTATGTATAATATGCTACTTTTGTGTGTATTTAAAATAGCCATGGATATTCAGCTGTTCGCTTGCATGCCTTGTGCATATACGTGTGTAGCCGAAAGACCTGTTTTCCAAAAAATGACACGTTGCACAAGGATGTGCCACAAACATACATATGCGAATGTATCCACTTAAGAGCCGCTTTTTGGAGTGGAACCAAAAAAAAAGAAAATCAAAGTGCATTCGTTTTGCATTTCGTAGTCATGGTTTTGCCGGCCGGCAAAAACAAAAAGCACTCTCAGCCACTTACAAACTCACTTTCAATTGCATTTAAGTGCGATTCTCTTAGTTTTCCTCTCTTTTTGCCATATTGGTAATCTCTCTCTTTTTATTTGGGTTGATAGTTGTTTATTGAACACGTTGAGTGCCCATTTGTTTACTTTCGTAAGCTTTTACCTTGAAAACTCATTAAACTTTTAACCTACTAGTTCACTAGTTGTCGTTGTGTTATGCTTATCGTTCAGACTTCCAGTTCGATTATAATTATTCAAGGCACTAGCTCGATTTTTATGCTCGGCAACTGGAAAAAACAGCTGTTGTTGTTGCTGCTGAATTAAGCTCATGACATCATCATCAGCAGAAGCAGCAACACTGTATCAGGCAACCAGTTTTGAGCCAGGGATGGGATAATGTAATATTTTAGATCGAAATACAAAATATAGATATATAAAGAGATAGATAGATAGATAGATATTTTAGATATATAGATAGATTGATAAATATATAGATAGCTAGTTATATTGATATATAGATAGATAAATATATAAGATATAGTAGTTATTTAAAATTGTACAGAAACAATAAGTTTTTAAGTCAACTAACTGGACAAAGTTTGAAAAAATAAAATAGACCTCTTCCTAAATTTTTAGTTTTCGGCTTCAATTACAAAATACTTAAGTACCGATTTAAGCGCAAAAGCTGAAATAAATATTTTCTAATATTAAAAAGTTTGACAAGTAAAATTTCCCTCTAAAGTCTTAAAACAATGTAATAATTTAAAAAAACATTTTTTTTGTTGTTCATGCTAGAAATATAGCCCTGGTTTCCCAGTGAGATATTGAGATACTTCAACAAGCACACACTATAAGTGACTTTTGTGTAGCGAGCTTTAAGAGTACCGGCCCTTTGGGGCTTCCGCTTTTTGCTCTTTTCAAGACAGCTGTTTGGTTGTTGTACTCACAGTTTGTTGTTATTGGTTTCTGGGGCATACCGGCAGTCATTTTTTGTTGTTGCCTGAAATTTGAGAGAGAGTGACGTGCACACGGTGGCGTATGCGTGATATATGTATGTACATATGCGAAGCCCAACTTTTGCCGCCCACGCCCACCCAAAAAAAAATTGTATATACATATAAACATATATATTGCCAAATCGAAGTAAAAACGTGTTTTCCCGGCTTTTTGCTCTCTTTTTCCATGCTCTTCGAGAAACTAAGAGAGTTGAGATTCTAACTCGTGCTTATTTGCTTTTTGGGCCTGTTGGATTTTTTTGAGTTCCGTCGAGTTCACTTCAAGTTGAGACGTTTATCTGTGCGGTTGCCAGCGTGTTTTTATTTTGTATTCGCGATTCGCGCATTACTTGTACTATATATATGTATATAGAGATAGAAAGAGAACAGAAGAAAGAGAGAGAAATCGCTAAATTTGTTAAATTTGAATTACCCGTTTCGTTTTACAAATGCCATGTGCTTGAGGCAAGGCACAAATTGAAATTGAACAAAATAAAACAAAATAGACAGCCAGATAGACATCAATTATTGAAAAGCCAACGGCTAACGTCATCAGCCATAGAAACCAATAAAAGACCAATAAGAAATCAAACAAAATAAAGCCCACAAATAGAGGCTACACTCGAGGTGCGTTTGTGTGTTTGTGCGTGAGTGTGTGAAAAAATCTATAAAATTTTATACGAATTAAGCAGCGTTTGCCTTTCAACTCCATGGGTCAGACATATGTCAAAGTTGAATTAGGGCACACAAAGTGGAAACGACCTACACAGTTGCGTTCTTAGCAAACTTTAAAGACCAAGAGGCGTAAACTGGAATTTATAATAAGCCACAATATATATATTTTATACAAATCGCGATTCCGGAATCGGTGTTACGTCACAATCTATTTCACACCGCTCTTGTTCTTCTTCCCCGCACATTTCAGAGCCAGAATAGCGACTTAGCGCTAGTCAACCAGCAGGCCCAATCGCTCATCCGCCAGGCCGACGCCCGCAATCGCCAGCTGATCGAGCAGGATAACGCCGGATTGAATAGATCGTGGCAGGATCTGGTGCGCAGCTTGGAGCAGCGACGCGACAACCTGCAACAGTTGGCCGAGCACTGGGACGGCTTCGAGAACAGCCTGCACGCCTGGGAAAAGGCACTTGGTCGATTGGAGGACAAGTTCCGCAATGTCGATCCGACTGTAAGATCCCGACGTCATTTGGAAGACACGAAGAATGCCATTCAGGTGAGTTACCACAGCGACACGTCCGCCGTTTAAGGTCAGCTTAGATATTTACATGCTGGCCACATTTCAAGAGTACACTGGAAATACATTAGCATTGAAATACAATTATTTAAGTCAGATTTCATTTAGGCTATTCAAATACATTTTTGAGGTTTTTGTTGACAGAAATGTATATAAAAACTAGATATGAATATGTATTAAATATGAAACGCCTTCGAGCGAGAGTATTTGTTGCCAAGTAAGATATTTTGCACTTCAACTAATAAAAAAAAAGGAAACTTAAAGATACTTTATCTCTTAATATATTTTTGAGTGTGTTTACACTTTCTTTCAAAAGATTTATTTTACACTTGATTATTTTTTGTCGGATTGCTTTGCTTCATCCTGTTGAAATTCATTCCCTTACATATATAACATAAAAACATAAGATAAAAATTATTTATATTTATAATTCATACTCGTATCTCTGTGTGTATATCTTAAGCGGCACACATTCATTCATTTAGTTTCGTTGCGGCAAATCCGCCCTCCCTTGGGGGCCATTATGTTTGTCAAATATTTTTACCAATATCCATGCATAAATACACGCCAACACGAACGTAAGAGTCGGATATATACGTATATATAGCCGTGAACACCATGCCGACATCAAGTTCATGGTCACGCCGTGGACCGGAGCTTGCGCTCTTGGAGCTTCTCCCGCTCTTTGGCGCTCCTCCCGCTCTTTGGGGCTCTCCCGACTCGAGCTTCACGAAAGCTATGTAGCAGCTGAGTGGCTGGGGCAGGTCCAAAATTAATTTAATGGGGTGTTGCGAATGATTAGCACGGCAAGCCACTAAATCACCGTAATCAAGAGAAGAAGATTGCTACCAAAACAACCTTCTAACTTTCAGTTTCAGTTTTTGTTAACTCTTGATTTTACTTCACCCAGAGAACCAGAGACGACTAATGATTGATGACCTATAAATAACATAAAATTGTAGAATTCCTCAGCTTTTATTTATATTTACATATTATTTGCATTATTTTATAGTAGCTTTTTGACCTCAAGTTAGTAAAACCTCACCGCATGACTTACTAGTATTAGTAATTGTTATTTGTACTACTTATCAGCAGTGATTTGAATGATTTGTTGTTAAGTGAGATCATTATTTGCAGCGATAGCAGCAATTGACGTTTATTTTCAATTTGACAACTATAAATAGTACAAATATACGCAAAATGTTACTAAAAAAAAGGTAGACCCACCTCAATGGCAGGCTTTCAAATCACATTTCAATTGAAGCAATTTTCAGCCATAAAAGCTAGGCCCCGACCATATCGAACTAACGATGTTGTCATACATGTGCCATATAAAGCTGGATCCAGCGATAACAACGTAAAACAAAAACCATCAAACTTAACGAAGATAAACAAACGCAAACACATAGTTAAGGTTTTAATTTTGTCTCTCCAAATGAGACAATAAATTGAATTCATTTATAGTAGTTTTTCGCTTTGATCACATATATCATTATGCCGAGAAACTTATTCCTTATCGAATAACCTCAAGATCCAAAAGCTGCAAAGTCAAGTCAACAAATTTATTTTTCTTCTATTCAATGTTGACCTTCCAAAAAAACTGGAAATGAAACCGAAATTGAGGGAGAATCAAATGAGGTTTAGGCAAGCTCTAGAAATGTTGCAATGATGGCTATTAATGATATTTATTCACCCATTACATGAGCACACCAAATTAATCTTAATTGAACCAAACACTGTAATTAATACATTTTGTTTTTTATAGGAATTACGTGAAGAATCAAATCAACTTAAATCATCACATAAAGAAATCGAGGCGCTCTCTAAATCCATCCTCACATTCCTTGGGGAAGTACACAAACCCTCGGCGGAGGCCATACAGGCCAAAGTGGATAAGTTAGTTGAACAGCAGGCCAAGTGAGTACCCACTGAAACCCCAATTACCTGAACCCTATCTATCGACTACACTGTGTTAAGCTACGCGTGACTTGGGACCCAAAAAAGAAAAACAAACCGAGACCCAAACAAAATACAGAATACAAACAAAGGTTCCCCGATCGAAACGTTTAATTCCGGAAATTGAATCGGCTTGCATACATTATATCAAGCTGCCAAACTTGTTGCCTAATGAAAATGAATGGCAATTTAGAGAATTTAACTGGTTACAGTTGAATATCTGAGAGGCTGCCATGTTTACTCATATCGTACTCATATTTTAATTCCTAGAGAAATCTTATGATGAAAATAATTTCTCTAACAGTGATTCACTCAACGGAACTTCTTTATATGAGTTTCATGTTTACTTTGCTGTTATATTTTTAATTGTAGCGCTGAAGAGAAATTATTGTTCTTGCCTTCTCAACCTTTTTTTTTCAAGTTGCTTAACTTGTTCGGCCCTCGAAATGCCATCTTATTGTTATAGTTGAGTCAAAAACTGACGTCAGACCAACTGTTACGCTTCGTTGTCGGCGTTTTGTTGTATGTGCATTACGTAAGCCGAGGCTTATAGTTTGTTATTGTACTCAGGCCTCCATTTCCCGAAAACATTAAGTTTAATTCAAAGTTCTGGGAATAGAAATGTTGGCAGGGAAAGCCATTTATTTTTATTTTATAAACATTTATTTTTCTTTTTTTTTCGGGGCAATCCCGTTTTTTAAAGAACTGTGCCAAAGCTTCGGTCTTATCGAAAGCGATAGGGGTTCCACTGCAAACAAATATGTGTGTGCATATATACAATTTTGACGCTGTGACTTGATAAGCGCCACAATCGAAGACAAATTCTTGTGCCGTGTTTTCGCGGAAATGCCTGATATACTCGTATATTTATGTTGTTGCCTGGCGCTAGAAAAACTCAAAAACTGTGCCAATATGCCAATTCATTTAGCTTTTCTTGTTAATCATTGTGGTACCTCTGAATTCTTTCTTATTTTTATTCGCCTAATTATTTATCACGTGCCATTAGGCTGGCAACATGTTGCCAGCAACATTCTGGCGTGTTGACAAGATTCGAAATTCACCACACCCGCAGATCACGTAAACACTTTTCTGTTGACAGCGTCCCAATTTTCTCCCTTTTGGCCTTTCACACTGACACAATTTCTACGGAGCTCTCCTCGCCCCTCTTCTCTTTCGGTCTGTTTTGTTTTATTTTTACACACAATTTGTTGTTTTCTTGACAGCAGTCTGCTTCAAAAACGAGAACAGCAGCTGTGGCTATAATTTTCCTCACATTTTCCCCCAAAACTTAACCGCAATGTGCGTAAGTTTTTAGGGAGCTTATAGCAAGTGAAATGACAAATTTTTTGACGGCTTCAATAAATCAAATATATATTCTTTGGTTAATCACGTTTTCGTGTTTATTGAGTAAATGGGAATAAAGCAAACGTGCTTATCCCTTTAAAATCATTTCAACCCTTAGATTTTATTTTTCTTAGAAATATAAAAATTAAATTTGGTAAACTGTTTCAAATGATTATTTTGTTGACTTGCTCACAAATTAATATGCTTAAATTTATGCTTTTTTAAACTTTTTCTTTAAAAGGGTTTTAAAATATAGAATCAAAGATATATTCTAACAAGAAAGGAAAGCTAACTTCGGGCGGAGCCGAAGTTGATATACCCTTGCAGAATATTTTATAAATTATATTGTCCAAAATTATTCATATGATGTATTCTTAATACTCATAAAATGTCCCAACTTCCTAACTTTAAAAACACCAAAGTTATGTCATTTCCAATCGTTCAGTTATATGGCAGCTATAAGATATAGTCGGCCGATCCTTATGAAATTTGGTAGGTCGGATTGATTAGCCAAAAATAAAACCCATAGAAAATCCCAACTTCCTAACTTTAAAAACACCAAAGTTATGGCTTTTCCGATCAATCAGTTATATGGCGGCTATAGGATATAGTCGTCCGATCCTTATGAAATTTGGTAGGTCGGATTGATTAGCCAAAAATAAAACCCATAGAAAATCCCAACTTCCTAACTTTAAAAACACCAAAGTTATGGCTTTTCCGATCGTTCAGTTATATGGCAGCTATATGATATAGTGGCCCGATCCGGCTCGTTCCGACTTATATACTACCTGCAATAGAAATACAACTTTTGGGAAAGTTTCAAGCAGATAGCTTTAAAACTGAGGGACTAGTTTGCGTAGAAACGGACGGACAGACGGACAGACGGACGGACAGACGGACATGGCTAGATCGACTCTCCTGGTGATGCTGATCAAGAATATATATACTTTATAGGGTCGGAAATGTCTCCTTCACTGCGTTGCAAACTTTTGACTGAAATTATAATACCCTCTGCAAGGGTATAAAAATAAAATTAATATAGTGTCCAAAAATGGGTCATTAGGCAGTAAAGGAAATGGGCCGTGAAATATATGTCTTTAATATCTTTATGCCTTTATGAAATGATCGGTTCCCATTCAATTTCTAAAAGCGTCCCCCATTAATTTACTGAAATATTTATTCCTTTAATTGTTCGCATTTTTGAATGTGGCTGTCCCAAAGTGAACAAATAAACTATGCCATCATCACTCCGAAAAGAATGATCTAATATTCCCCCCAGCGGCATGTCATCGATAATTATATAGTCTTAACTGAGATATGTATATTATGTATCCTAAAATGCGACGCAAAATTTCAATGCATTTACACACTTGAGATATTAATAACATTGTTTCGACATGCAAAAATCTAATCAGCAAAAATACATTAAATATTTCGTAAGCCTCTTTGCATTTGTGGGGATTTAATAATTTATTTATAACAATTTCTGGCGTTTCGTGTGTAAACGTGTTTATTTAAAATACGACAATTAACTCCATTAGCAAGTAAATTTGATTTTTTCACAATATTATATAGGGATTCTCTAAAGAGATTCTATATGCCATTGATGAAATGCCGGAGAATAAATACGCAAAGCGATGTGAGCAAAATGTAAACAATGTGCCGAAAAAATCATAAAAAATAAGTAAATAAAAATCGCAAGTGAAATTCATTATTTTTGCTTGAGTTGGGTGACTTCATCGTTGAGAAATGGCAAAAATATGAAAAAAAAAGGTAAATGAGAAACCATATGTGTGTTAGTCCATATAAATGGAATGATAATTGAACTATTGCTGAATCACATGTCGCAGATTTTACAATCTTATCAGGCTTTTGAAAATTCATTAAGCAACCAAACAAATCCAAATTTAATCTGTGATTTGCATATGCATTTGCATTAGCAATTTGTCATTGGGGTACCGAAAAAAAGAGAAAATCAAAAACTGACAACAACAGAAGCGAATAATAATAAAAACTTTGCCCAAATGAGGTAATCGGGTAATAATAAGTTTATTTCTGCCACTGTTAGCCGTTAACAGTGCGCTGTTACCGTTTTCAATACGGCTTTTGTGTTCCATTCCACTGGTTCACTCTCTCTTTTTGCGGCTCTCCCCGGTGGTAAGTTTATTGCCGGCTTTTCTAATCTAAACCGGCAAAATGGCATTATGGCTTTATCAATAACCCTGCATTTTCTATACTATTCTCTCATTAAAGGGTTGGGCTTCCCAGTCCGAGTTCGTTGATTTTAGCCGGTTTATTCAATGCCAAGCGCATTCGGCAATAATAATTTTTAGTGCCCACCTCACTCTCGTCCCCCCTTTTATTCAGATATTCGTGTGGTGAGTTGGCTCTTAGCAGTTTTCGTTCTTTTATTTCCGTAGTGCCTTCGTATGCGCTGTTAACGATCGACAGCCGACGAAAGACGAAGCGAGGAAACTGAAAAGTTTTTGGCAATTTTTGCGTGCGCCACTAGCGTTGAGATTCTTTACGAATCAGTTTTTATTTAGAGTTAGTTGCAAGCGGACGTGTTTCTCAAACTGGATGGCTGGAAACTAAATGAAAGAGCAAACGAACGAAGCGACCGCAATACATATACGCATATTTTTAAATCAAATTAATTAACTAAGAAGTAGTAAAACCAGAGAAGCAGCAAAGAAAGAATATAGCGGCGCCCCAAATAAAGAGAGATGTATGGCAATGGATTTTCCTTTCGGGCCAATGGCACCTAACCGAAATGTATTTTTTCCCCCAATCTCTTCTATTTTCATGTTGAAGTTTCGAACGCCGCTTTGTGGATTACCAGGCGTATACGTAACGAGCGAAAACAGCCCCAAGTCACCGAGTTAATTTTCCATTTGTAGCATCTGCTTGGGTTTCACCGAAATTCCGCCACCGGAATTGAGGCAGTGGAATTCAAGCAGAGAGCTCGGAAGTTCCAAGAGTTGAGCACACTTCTGCCTCCAAGTCAAAGGAGGTCCGAAAGTTGTCGCCAACAAGAGAAACACGCAGCAAACGAGCCAAAATCGCAGACAGAAGACTGAGCAGCAATTAAAAATTGTAGCTAATTGCCGGCCACTTACGCACTTGTAGTTAAAGTCGTGAAAACCAAGAGGTGATTGTTTGTCCCCAAAGCAAAAAAAAAAGAACAAGTACTTAAATCCAAATGAGAGCCGGTAAAAGTTTCCAAGACTTGATTAAGTCATCGTAAAGAATACCCCCTCGGAACCCAAATGCAAAACAGCCACTGAGCAACCTCTGGTACTCGTTTACCTGCCAGGGTCGTCAGGTGTGATTGTTTTTGTTATTTTCGCTTTATTCGATTCGGTGGAGAAGCGCGAAGAGAAAGAGAATATGAATAGCACGCGTTTCTACTTTAAACGATGACGTAGTCAAGGCGACAAAAATAGCCAGGCCGACTGCTTATCGTCGACGAGGGCCTGATTACATTCCTCCTGTCCCTAATAATTGATCAAACTATGTTTCGCAAATGTTTCGACAAACGTTTCGCTAAATGTTTTGTATTTGTTGCAACTTGGAGCAACACGCGTCGCCCGTTGCCTTTCACTTTCACTCGTGCTCGCCACGGCATTTCTCACATATTTTGCCATTTAAATTAGAGCCGTGCACTAAATTTAAATCGTTAATTTGTACAAAATGGCAGCCGACTGAAAATAGCGTTGAGGAAAAATAATTTTCCTTTTATTTATTTTGCTCACTTGTCAGCAGCGGCGGCGGCAGCAACCCAAACAACATTGAGAACTCACTGGTTCGATATTTGTTGGCTGCGAAAAATGACGCCGAAATAATTCTGGCTAGTTTATAGAGTATCGTGTATTTCCGCCGCCCGATTTTCCTTTTGCCGGCGGCGAGCATTTAACAATTAAATTTGAAAATGTTTCAGCCGACTTTTCGGCCAATTGGCCGAGAGCCAAATGTGTGTTGACTTGGCCTCATCTTGGGCCGCATTCTGTTTCGGTCCTCGGCGGCTGTAAAGGGCAATAAACGTTCCATTAACGTATCCGTCATTCCATGCCAAGTGCAATCGTTGATCACGAACATGAACACGAACACTTGTTGTCGGCACACAAAACTATATTTTGTTGTAATATATTTCAAAGTATTTTGCTTTGGCCACCAGGGCGTATGAGCGATATGCGTCATGTGCTGGAAATACGGAGCGGATATCAATGCGAAATTCAAACGATCGATGTTACTCATTGATTCATCCCGTTCACTGCAACGCCCCGATGACGTCAACTTGTCTACGGCCAAAATGCACGGCGAAAAAGAAATATTAAAACATAAATAAATGGGGGGAATATAAATTTAAACATGCGCCGCTTTTAAAAATACACACAAGCTAAAACTATAACAAAAACAAGAAATTTTAAAAGTAGTGCGTGTGTCCAAGCAGCATTAGGGAATATTTTTATTTTATGTTTCTTACGGCGGCTTTTTAAATGAAAAGTTTCGCTCTTTGCCTCTCAATGGGATCAAGGCAATTTCGAATTATGAGCAATGTACGAAAATCTTTTTCGAATTTCGAAAAATTGCTGAGGCCCAAGCAAATGTGCTCGAGCCATTTCATTTAGAAAACTCTCTTGTAGCCAAACGGCAGCATTCATTTTTCACGGAAATCTTCGCAGCCTCGAGGCCAAAGCCCAGTGGATCTTACATATATATAGCGATATATATATGCGCAGCCAAAGAACATTGAAAACTTCAGAATTTTTCAGCCTTTTGTGCCAGAAGAATAACTTTTCGCCCGCCCCCTATATATCTGTATAGAGATCTTTTAGATCTCTGTGTGGACCAAGCAAATAGCAATCTATCTATATCAGCAGGAACCGCGTGGTTTTCACACTGTCTTCACATATATTGCGTGCCATTGAATAACGTGCCCCTGAAACTAACCCGCTCTATTTTCCAGATTGAACGACACACTGCGCGATAAGGAGCAACAAGTTAGCAAGGATCTCGAGGAGATCGAGCAAGTCTTCCGTCGCATCTCGCAGCTGCAGGATAAGCTAAACGCCCTTCACGAGCAACTCCAATCGGTTCACGTCTACGACGAGCATATTGCGCAAACGGAACAGCTCCTGATCACCCTCAATAGCCAGGTGCAGCAGGCCGCCGAGGAGAGCAGATCGCTGGTGGCCCAGACAACGGCCCAATACCAGGCCAAGCAGAATCAGCTGCCCAGCGACATTGCCCAGGAGTTCACAGCCCTCGAGCTACTGGCCGAACGTGTCCAGGTGACGATGGAGACCAAAGAGAAGGATTTCAAGCGGGCGAAGACCGTGCGCACCGAATATGTGGCCGGTGTGGACGAGATCCAGCGCTGGCTGCTTCAGGCCGAAGTGCAGGTGCAGGAACGAAGCCTCACCCCGACACAGATGAAGGAGCTGCTGCAGCGCATCAACCACGAGATCACCGCCATCTACGAACGCTTCACCCTGGTCAAGACCAACGGCCAACTGATCATCGAGAATTGTCGCAACAGCGAGGAGAAGACGCTGGTGCAGACAACCATCGACCAGTTGGCCGCATCGCTGGCCCAGGTTCGCGGCTGGCTGGACGAGAAGAAGCAGGCGGTGGGCGATAGCTTGGATGCGTGGACGAGGTTCATGAACCTCTACCAGATCGTGATGTCGTGGGCTTCGGAGAAGCGCACCTTCATCGATCAGACCATCGAGCTGCGCACTCTGCCCGAGGCACGCAACAAACTGAACGACTATGTGACGGCTGTGAAGAGTATTAAACCGATTGTGAAGCATCTGAGCGAAATGGACAAGGAATTGGAGCACATTGGCCAGGTGACGACTGTGGGCGATCTCAAGGACAAACTGCAGGAGGCCGAGGATGCGAAGATATCCGTGGAAGCGGTGCTGCTAGAGAGGGTAAAGTGGATGATCCCAAGGGGTTAAGACCACCCAGCCCCTTTGGTGGTAGAACCCCTTCAGAAACCCAGCAACTTAATAACCCTGTTCTTCCATTTTGTAACTTTTATTCTACAGAACTCCCTGCTGCAAGAGGCCTGCGAGGAATGGGACCAATGCGAACGCAAAATCAAGGATATACGCGCCTGGCACGAAAAGACGAAGCAGAGTTTGGACTCCTCGCAGCAGCAGAAGAAACCGCTGCGCGATCAGCTCGGCTTCTGTGAGAAGACCCTGGCCGACATTAATGTGCAGAAGACGAAACTGAGACTGTCCATCGAGAAACTGGAGGTGAGTAGGCGGGCCGGCGGCACTCCTAATCCCAGCTTAATATCCCCATTCGCAGGTTCATTTCCGCAACGGCATGGGCGGTGATCCGCGCCTGAGCGAGAATGTCGATGATCTGGTGCGCGTGCTCGACGGCCTGGGCGAACTGGGCAAGGCCAAAGCCCAGAGCCTCGAGCAGACGCTGGCCCAGATCGACGTTTACCAGCAGCAGATGCAGACCCTGCGCCAACGCATCATCCAGGAGGAGCAGCAGCTCCGCCTGGTGATGGCGCCCACGTACTTGCCGCACGATCGCGAGCGCGCATTAGCCGAGCAACAGGTACGTACCGTCCAATCTCCGAGAGTTTTAGTAGACCCATATATATAGCAAAACCAGTACAGCTAGCAGTTCAGTTCAGATAGCAAATATTGCCAGGAGCTCTCTAGTAAAGTCCAAGTTGAATACCCTTTTTCTATATATCTATTCTCATTTCGTCATTGCTGTGAACGATCCTTCATCGCTATGAAAAACAGTTGACAGAACAACCAAACAAAGTTATTAACCCCTTACCCGAATATATAATATATATTTGATTAATCTTTGAAATCGTTTTGCCCCTTACGCTTAAATGTGTGCGGGTAGGTCTGAAGAAAAACAGTTGCACGGTGGCTGCGTATTTTATTTAATTCTTTTTAGTTTTACCACAAAAAAAAAACAACGCGCATTATTATTTTCTATTATTTTCATTTACTTTTTTTGGTTCGTCTAAATTTTATTACGTTTTTATTTTCGAATTCGTTTTATGTCATTATTTCGCACACACACGAATCCACATTTATCATTCACATTTCATCTTTGAATTTCCTTATGTTCAAACATTTTTCATCTCTCATCTACCGACCGTGCAGCTCTCATTTTCAAATCTCATTGCTACCATATCGCTCTCATTGGAAAATACCCACAGAAATTATACCTCATCAATATCGGCGCTTGCGGATCTCATCATACCATTTGTCACGTGCTGCGGCTCGAAAGTATTTTTAATGCCCAGAAACAAATAAGTTCTTGTTGTCAGGGTTAGGCCACCCAGAAAAGAAAAGCAAATTCCTCCTCCAGATAATCGTCAAGACTATTTTTAGAGCCAAACATTTGCCATTGTTTTTGTTGCTCATAAACAAAATGATTATATTTAGAAGCAGTTACGTAGCAATAGGTTGAAATTAAGTTTTCCCAAGTTTTCTAAATAGTCTATAATATAATTTTACTAAAATATAACTTTACATTGCGAATTGCAATGTTGGCGGTAAGTGGCAATCAAAGAATTCAATTTAATTTCGGACCGTAGATAATATTTTGATAATAAATGGGGGCAGCTCTTGCTATGAGAACTTATTTTGATATTCTTTCACCTGACCTCACATATCCACACACCATTGAGAAATTACAGTCATCACATCGCATTAAAATCGTCACATTTTATGGCACAATTACACATTAAGCTTTCGCTTAGAAAGGTTTTTAATTTCGTTAAATTTTTATTTGATTTCATTATTTAGCCAGCTTAGCCAAGCAATCATTTTCTTCACCAAGCAGCTCTCTTTTTCTCTATATACCTCTTTTAAATCTTTCTGGTATTGTACTAGCGAAAGTCGGTTATCTATTAATTATGGTTACGGTTTATAATTTGATTTGGTATTTTATTTTTGACAATTGTATTTCTTTTTATCTTTTCTCTACGTAATTTATTGACTATAATCGAAAATCCTGGTGTCGTTGCGCTGAAAAAATCAAAAAAACAAACATGCAAATTATTAAACACACTCCATAAACATTGAATCTTACTAATACTAATTAAAACAATTAAAACTTATGTTTGGGCTTTGCTCGCTTGCCTGTTGCGCTACTTATAAAACTGTGACTAATCCAAAACTGCTGCATATTCGATGTAACCCCCTTAACCCCATCGAATAAACAACCCCTGATCACACATAAACAAACACACATGGGAACTGCTTACTTCTTCTATAAAAACGAAATATCGAACATGGTTAATGGTCGCTTTTCCTGTATCTATCCCATGGCGTATAATGTGCTCGTCGCTGTCTTTAAATTACCATAAACGAATCTCAATATATATGCTGACATCTTTTGTATTTCTTCTCTATATATATCTGCTCTCACGCCAACCATTCGAACTCTTTCAAAATAAAAAACATGCACCATATATACCCAATGTATAAACAATAGGCATGCCGGGAACGTGTCAAAAATCTGCATTCGAAAATAACTGCACGTAATGAGCGCATCAAGTTGTTAATACATCGCGGCACGCCGGACGATGCCAAGCTAGAGATTTAGGATGCCGTACCCTTAACCATAAGTTAAAGCCAATCTAGGTCTAGATCAAAGCCAATGCAGCCACCCCGGCGTCTTCCGTTTGCCCTTGCCACCCGTCTCCTTCTCCCAGGGACGATGGCTCTGGCCAAACTGTCAACTGCCGTCACTAATCTAATCCAAAACATGACCCGTGTTTAAGAATATACAATTATAAATACTATTTTAAAGAATAAATTAAATTATCGAATTATATTTTTAAAATGCAATCCCCTGTTTTAGTGTAATCTATGAGGGATCCTAGGTTTTTAGGTCTATTAGGTAGCTAAGCTTTGTGTCCCCCCGTTTGAAACCCCTGCAATCATATCAAAGCTAACGTTTTTGGCAAATCTTCCCCCTATCTCTCCCACTCTCTCTCTCTCACTCTGATACGTGAACCGTGATGAACAATTAGGCAATGCGAGAATCAATCGATGGCATGCAGCAAGTCTACGATGCGACCGCTCGAAAGTCCTATGCGCTGGATCCCCATTCAGTGGTGACCACCTCGTCGACTGTCTCGTTGCTTATGAAGCCAACAGCGGCAGTGGGTCTGACCTATGCCGAGGTGTTGTCGGGACATGCGAGTCCGGTAAGCAGCGGTAATGAACCGGTAACCAATCCCCGACCAGAACGAGACCACTCAACAACGACCACAACAACAGCGACCCGGCAGGAACAAACGAACGACACCCAGAACCAGACTACAATTACAACCATTACGACCACAACAACGACTTCTAGACGTACGCACGGAGATGAAGCCCAGAGCCTGGAGCGATATGAGTTCAATGGCGGCGGCAGCACTATTTCCACAGCGATATACGAACGCCAACAACAGCAGTTTACACCAACCAGCGACAATGCCCCAACCTCAGTTCCTAGCACAACGACCACCAACCCCAACATTCAGTTCATCGAAAGCGAGCAACAACACCATGCGCCAGCGAAACAGGGTAAGAAACATCAGCCACAGCGACCCGAACGTCGAGGTCGCTCGCCCAGACGTCGACCTCAGCAACAAGCGCAACCAATCCAACAACAGCAACCTCCCATCGAGATTCAATTCGAGCAGCAGCAACAACAGGAACAACTCTTCTTGCCCATTGATGACCGTACCAGATCTCGGAGCCCCATGTGGGTGCCAGGTTCCACCTCCTATGCAGAGGTTCTGCGAGGACTGGAACTGGAGCGGCTCAAGGCTGAGCAGCTGGCCGCCCAGGCGGTTCAAGGCCGCACCGATCTTACCATTCAGGATGTGGTGGATGCCAGCGCAGTAGTTACAGGCACCATTTACGTTCCCGAACCTGAACCACAGCCCATTAAAGAAAGGCAGCAACAGCAGCAGCCACAACTGGAACAATACATCAGCAACACCAGCCCTGATCTTAATTATCCTCCCCCGCAGCAACAACAGCAGCTGCCACCGCAACTGCAGCCACCCCAGGAACAGCAACCTAAATCCCTCAGTAGTTACGAAGTGCCCATGACAGCTGAAGAGATTGCTGCCACCTACTTGCAGCCCGATCCGCAGTTGTATCAGACAATGTATGAAAACGTGGCCGATAGCGGTCAGTGGGGTTATGTGCCAGGATCTACAGTAGGGTCTGCCACAGAACCACAGCAGCAGGAGGCGCAACAGAACTACTACGAGCAGATTATGCAGATGCAGTATCCCATACAGTATCAGCCGATAGCTGTGCCACCAGCGACCATGCAATACTCGCTTATACCAGGCTACTATCAGCCGGTGGCTCAACAGGAGACTTACCCCACGGTTTACCCAGCAGAGCCCAATCAGATCTATTATACCCAGCAAACGGGGGAGTACTCGCAGGAATACCCACAGCAGCAGCAGCAAACCGAACCTTTGCAGGAATATCACCAGGAAACGGTGGAGCAGAGCCTTCTTCGTGATACATACAATACGACGAGCACTCTTACCTCAACAACAGGCAACAGCGTGCTGGATCGCGTTGTTACCACGTTGGCATCCATTGTCCAACAGAGTGCAGAGCCCCTAACCACCAGCACCCAGCAAATCCAACCGGTGGTAGTCCAGAGCGAGCCGTACTATATTGAAGAGCATGTTCATATGCTGCGACCTGTGGAGCCACAAGAGTTTGAGCTGGACGAACCACGACCAGATATTACTTTTGGCCAATTTGATGTTGATGCTATCGAAACCATTCCATTGGATGAGCCTCTAGTTCCTCAAACTCAAGTCGAGCCTCAGCCCGAAGTTCAATCTCAACCAACTGTTACGACAACCAGCCATGTAATTGAGACAACAATTGTCACCGAACAGACACAGCCAACTGTGATAATACGGCAGACTCAGGAAATTGTCCCAGTCCCAGATGCCCCAAAACCCACTGATGTACCAACTACTGTTGTGGTGCATCCCCAGCCTCAGAGGCGAAGCAATGAACAAGTCCGGCCCCAGGACATTAGCACAGGCAGCACTTATGCCGAAGTCCTCTTCGGTCTCCAGCACAAGGAACAGCCAGTTTTCCAGCCATCCAGTCAGCAACAAACCCCAGTGCGCCTCACGTCCTCGCCGCCTTTGCAACGCAAGCTGGAGCAGACAACTATCAATACTGCTACCTATACCAATAAGAACAATCAGTACGCCAGACAAGTCGAGAAATCACCAACATGGGAACGCAAGACCGAAAATGTTGAATCGCGAACATCTCGAACAAAGAGAACAAGACATGAAACTCAACCAGAACCATTACCGATTAAACAGAGTACTAGAAAAGAAGGTAAGACGGGTAAGAAATCCCAGTCTTCCGATAGGAATAATGTCGCTTTGGTGGAAAGCAAACCAATAGTTGATGCGCCAGCACACAGTCCGGAGATCAAGGAGGAGACTGCTTTCAAACCTGAGCCAAAGCCAAGAAAATCAAAGAAGCCGAAAAAGTCAACTGATAGTGAGACCAGCCCAAGTGCTGAGCGAATAGATGAGTCAGCTGCCGCTATTGTAGTGTCATCTAAAAAGGACAAGAAAACGGCTTGGTCGGTTTTGGAAAATAAAGAAACTGTGGTCGAGACAACTGTAACGAAACAAATTGTTGAACCTGTTGTTGAGATTATTCAGCCGGTAGAATCAGTTTCAGCTCCTTCAAGGAAAGATAAAAAACAAAAACCAGTCATCGAAAAGGACTCTCCAAGGTCAGAAGAAAAGCTTGTGGAAGTGGCCCCAGTCGCTCCAACCAGAAAGGATAAGAAACAGGCCAAAACGGTTGTGCAGGAGCCCGTTACCAAGAAATCAAATGAGCCATTGGTTAAAAATGCAACTGACAAGCAAGCTGTTACTGAATCAAAATCGGAGGTTCCTCAAGTTTCAGCTGATGTTGTAAAACAGGAAAAGAAGCAGGCGAAAATTGTTGTAGAAAAAGAAATTGTTAATACCAAATTGGTAGAGCCTGTCATTGAGAAAAAGGTTGACGAGGTAGAACAAGTAAAACCTCTGGCTCCAGCTGCACCTTTAAAGAAGGAGAAGAAGAAGTCCAAGACAGTTATTGAAAAGGTTGATCCTGTCATTGAAAAAGAAATTGTCCTACCATCTGTGATTGAAATTGTAGAGCCTCAGGCTACTTCTATTAATTCCAAAAAGGAAAAGAAACAGTCCGAAACTATTGTGGAAACTTCAATTATTACCCAAAGCGTGGAACCAGTTCCTCAACCAGAAGTTCCTGCACCAGTACCCACGAAGAAGGACAAAAAGCGTTCGAAGAAGGAACCAAAGCAGGATGATATTAAAATTCTTTCAACAAATACAACCGAATCATCAGATTTCACCGTTAAAGGCAGTGTAGTGACTGAGAATATAGTTTCTGTTCAGAACTTAGTTGAACCAATTACTGAAAAAACTGAAGAACAAGAATCAGTAATTGAACTGGCTATTCCAATTGAAAATGTTTCGTCAGATCTAGTAATTAATGCCCCAGAAAATCTAACTCAATCGACAAAGAACGCAACAGCATCTATTGAGGTCACCCCCGTCGATATTCAGGAGACCATTATCGAAGGCGAGCCTACGGTCACTACATCAACTAATACAATCTCAACGGAAAGTGGAACTACAACCATTACAACGCGAACAATAACTAAGCACATTACCAAGCGCATAGTGAAGCGTATTGTAGATGGCAAGGAAGAGATTGTCGAGGAAGATGTCATCGATGATTTGCCTGAAGAGAACATATCTGTTGAGCAATATAACCTTCCAACAATTGAAACCAGCACAAATGAGGTACCTATTGATGTGACTGGATTCTCTACAACTCAGGACACAATCGTGCAACAGGGATCGATAACCAAGACTGTTATTACCAAGACAAAGCGCATCCTGAAGCGCATTACCGAAGACGGGGAAGAAGTAATTGAGGAGGTCTTTGAGGATGAACCCGAGGTAGAGCGCGATGTGACTGTGCTGCCTACCACCGTGATCACTTCATTAGAAGTCATTGAGGATGCGGCCCAAAATGTGGTTGAAGAAGTCTTAAAACAAGCTGAGGAAATAACGCAGCAGGAATTACCAAAATCGAGCCTGGGCAAAATTCAAGCAGAGCAGAAACCAGTTGAAGTGGCAAGACCTGTTAAGCCTGAAGTAACCAATGAGGTTGTGACTAAGATTACAACTGAGCAGGAGGTAAAGACGCCGCAGAAGCCTTCGAGAAAGGATAAGAAGAAGCAAAAGAAGTTGGAGAACAAACAAGAAGCTCCTATTGAGCAGAACGTTTTCGAAATTGTCGAGCCCCAACCGGAAATCACAGAGCCCCTGAACTTAACAAGTGCAATTACCACGGATAATAATACAAATTTGTCGTCCGAGCAAACCATTGTCAGCGATGATAGCGGCCTCATTAAAACAACAGTTATCCGTACAACAAAAATCGTAAAGAAAATCAGCAGCAGTCAACATGAAAGTCAAGAGATGACCTCTTCGACGCATTCAGATGCACCTTCATCTCTTGGCTCTTACGATTTGGCAGACGAAGCAATCGAATCTCCAAAGATAGAAAAATCTGAAACGAATAGCCGGGAAATAAGCGATGAGGGAGTTGTCAAAACAACTAAGACCACAACAACTAAAACCATCAAATCTCCCAAGGTGGAAGAAGTCCAAGTGGAACCATCATTGGATGTGTCGTCCGGCTCGGTAATTGTTTCACCAGTTGTTGAAGAGCCTGAGGAAGGTGGTGTAATCAAAACAACTATTGTGCGTACCACAAAGATCGTCAAAAAGATTTCTCAGGAGAGCGAAAATATCAGCGAGACAAGCAGCGAAGCCGAGATTTCCCTACCGATTGTTGAGACAGTCTTGCAAGACGCTCCAATTGTAGCCGAATCTGTTACAACTGAATCAAACAGTGAGGGCATAACTAAAACCACAACAACGCGAACAACAAAGGCTGTGTCCAAAATTGTAAGTGAAGAAGAAGTTCTTAACCTTCCGAGCGTTCCTGTGGCCCCTCTTGAATCGGAGGATGAAGCTGTTGAGCTGCCAGAGGTCCCGAATGCCCCCATTGATCCGCTGGATAAGGTTTTGATAGCGGCAACAACTATTGATGTTCCTAAAGTTAAGCAAGTAAAATCTTCAGTCGTGGACTTTATTGCTGCAGAGCAGTATGCGTCGGAACAATTAACTAAGCCGGAACCAATTGTTTCCCAGGCTCCAGATATCGAGGAAGACCTTATTCCAGTTGAAGAGTTTACGGTTTCGGAGCCTGAATCTTCTGGGGTTGGTGATGTCGTCAAGACTACAATTGTTCGAACAACTAAAATTGTCAAGAAGGTATCCCAAAACACCGAACAAAGTGTTGGTGTAATCGATAGTGTTTCCAATTCGGAACCCAAGGAATCGGAACCAGAGGAACCTGCTGAGAAGACCAGCGTTGGTGTAACAAAGACAACAACCGTGCGTACTAAGAAGATCGTAAAGAAACTGAATGAAGATGGCGAAACGACCACAGAGGAGACCAGCACCGCCAGTGAACCAGTGACTGTGCGGGAAACTTCACCAACTATTTCGGAAGAACCGAGCGAAACTTCAACCACATCTAGTCAAATCGATGGTGCAATTATCAAGACTACTACGATTCGGACAATGCGCATCACAAAGAGGGTAGCCAATGACGGTCGAATTCTGCTCACCGAGAGTGAGTCACCTCGTGATGTGGTTGTGACGTCAAGCATTGAGATGCCCGATCAGAGACCAGTTAGTCCGGCTGTGACCTCGCGTCCAAGCTCTCCTGCTAGGACGTCTAGTTCCGAACTAGTGTTGGGTTCAAACATACAGTTAGGATTAAAGGACAGCCCGACTGGGGTCAAGGTTATTGGTATTGAAACAAGCACTGTAGAGTTGCCGAAGTTTGGCGAACAGCAATATGCTGAAACCACAACGAATGGGGCTATTAGCAAGACGGATAGTATTACCACTACTACAACGACTACCAAGAACACGATACTTACGACTACCCAACGACGAAGCTTCGAAACCGAAGATGGCACAAATGTTCTTTTCGTGGGAGAAGGCATTGACGGTGCATATCCACCGGGCACAGTGCAAAAAATTTCCCTAATTACTCATGAAGAGAAACTGAAGACACCTATCGTGAAAATGCATCTTGATTTTCCGGAGGTTAGTCTTCGGGTGACAGAGACTGTGACTGAAAATGTGGAGTCCCTGCAAAGAACAGCCGAGACTATTGAGAATACCGTGATTGACGTAGTCGAATTGTCAAAACCTGATGTCCCAGAAGCAGTAGAACCCAAATCAGACCCCACTCCCCAGCTAGTCGCACAACCTACCCAATCAGATGAAGTCATCATAGCCTTAGAAGCAACCCCGTCAGTTGTCCCCGAGAGTAGCCCTGAAGAATTAAGCCCTGAAGAGCAAAAGCTTTTCGAGGACATTCAGAAAAAACTTTCTAAGAAAGATAAAAAGAAGCGTCCCGCTATTCCGGAGGAGTTTATTAGGCAAGAAACGGTGCAGGTCATTCTAGAGGAAAGCAAAGGTAATGAAGTTATTAATGTCCCTTCTGTAGTTGAAAAACTGACCGATGTAGTTGAACCCTTAGTTAAACAAGAATCCATAGTAGAAGATGCGCCAATTCCTAAAGGGGTCTCTATCCCAACAAATCAAAAAGTCCACGAATATATTCAGCCAATTCCTCTTATGGAATCCGAGAAATTGATTACCAACATTACTCAAGACACTTCTTTAATCTCCACTGTCAAGTTGATCGAGCAAACGAAGTCAGACATTCTTTATCACGAGTCTTTAACTAAAGTTGTCCCTGTAACGCCTCAAGAAGAAGTCCCAGTAGAAATTCCATGTGAAACTCAGTCAAGTCCTGCTCCTACTAATATTGCTAATCAAATTGTTCCTGCCCAACCAAGCGCATTAATTGCTGAAGCATTTGTGGCTAACACGGTAAGCACTTTAAATATAATAACTAATATTGAAAAAATGTATCCCCTTGATAAAATATTTGAAATTCCCAAATTTGATATTTCAAAACAAAATATTGCTGAGGGTAATTATCACATAATCAAATCTAAAGCTTGGGAAATTAAACAATCAAATCCTACCCCAATTGAACCTGAATCGCAAGCAAAGACGGTAAGCTTTGCCGATGAAACTGAAACGAAAATTGAAACTACCGTCACCAACATGGGTTCAACAACGACACTGGTTACTGACGTACCTCAACAAACCGAAAATGTTCCTGCTATTTATAACTTCGAGGTCCCCAAATTTGACATATTTATGCTTAATAAGGCTGAAGCTAGACAGAAAATATATGAAGCCGCAATTGCTCAAACAGAAACTAATTCAAAAACAATTCAAAATTCTGCAACCGAAGAAATCATTTCCACTGATGTACCAATTGAAAAAGAGATTAAACAGGCTGAAGAACCTGAAAAAACTGAAACCTTGCGGAAATTAGTGCCGCCATCTGAGGAACCAGTTCATGAACAACAACCTGACGTCACGATTGTCGATGAAGCAGTCAATTCGGAGACAATTAAGGAGGAAACTAAGACAGTTACAAGAGTTACCACCACAACAGTTACTACAGAGATCACAAGCGCAACTTCTACTACCGACGATCAGGAGGAACCAGTTCCTGAGCCACAAACGAATGTCACGCTGGTCGAAGAAGTAGAACAGTCTGAGCCAATTGTTGAAGCTCCGATCGTGGATGAAACTAAAACAATTACAACGGTCACCACAACAACAGTTACTACGGAGTCTGCCAGCGAAAGTGCTATTCCAGAGGAACCAAAGAAAACTAATGAATCGAAAAAGAAACCTGGGGAGCCCACAAAACCAGCTTATGCCGGTCTTCCCGTGGACGACTCTTCCAGCTCTTGGATGGATGTTTTGGATGAGCCAATGAACTTCTCTGATGATGAAGAAATTGAAGAAAAGACGCCATTGGCGCCATTTAAAAATGTAGTGGACACTCTTGGATCCGATCTAGTGGAAACTATCGTTGAGACTGAAGTTGTACCAGTTCTTGAGCCACAAACGAATGTCGAAGTAGTAGATCAGTCTCAGCCAATTATTGAAGCCCCGATTGTGGATGAGACCAAAACAATTACAACAGTTACCACCACAACAGTTACTACTGACTCTACAAGCGAAACTTCTATTCCGGAGGAACTCAAGAAAACTGTTGAACCGGAAAAGAAACCTGAGGAGCCCAAAAAACCAGCTTATGCCGGTCTTCCCGTGGACGACTCTTCCAGCTCTTGGATGGATGTTTTGGATGAGCCAATGAACTTCTCTGATGATGAAGAAATTGAAGAAAAGACACCTTTGGCGCCATTTAAAAATGGAGCCGATCTAGTTAAGGTTGAAACTATCGTTGAGACTGAAGATGTAGCAGTTCTTGAGCCACAAACGAAGGTCGAAGTAGTAGAACAGTCTGAACCAATTGTGGAAGCTCCGATTGTGGATGAAACCAAAACAGTTACAACGATCACCACCACAATAGTAACTACCGAGTCTACAAGCGAAACTTCTATTCCGGAGGAACCCAAGGAAACTGTTGAACCGGAAAAGAAACCTGAGCAGCCCAAAAAACCAGCTTATGCCGGTCTTCCCGTGGACGACTCTTCCAGCTCGTGGATGGATGTCTTGGATGAGTCAATGAACTTCTCTGATGATGAAGAAATTGAAGAAAAGATACCTTTGGCACCATTTAAAAATGGATCCGATCTAGTTAAGGTTGAGACTGTTAAACCTTCTCAAGAGGAAGAAAAGCCAGAATTATCAAGTACTTCTTTGTCAACTGTTGAGAACATCACCGAGCTTGGAACTAAAAAATTAATCACTGAGACTGTAAATACTGAAACTGTGCAGACTCCTCTGGCGCCTTTTGGAGTCATTCCGGAATCTCCAGTTACTCCGACTGCAGACGATGCGCTTATTAGTGAAGCTCCCATTGTTGAGGACACCAAAACAATTAGAACCGTCACCACCACAACAGTTACCACTGAGTCTACGAGCGAAAGTGATATTCCCGAGGAACCCAAGGAAACTGTTGAACCGGAAAAGAAACCTGAGGAGCCCAAAAAACCAGCATATGCCGGCCTTCCTGTGGACGACTCTTCCAGCTCTTGGATGGATGTTTTGGATGAGCCAATGAACTTCTCTGATGATGAAGAGGAACCAGTTCCTGAGCCAGTTGTAGAACAGTCGGAGCCAATTGTTGATGCACCGATTGTGGATGAGACCAAAACAATTACAACAGTTACCACCACAACAGTTACTACTGAGTCTACCAGTGGAACGGCTATTCCCGAACAGTCCAAGAAAACCAAACTAGTTTCTGAGCCACAAGAGGAAGTAGTAGATAAATCTGAGACAATTGTTGATGCTCAGATTGAAGACGGAATCAAGACAATTGAAACAGCTATCACCACAGTTACAACTGAGATCATTAGCGAGACTGAGGAACCGAGGGAAACTGAAACTCTTTCTGTTGATACACAGTCCATTGGTAATGTGATCGAACAAGAAACATTATTGGAGAAACCGCTAGAGGGTCCTATTGATACCTGGTCCAGTGTCTTGGAGGACACAATTCCTAATACCGGAAGCCTTGGCTTCACATCAACCTTATCGGCGGATGCTCCTGAATTTACTCCATCTTATCTAAGACATACCTTCTCCAACCAAACTCATACGTTCCTTGCAAATGAAAGAGTATACAATGAATTTATTCCAAGGAATAGGTCAGAACAAACTATTGTGCCTCAACAAAAGCCCAAAAAGGCAAAACCATCGAAGCGACAGAACAAGAAGGTAGAAACAAAAGAAGAAGTTCGCGATGTCCAACCTGTTCAGGAAACATATGTTTCGGAACCGATAGAAATAACTGAAGAGGTGGAGAATGTTTGGACCAAGAACAGAGACGGAAAATCCTATGCTGACGTGTTACTCAACTCTGGCGTTACTAGCGATGTTGTCACAGCTGAAGAAATCCAATCCAAACCAGCTGTAGTCGACACCAAGCCCCAGGAGCGGAGAAAGAAAACAAAGGCCGAAAAACGCCAGACAGTTGAGCAAGTTCTTGAACTGTCTTCACCAAGCACTGAAAGCGACAAATCTAAGCCAAATAGCGATAGCGAGCAGTCCAAGCAAACGACAGAAAGCGAACTATCCAAACCAACAACCGAAAGTTCAAAGGAACTGTCTTCTGATGAGAAGGATGTTTCGAGCACCTCCGAGCTGACATGGTCAGCTCTTGTGCGTAGACCTGGCGAATGGTCAGACACAACCGTAGTCAAGAAAGAAGTCACCCACACGGCTGTCTCATCTGAGGACAAACCTCGTCGGAAAGAAAAGGAAGAACCCAAGAAACCGACAAAGGCCAAAAAATCCAAGAAGTCAAAGAAACCATTTGTTGAACCAGTCTCGACCACATCTGAAGACGAGCAAGCTGAGCATGTTGCGCCTGTAATTGTTGAAGCTAAACCTGTACCAGAAGAGAAGAAACCGGATCAAGAAAGAAGTGATAAGGAACAGGGTAGTAGTGCATTCTCCTGGGCCTCACTTGTTAAAAGGCCTGGCGAATGGATTGACAATACTGTTACGCATATTAAGACAGCTGTAGCTTCTTCAACAGACGTCAAAGAACCAATTAAAAAAGAGCATGAAAAACCACAGAAGCCCAAAAAGCAGAAGTCGAAGAAAAAGCCAGAGTCAAAACCCACTCCCGTAGCAGAACCGGAATCTGAATTAAGCAGTGAACCGACTGAAGAAATTGCTGTTCTGGACGAGGTGGTCAATGTAAAACCCATCGAAAACACAGGAAACGCCTTCTCTTGGGCATCTCTGGTGAAGAAGCCAGGCGAGTGGGTCGACGACATAGCTGCCCGTAAAAAGCCAGTTGAGACCCAAAAGGAGGAGCGCAAGGAAGAAGCCCAGCCACGGAAAGAACGCAAAACACAAAAAATTGAGGCAAGGCCTCAGATTGAAAACATCACCAAGCGTAAAATCAAAGAGGAAGTTCGAGAGCCTAAAATTATTCAGTCGACTCCAGATGATAGTGATGTGGTTGAGGTATTACCATCTAGAGATGAAAACACAATTACGTGGGCTAAAATCGCTAGTCAAATTGATCATATGACCGACTTGGCACCAAAGGCTAAAAAGGAGATAAAGCAGAAACAACCTGAACCCCTTAAACAGCAAGTTAAAGCCGATCGATTAGAGAAACAAACAAAGACAAGGTTGCCTGCCGTATCTCTAGATGTCAGTAAAGGTCAGAATGAAAGCGGTCGCTCATGGTCCTCAACAGTTAGTCATCAAGTCACTGATTTTATTGAAGCTGAAAGAATTAAACCAGCTCCTAAAACTAATACGGAAAAACCCAAGCCGAAGGCTGAAACCAAAATTTCTACAAAGACGGAGGAACTTTCGCGAGACTTAGAAAGCTCACCAGTTTCCGAAATACCAGAAAATAAAACTCAGAGGTCGTGGGCTGAAATGATTGATGATGGCTCGGAGGATGTGGTTGTTGAACAGAAATCCTGGAAGGAACTAATAGAAGACGAAGTAGAGATTCCACTTCTTCCTGAGAATGGAGACGAAGTCAACATTAACAAGATAATTGAAAGCATCCAAGTAATGAAATCAAAAACTGATGATGAAAAGACACCTTTGGCGCCATTTAAAAATGTAGTGGATACTCTTGAATACGACCAAGTTAAAGTTGAAACTATCGTTGAGACTGAAGATGTACCAGTTATTGAGCCACAAACGAAGGTCGAAGTAGTGGAACAATCTGAACCAATTGTTGAAGCTCCAATTGTGGATGAAACCAAAACAATTACAACGATTACCACCACAATAGTAACTACTGAGTCTACCAGTGAAACATCTGTTCCCGAGGAACCCAAGAAAACTGATGAACCGGAAAAAAAACCTGAAGAGCCCAAAAAACCAGCATATGCCGGTCTTCCCGTGGACGACACTTCCAGCTCGTGGATGGATGTTTTGGATGAGCCAATGAACTTCTCTGATGATGAAGAAATTGAAGAAAATACACCTTTGGCGCCATTTAAAAATGAAGTGGATAATATTGGATCTGATCTAGTTAAGGTGGAAACTATCGTTAAGACTGAAGATGTAGAACTTCTTGAGCCACAAACGAAGGTCGAAGTAGTAGAAAAGTCTGAACCAATTGTTGAAGCTCCGATTGTGGATGAAACCAAAACCATTACAACAGTTACCTCCACAACAGTTTATACTGAGTCTACGAGCGGAACTACTATTCCGGAGGAACCAGTTCCTGAGCCACAAACTAATATCACGCTGGTCGAAGTAGTAGAACAGTCTGAGCCAATTGTTGAAACTTCCATTGTGAATGACACCAAAACAATTACAACGGTCACCACCACAACAGTAACTACTGAAACCAGTGAAACACCTATTCCCGAGAAACCCAAGGAAACTGTTGAACCGGAAAAGAAACCTGAGGAGCCCAAAAAACCAGCATATGCCGGTCTTCCTGTGGACGACTCCTCCAGCTCGTGGATGGATGTTTTGGATGAGCCAATGAACTTCTCTGATGATGAAGAAATTGAAGAAAAGACACCTTTGGCGCCATTTAAAAATATATCCGATCTAGTTAAGGTTGAAACTGTCGTTGAGACTGAAGATGTAGCAGTTCTTGAGCCACAAACGAAGGTCGAAGTTGTAGAACAGTCTGAACCAATTGTTGAAGCTCCGACTGTGGATGAAACCAAATCAGTTACAACGATCACCACCACAACAGTAACTACTGAGTCTACAAGCGAAACTTCTATTCCGGAGGAACCCAAGAAAATTGTTGAACCGGAAAAGAAACCTGAGGAGCCCAAAAAACCAGCATATGCTGGTCTTCCCGTGGACGACTCTTCCAGCTCGTGGATGGATGTGTTGGATGAACCAATGAACTTCTCTGATGAGGAAGAGGAACCAGTTCCTGAGCCACAAGTAAATGTCACGGAGGTCGTAGTAGTAGAACAGTCTGAGCCAATTGTTGAAGCTCCGACTGTGGATGAAACCAAATCAGTTACAACGATCACCACCACAACAGTAACTACTGAGTCTACAAGCGATACTTCTATTCCGGAGGAACCCAAGAAAACTGTTGAATTGGAAAAGAAACCTGAGGAGCCCAAAAAACCAGCATATGCTGGTCTTCCCGTGGACGACTCTTCCAGCTCGTGGATGGATGTTTTGGATGAGCCAATGAACTTCTCTGATGATGAAGAAATTGAAGAAAAGACACATTTGGCGCCATTTAAAAATATATCCGATCTAGTTAAGGTTGAAACTGTCGTTGAGACTGAAGATGTAGCAGTTCTTGAGCCACAAACGAAGGTCGAAGTAGTAGAACAGTCTGAACCAATTGTTGAAGCTCCGACTGTGGATGAAACCAAATCAGTTACAACGATCACCACCACAACTGTAACTACTGAGTCTACAAGCGAAACTTCTATTCCGGATGAACCCAAGAAAACTGTTGAACCGGAAAAGAAACCTGAGGAGCCCAAAAAACCAGCATATGCTGGTCTTCCCGTGGACGACTCTTCCAGCTCGTGGATGGATGTGTTGGATGAACCAATGAACTTCTCTGATGAGGAAGAGGAACCAGTTCCTGAGCCACAAGTAAATGTCACGCAGGTCATAGTAGTAGAACAGTCTGAACCAATTGTTGAAGCTCCGATTGTGGATGAGACCAAAACAATTACAACGGTTACCACCACAACAGTTACTACTGAGTCTACGAGCGAAAGCGCTATTCCTGAGGAACCAGTTCCTGAGCCACAAACAAATGTCACGCAAGTCGAAGTAGTTGAACAGTCTGAGCCAATTGTTAATGACACCAAAACAATTACAACGGTCACCACCACAACAGTAACAACTGAGTCTACCAGCGAAAGTGCTATTACGGAGGAACCTAAGAAAACTGTTGAACCGGAAAAGAAACCTGAGGAGCCCAAAAAACCAGCATATGCCGGTCTTCCTGTGGACGATTCCTCCAGCTCGTGGATGGATGTTTTGGATGAGCCAATGAACTTCTCTGATGATGAAGAAAGTGAAGAAAAGACACCTTTGGCGCCATTTAAAAATGTAGTGGATACTATTGGATCCGATTTAGTTAAGTTGCAAGCGATCGTTCAGATTGAAGATGTATCAGTTCTAGAGCCACAAACGAAGGTCGAAGTAGTAGAACAGTCTGAACCAATTATTGAAGCTCCGATTTTGGAAGAGACCAATACAATTGTGGATGAGACCAAAACAATTACAACGGTTACCACCACAACGGTTACTACAGAGTCTACCAGCGAAACTGCTATTCGGGAGGAAGCCGATGAATCGGAAAAGAAACCTGACGAGCCCAAGAAATCAGCAAATGTCGGTCTGGCCGTGTTGGATGTTTTGGATGAACCAAAGACTTTCCCAGATAATGAGAGGGAACCGGTACCGAAGTCTGTGCCAACTAATAAAGTTCCGACTGTGCTGGAAGCAAAGGCAATTACTACCGTTAAACCTAGTAAAACCAAAGAGCTTGAGAAACCCGAAGAAAATCCTGTGGAGGCCAAGGCAATACCTTTAAAATCAGCACCCTCCAATGTGTGGGAACTGCATTCATCATACGCTGATGTTCTAAGGCACACTGTGGACTTTATTAGCTTGGAAAAGAAGAATGTAGAAATCCCAAATGAACCCAAACCTGATAAAGGCAATTCAACAAGAGAACCTGCTACAATTGAAGTCCCAAAGAAGGCAAAAACCAAGAAAGAAAAATCGTCGAAGAAGCCTAAAGAAATAGAAAATATAGCTGCTGAGACCAAAGTGATACCGGTCGTAGAAGAATCACCAACGGCCGAAATAACATCTTCTTGGTCAGCTATTGTTGATGAGGATTTAAGTGATAACGTTGAAGCGAATCTGCCCAGTATCGGTAATGCTTTGTGGTCTTCAGTTGTGCGGCAAGGTGTCCATGATAATACAGCTTTAGAAATAACCTCAAAACAACCACAACAACAACTCAAAAAAGAAATATTTACTGAAACTACACCTGAAAAACCAGAGACTCAACTGAAGTCTACAGGCGTTCAAGACTTCATCGTTCAAGAACAAATCTTCTCAACTGCGGTAAATGGAAAACATAAAAAACAAAAGTCAAGGAAAAATAAGAAAACTTCCAATGCGGAACCTATAACAGAACCCGATTTGGAAGTGACTCCAGTTCAAGAACTCGTTGCAGTTTCCACAGTTCTTGAGGAAGTTACTCCTGAGCTACAACCGGAGCTTTATCCAGTCACTGCAGCCCCGTTACAACCTCTGTCCTGGTCGTCAATAGTTTCTCAAACAACCGAAGTCACTAAAACTATCACCGATACTCGCCTCGCCGATGAACCTGATTTGCAGAAACCTTCAGAACTCAAGCCCAAAAAGCAAAAGGTAAAGAAGGAAAAGCAACCAAAGGCGGAACTTGTTCAAGAGCGCGTTGATGTAACTGCAGTTCCTGAACCTACAGTTGAGAAGGTCATAGTGGAAGAACCTGCTGTTGAGGTAATAACTGTTGATGAAGTAACTCCTGCGCCACAACCGAAACCCACTCCAGCTACTGAAGGCGCCCCATTACAACCTCTGTCCTGGTCGTCAATAGTAACTCAAACAACAGAAGTCAGTACAAATATCTCCGAGACTCGCATCACCGAAGAACCTGGACATAAGAAACCTACCGATGAAAAGCCTAAACAACAAAAGTCAAGGAAGGATAAGAAACCTAAGGAGGACCCGGTTCAAGAGTGCGTTGTTGTGACTGCAGTTCCTGAACCTGTAACCACAGTTGAAGAGCCTGCTGTTGAGGTAACAACTGTCGCTAAAGTTACTCCCGAGCCACAACCAGAACACACTCCAGTCACTGCAGACGCCCCATTACAACCTCTGTCCTGGTCGTCAATAGTTTCTCAAACAACGGAAGTCGAAACAAATATCACCGAAGCTCGCATCACCGACGAGTCTGAAGATCAGAAACCTACTGACGAAAAGCCTAATAAGCAAAAGGCAAAGAAAGGGAAGAAATCTAAGGTGGATCCTGTTCAAAAGCCCGTTATTAAATCTGAAATTCCTGAACCTGTTGTTGAACCCATTGTTGAAGTGACCATAGTTGATCAACCTGTTGTTGAGGTGACCACTTTCGTCGAAGTAACTCCTGAGCAGAAACCTAGTCCATCTTCTGAAGACGCCCCAGTAAAACCTCTGTCCTGGTCGTCAATAGTTTCTCATGATTCAGAAGTCACTACACACCTCACCCAGACTCATATAGCCGATGATCAGAAACCTATAGTGGAAAAGCCTAAAAAGCAAAAGGCAAAGAAGGAAAAGAAACCTAAGGAGGATGAAGTGACTGCAATTCCTGAACCTGTAGTCGAAGTGACCATTGCGGAGCCCGCTGTTGAAGTAACCACTGTCACCGAAGTTACTCCCGAACCCACTTCAGTAACTGAAGACACCCCATTGCAACCTCTGTCCTGGTCGTCAATAGTTTCTAAAAAAACAGATGTAACTTCAAAAATCACCGATGAACCTGATCTCCAGAGACCAACAGAAGTCAATCTTAAAAAGCAAAAGGCGAAGAAGGAAAAGAAACCTAAGGAGGATCCTGTTCAAGAGAGCGTTCCTGAGATTGCAATTCCTGTACTTGATACCGCTCTCGTCGAAGCAACTCCTGAGCCACAATCGGCACTCACTCCAGCTACTGAGGGAACCCCATTACAAACTCTGTCCTGGTCGTCAATAGTTTCTCAAACTACGGAACTCATTTCAACCGTTACCGATACTCATATCGCCAGTGAACCTGGATATAAGGAACTCACAGATGAAAAGCCTAAAAAGCAAAAGTCAAAGAAGGAAAAGAAACCCAAGGTGGACCCTGTTCAAGAACTCGTTGTTGAGACTGCAATTCCTGAGCCTGTAGTTGAAAGGACCTCAATTGAAGAACCTGCTGTCCAGGAGTCCACTGTCGTCGAATTGGCCCCTGAGCCACAGCCGGAAGCTATTGCATTATCTGAAGAAGCCCCAACACAGCCTCTGTCCTGGTCGTCTATTGTTTCTCAAACAACGGAAGTCACTACAAATATCACCGATACTCACATCACCAATGAACCGGAACATCAGAAACCTACGGAAGTAAAGCCGAAAAAGCAAAAGACAAAGAAGGAAAAGAAACCCAAGGTTGACCCTGTTGAAGATCCCGTTGTTGAGACTGCAATTCTTGAACCTGTGGGTGAAACAATCACAGTTGAAGAACCTGATGTCGAGGTGACCACTGTTGTCGAAGTTACTCCTAAGAAACAGCCGGAAACTCCTGCATTATCTGAAGTAGCCCCATCACAGTCTCTGTCCTGGTCATCTATTGTTTCTCAAACAACGGAAGTCACTACAAAAATCACAGATACCCACATCGCCCATGAACCCGAACATCAGAAACCTACAGAAGTAAAGCTGAAAAAGCAAAAGACAAAGAAGGAAAAGAAACCCAAGGTTGACACTGTTCAAGAGCCCGTTGTTGAGACTGCAATTCTTGAACCTGTGGTTGAAACAATTGTAGCTGAAGAACCTGCTGTTGAGGTGACCACTGTTGTCGAAGTTACTCCTGAGCCACAACCGGAACCCACTCCAGTTTCCGAAGTAGCCCCACTACAACCTTTGTCTTGGTCGTCAATAGTTTCTCAAACAACAGAAGTCACTACAAATGTCACCGAGATTCAAAACGAAAATGACTCCGCAGTTCAGAAGCTTACAGAAGTCAAGCCTAAAAAGCAAAAGACAAAGAAGGAAAGGAAACCTAAGGAGGACCTCGTTCAAGAGTCTGTTGATGAGATTGCAATTCCTGAACCTGTAGTTGAAAAGCCCATACTTAAAGAACCTGCTGTCGAGGTAACCACTGTCGTCGAAGTGGCCCCTGAGCCACAACCGGAACCCATTGCATTATCTGAGGTAGAACAATCACAGTCTCTGTCCTGGTCGTCTATTGTTTCTCAAACAAAGGAAGTCACCGAGACCCGCATCGCCAATGATTATAAGGATCACACACCTACCGACGAAAAGCCGAAAAAGCAAAAGGTAAAGAAGGAAAAGATATTTAAGGAGGACCCTGTTCAAGATGTGGTTGTCACTGCAATTCCTGAACCAGCAGTTGATGTAAGCATAGTTGAAGAACCTGCTGTTGAGGTAATCACTATTATCGAAGTTACTCCTGAGCCACAACCGGAACCCACTCCAGTTGCTGAAGTAGATCCATTACAACCTCTGTCCTGGTCGTCAATAGTTTCTCAAGCAACCGAAGTCACTTCAAATATCAACGAACCCAATGAGCAGAAACCTACAGAAAAACAGCCCAAAAAGCAAAAGCCGAAGAAGGAAAATAAATCCAAGGTGGTTCTTGTTCAAGACACTATAGTTGAGTGTGCTATTCCTGAACCTGTTGTTGAACCCATTGTTGAATTGACCGTTGATGAACCTGTTGTAGAGGTGACCAATGTCGTTGTAGTAACTCCTGAGCCACAACCGGAACCTACTCCAGCTACTGAAGGAACTCCATTACAGCCTCTGTCCTGGTCGTCAATGGTTTCCCAAACTGAAGAAGTCACGACAACCGTTACTGAGACTCTTATCGCCGATGATCACAAACCTACAGAGGAAAAGCCTAAAAAGCAAAAGGCAAAGAAGGAAAAGAAACCTAAGGAGGAACATGTTCAAGTGCGCGATGTTGTGACTGCAATTCCAGAACCTGTTGTTGCAGTGACTATACCTGAAGAACACGCTGTTGAGGTAACCACTGTCGGCGAAGTTACTCCCGAGCCACAACCGGAACCCACTTCATTTACTGAAGACGCGTCATTACAACCTCTGTCCTGGTCGTCAATAGTTTCTCAAGCAACGGAAGTCAGTACAAATATCACCGAGACTTGCATCACCGATGAACCTGAAGATCAGAAGCCTACAGAAGAGAAGCCTAAAAAGCAAAAGGCGAAGAAGGAAAATAAATCCAAGGTGGTTCCTGTTCAAGAGCCTGTAGTTGAGTGTGCTCTTCCTGAACCTGTTGTTGAACCCATTGTTGAATTGACCGTTGTTGATGAACCTGTTGTTGAGATAACTACTGATGTTGAAGTAACTCCTGAGCCGGAACCCAGTCCATCTACTGAAGGCTCCCCAGTGTATCCTCTGTCCTGGTCTTCAATAGTTTCTCAAACTTCGGAAGTCACTTCAACCATCACCGAGACTCATATTGGTGATGATCAAAAGCCTACAGTAGAAAAACCTAAAAAGCAAAAGGCAAAGAAGGAAAAGAAACCTAAGGAGGAGCCTGTTCAAGAGCATGATGTGGTGCCTGCGATTCCTGAACCAGTAGTTGAAGTGACCATTGTTGAAGAACCCGCTGTTGAAGTAACCACTGTCGTCGAAGTTACTCCCGAGCCACAACCGGAACCCACTTCGGTTACTGAGGCCGCCCCATTGCAACCTCTGTCCTGGTCGTCAATAGTTTCGCAGACAACAGAAGTCAGTACAATTACCACCGAGACTAGCATCACCGATGAACCTGAAGATCTGAAATCTGCAGAAGAAAAGCCCAAAAAGCAAAAGGCGAAGAAGGAAAATAAATCCGAGGTGGTTCCTGTTCAAGAGCCCGTAGTTGAGTGTGCTGTCCCTGAACCTGTTGTTGAACCCATTGTTGAATTTACCGTTGATGATGAACCTGTTGTTGAGATTACCACTGTCGTTGAAGTATCTCCTCAGCCAGAACCCAGTCCATCACAACCTCTGTCCTGGTCGTCAATAGTTTCTCAAACTGCAGAAGTCACTACATCCGAAACCGAGACTAATTACGCCGATAAACAAAAACCTACAGAGGAAAAGCCTAAAAAGCCAAAGGCAAAGAAGGAAAAGAAACCCAAGGTTGAGCCTGTTCAAGAGCCCGTTGTTGAGAGTGCAATTCCTGAACCTGTGGTTGAAACAATCATAGTTGAAGAACCTGAAATCGAGGTGACCACTGTAGTCGCAGTTGCTCCTAAGAAACAGCCGGAAACTACTGCATTTTCTGAAGTAGCCCCATCACAGTCTCTGTCCTGGTCGTCTATTGTTTCTCAAACAACGGAAGTCACTACAAATATCACCGATACTCACATCACCAATGAACCGGAACATCAGAAACCTACAGAAGAAAAGCCGAAAAAGCAAAAGACAAAGAAGGAAAAGAAAGCCAAGGTTGTCCCTGTTCAAGAGCCCGTTGTTGAGACTGCAATTCCTGAACCTGTAGTTGAAACAATTATAGTTGAAGAACCTGCTGTTGAGGTGACCACTGTTGTCGAAGTTACTCCTGAACCACAACCGGAACCCACTCCAGTTCCTGAAGTAGCTCCATTACAACCTTTGTCCTGGTCGTCAATAGTTTCTCAAACAACGGAAGTCACTACAAATGTTAGCGAGGATCGAAGCGCTGATGAAAAGGAAAAGCAAAAGACAATTAAGATTGTTGAAGATTCTCCTGCACCAAAAACATCTGAAATTCAAATCCAGCCAAATGTCACTCAAGACTTCATATTCCATGAACAGAAAATAGTGTCCACAACGGAAGATAAAACTAAAAAACCAAAGCCAAAGAAGGAAAGGGATTCCCTTAAGGTTGAGACTATTCAGAAAACACCAGTAGATGCATTTGAATCTGTAGAAATAAAAGAACAGCCCGAATTTGTTCCATCACAGACTTTGTCTTGGTCATCAATAGTCTCCAAAGAAATAAACGAACCAGAAAAGGTAACTGAAACGTTACCAAATCCTTCGAAATCTCAGGATATTCATGACTTTATTGCACAGGAACAAAATTTCTCAACCGTTGTAAACGACAAAACCAAGAAACAGAAGCCCAGGAAGGAGAAGAAAACTGTGCAACCTATTCAACAGCCTATATCAGAAGTCGTTTCTGTGACTAAAGATTACACACGAGAAAGAGAAGTCGAACCTGAGCCGTTGCCAACTCAAACATTGTCATGGTCTTCTATTGTTTCGCATAATATTGATTTAACTCCGTTTACGGAAACACGTGTCATTGAAACAACCGAAGTGATACCAAGTCCTCAGGATGTTCAGGACTTCGTTCCCGTAGATCGGGAGCTGGCAATTAACGTTGAAGAAAGTCTAAAACTAAAACCGAAAAAAGAGAAAAAAATGCCTAAGACTTCTTCTGAAAAACGAATTATTGAAACCACCGTTGTTTTAGAGAAGGAACCAGAGGAGGATCGCATTTCTGGATCTTTATCGCCCGAATTCAATATTCAATTGCCAGCACTGACAAAACCATCTGTATGGTCATCATCAGAGACCTATGCCGAAGTAGTTAAGAAGTCTGGATACTCCAATAGTACAAACATAAAGTATCAGAATCTTGAATCGGACAAACAAAAAGTAATTGCTCATAGACCGCCGGTTGCCGAAGTGCAAACACAGGAAGTGCTTTTGGAGTTCCCCGATCCCATCATTCCCCCAATTGAAGAAGCGGAAACAAGCGACTATCCGGAGAAACCATCGCAATTGTCCTGGAAGGATTTAATAGATGAAGATGAATTAGATCCTCCAGAGTCTTGGTATCAGGAGGAAACAATTGCCGTTGAAACTAAATCCCAGGAAACAGTACCAGAAAGACATTCGCGAAACAGAGATAAACCAGTGATCCAGATTACCGAAGTATTTACTGAAACCCAACAGCAGCCTGAGATTGATCAAGGATTCCTCGAAATTACTTCGAAGAAAAGAAATCGCTCACGCTCCCGCTCACAACAATCGCAGATTTCGAACGTTGACGAAAAACCACATAAGAAGAAGTCAAAGAAACCAAAGGATAAGACGCATACAACGCCAATTCAAAAACCAGTAGAACCTGCCCAGGTTGTTAGTCCGCCTAAGGAAATTGAGCAATTCGAGGAAGAACGCAGTGCTCCAGTACCAGTTCGGGAACCGTCTCCATCTCCTGCTCCTTCCCCTTACACCTCGGGTATGTCATGGGCTGCAATAGCCGCACATAATGTACCAGAACCTGCTCAGAGAATCAGACCCCTTGAAGCTGAGACCAAAACAACTGTTGTTGAAGACGTAAAGAAATCAATAAAAGAGCACACAGTAAGCATTCCAATTCATTTGCAAACAACGGAGCCGAAGACTAAAAAACCAAAGCAAAAGTCGAAGCGTAAATCACCAACTGATGTGGTTGATTTCATAAATGCGGAGAGAGTAATTGCTCCCCAGCCTGTCCAAAAGGAGAAAAAAACCGTCGATTTCATCGAAGTCGAAAGCAATCAGAAAACTCCTTTGGCTCCATTTACTGAGCTTCCCCAAGAAACCAAATTGGATAAGAAGTCTGTAACACCACCGAAGGACGTCACTGTTACTTTAACTTCAACAGAATTAAAAACACCTCTTGCTCCTTTTGCAATAATTGGCGAGACAATTGACGAATCCAAGTTAATCGTAGACGCAACAGTAACCGAAATTGAAACAGAAAAGGACGCGCTAGTCGCAGAAGATGAAACCAAAACAATTACTACGGTCACCACCACAACAGTTACCACTGAGACTACGAGCGAAAGTGCTATTCCGGAGGAACCAGTTCCTGAGCCACAAACAAGTATCACGCAAGTCGAAGTAGTTGAACAGTCTGAGCCAATTGTGAATGACACCAAAACAATTACTACGGTCACCACCACAACAGTTACCACTGAGTCTACGAGCGAAAGTGCTATTCCGGAGGAACCAGTTCCTGAGCCACAAACAAACGTCACGCAAGTCGAAGTAGTTGAACAGTCTGAGCCAATTGTGAATGACACCAAAACAATTACTACGGTCACCACCACAACAGTTACAACTGAGTCTACCAGCGAAAGTGCTATTCCGGAGGAACCCACGAAAATTGTTGAACCGGAAAAGAAACCTGAGGAGGCCAAAAAACCAGCTTATGCCGGTCTTCCCGTGGACGACTCTTCCAGCTCTTGGATGGATGTTTTGGATGAGCCAATGAACTTCTCTGATGATGAAGAAATTGAAGAAAAGACACCTTTGGCGCCATTTAAAAATGGATCCGATCTAGTTAAAGTTGAAACTGTCGTTGAGACTGAAGATGTAGCAGTTCTTGAGCCAAAAACGAAGGTCGAAGTAGTAGAACAGTCTGATGCTTCGATTGTGGATGAAACCAAAACAGTAACAACGATCACCACCACAACAGTAACTACTGAGTCTACAAGCGAAACTTCTATTCCGGAGGAACCCAAGAAAACTGTTGAACCGGAACAGAAGCCTGAGGAGCCCAAAAAACCAGCATATGCCGGTCTGCCCGTGGACGACTCCTCCAGCTCGTGGATGGATGTTTTGGATGAACCAATGAACTTTTCTGATGAGGAAGAGGAACCAGTTCCTGAGCCACAAGCAAATGTCACGCTGGTCGAAGTGGTAGAACAGTCTGAACCAATTGTTGAAGCTCCGATTGTGGATGAGACCAAAACAATTACAACAGTTACTACTACAACAGTTACTACAGAGTCTACAAGCGAAACTTCAATTCCTGAGGAACCCAAGAAAATTGTTGAACCGGAAAAGCAACCTGAGGAGCCCAAAAAACCAGCATATGCTGGTCTTCCTGTGGACGACTCCTCCAGCTCGTGGATGGATGTTTTGGATGAGCCAATGAACTTCTCTGATGATGAAGAAATTGAAGAAAGGACACCTTTGGCGCCATTTAAAAATGGATCCGATCTAGTTAAGGTTGAAACTGTCGTTGAGACTGTTAAACCTTCTCAAGAGGAAGACAAGCCAACATTATCAAGTACTTCTTTGTCGTCTGTTGAAAACATCACCGAGCCGGAAACTAAAAAAGTAATTACTGAGACTGTAAACACTGAAACTGTGCAGACTCCTTTGGCGCCTTTTGGAGTGATTCCAGACTCTCCAGTTACTCCGAGTGCCGACGATGCATTTATTTGTGAAACGTCCTACTGGTCGGCGACACTGAAACCAGGTCAAAAATCAACAACAATAACAACAGTTGAGACAACCGAGACGAAAACAGATGAAAGCCAACCCATTACAGTTACGATTTCAAGCGATGAAGTTATTGAAGAAGTTGCCGTAAAATCACCCACTGATCAGCCAACAACTTGGTCAGCAATTGTTCAGACCGAGACGACTGTATTCCCAGCACCAGAAGAAAAAGAATTGGATGAGCAGACACCTGATTGGTCTACTGTTGTTGTAAGCAAAACTACCGACTTCCAGGAGCCAAAGCAGCTAGATAATGTGGTAGAAACAGAGAACGTAACAACAACGAGCACAACTTATGTTACAACAACAGTGACCACACATAAGGATGTTTCCATCGTGGAGGACGACTCCGCAGCTACATCCTATGTGTCCACTGTGGTAACCAGTCATAAGAATGACTTGGCTTTGGAAGCAGAACCAGTTGAACCCAAAATTATTGAACTTACTAGGCCCGAACAACTCTACGAAAATCTATATCGCGAAGGATTCAAATTGCATCCCCAATACGACTTGTTGCAGGGACAATATCAACAATTACAGGTGGTAAGCAAACCGAACCCGGTTTTAATTGAACCCGAGAATGAAATCGCCTTAATAGATGATTATGTGATAATTGAACCCGAAGCGATACCCCAGTTAAATTCCGAAATACTTGCTTTCAATCTCAATCTCGACCAGCACAATGTGTTGCCAAAGTCTCGTATAGATGTTGACACCATTGCCCAGTTGCTCCCAATCGAAAAGCCAGTTGAGGTTATTGTAGAATCCGAACCTGTAGTGAAGGAAACCCAGATTGTAGAAATTCTTGAGGACAAATCAATTGTAGAATCTTCTATTAAGCCTGTAGACGATGAACTCCTTGTCCCTGAACCAACTCAACTCCCGACCAATCCCAGTGAACTGCTCTGGCACCTCAGTCAAGACGATTTCGTCAGACTCATCAATCACTATACGAGAACGGCAGGCGATCCTTTCGCATTGCTGCCAAGGACAACCACAGACAAGACAAAAGCTCAGGTAACTCAAGACGATAAGCAAAAGACTGACAGCATTGCAGAAACTGTAGTGACAACCACGACCACGATTACGGATCGCGTTGTAGAAAAGACTGAACCAGAAGCATCGTCACTACCAATCATTCCTACCGCCCAACCACTGGTTGCATCACCGGTTAGCAACCTCGATCAGTTGCGTCTGAATCTGTCTCTGGACGACTGGCAGCCGGCCGGTGTCGATGCAGATTTGGCTGACAATCTGTTTGATAGACTGAAACGTGATGATGCTGCCAGTAGCGAAGCGGAACTCGACCAAGACAAGAAACAAAAGCAACCAGACGGTGCTGCTGAAAAACCAGACACAGACGTTCATGACGGTGACGATGATGACGATGACGATGATGACGACGACGACGATGATGACGACGATGACGATGAGGGGGTAAACCGACTGTGCCTGAAATTCGCAAGCCTAAAGATGACGACGATAAACCGAACGATGGGGATCCTGGTAGCGGTAGTAGTGGTAATGTGACCCCAACACCCGAACACGATGCTCAGTATGGTCAGAACCGTAGCTGCTCATCGGAGTATAGGTCCGCCGATCTGCCGGGTGGAGTGGGTCATTGGCGAGATGACAGTACTTATCTAGCTCTAGAAGCCGAGCAGCCTCAGGTGAAAGTAGGAGATGAACCATCAGCACCAATTGTAACGGGTGTTGAATCTGTACTAACCGAAACTAAAGAAACTAAAACCACAAGCCCCGCCCCGGCCCCCGCCCCTGTCTCCGACCCTGAAACAAGTCCCAGTACCAGTCCCCCTAACGTTGCAAACGCACTAATCCAATTGGCAAGCGCCACAACTCACACGCTGACCGCCAAGGCGAACGCAGCAGCAACAGCAACACATGCAGCAGCGCTGGTGGCAACCAGCGCTCTATTGCCGGTTGCAACGGCCGTTGTCGATAAGTTGACGGCAACAACACCAGCGGAGACATCATCAGTAAAACCAGCGACAACAGCAGAAGTTCCTGCCGTAGAGCCTGTGGTGGTTGCCCATGCAACACCAGCAGCAACAGCAGAAACAACACCAGCAACACACACCGAAACGACAACAGCAACAAGCAGCAGGAAAGAGGAGGTGGAATTGCCCACCGAAAATGCGGGTGTGACAAAGCGCACCACAACAACAACGACAACCGTAACGACAACAACCACATTCGAAACGCCATCGACAACTAGCACCACAACGACAACAACAACCACAAGCAGCAATGATCTGCAACAGCAACGCCAGAAGGTGAACATCACATTGAGCCTTCGTTTATTCATAATTCTAATTTTTGCAGCTTTTCTGTGTGGTTTCGGTATTTGTTCATGGCTTTTATACGGCAATCGCTCGTGTTGCTGTTGTGGCCAGGTCCCGGCCAACACATGCTGCTGCGGCAACACATTGCCCCTTGCAACAGCAGCAACAGACCCGGGAAATTGCCCGCCGTAAAGTTGGTCTGGGCCTGTGCACAATGGCAATGAATAGCAATTGTCTAACTACTAACGTAACTTAATAAGAGAAAACATGTTTGATTTTTTATGTTCTACTTAAGTTTTTCATTTTTATTATTTTTGTATTGTATGTGTTGTTTTGCTAAACGCATCCAATAGGCTTATAGTTTTTAGTTTGTATACCTAAAAGAAAAAGTTACTATACATTTATAAAAGCACCTAACTTAGACGTAAAGAAACATGTAGATTTGATGTAAATTTGTTCCTTCTACTAATTGATATTAACCTTTGTAAAAGCCCAGTAATCAGAGACTACTAATGGTAGTGATAATAATAAAATCTATATTAACCAACTTGCACGTTTTAATACTGAGCTAATTTATATCCCCAGCGTATAGATTTTTCGCACACCAGAGCACATACACAAGCACACACAAGATCACGCATATCGAGCACTTTTCCTGCCCCGCACAGTGCTGCACAAAAGTGTGTGTGCACATGCAATTACCGAGTTCCCAAATGCAGAATATGCCATTATGTGTATCGCACGTATATATGAGTTCATTGCCTTGCCTACCGCCCTGCTATCAAGAATTTGCGAGCAGAGCATATTCCCTGCCACAGCTATAAATACCCCATTCGATCCGATCCATGCGGTGCAGGCCGTTTTACTTGCTCAAAAATAGTCTCCCGTTTGTCTTAAAATTCTTAGTCTGCAATGTGCAATGAATGCGTTGAGTTTGACTGCGAAACCCGAAGAAGCATTTCAAGAATCTAAATGTTTGTTAGTGCCAATGTGTGTGTAGTTCAAAAAGAATAGCTAAAGAAAATCTGAAAAAAAACGTCTATTAAAGGACTCATAAATTTGTAAATAAGAAAGAAAGTAAGTTAAATTTCCACTCAAGCAATGCATTTAATTTTCCAACTTTACCTAAAGACAGACATTAAGAATCGCATATTTTGGTACTTTTGTCTATCCGCTGTCTATACGCCTACCTCATAAAATGCCGCCATTTACAATAAGATACTTTTTTATGCCAAATGCATGTGTTACGTTAAACGAAGTTTAATCTAAGAGCTAGTGTTATTTTTAAAAGCATTTCCTAAACAAATGGTTCCATCTTGTTGTATGGCTGTGAATTGCATCCATTCAAGTTCTTTAAATACCCATTTATAATTAATATGTACAATGTAAATATGTTGTATGTGTATAGAAGCCGGCAACAAATATTTACATCAATTTCGCTCCCTAGCAATAATCGACCAAAATTTGCAATCTTTATTAATATTAACACACTTTCTACACCATCTCCCCGACAACAACTCACATTTCTAAAACCATAGGAACTAATTACGCAAGAACTCGACGAACTGCTACAATCGCTCTCGAGCGTCGAGGATGGCATCGCGAACATGAACCAGAGCAGCCTGGAGGGCATGCTACAGGGATTGAAGGTAATGATAGTCTAAGGCCCAAATAACACCACCTTCTGGATGCTTGACTCGGCATGTTTTCAACGTAGCTAGATTAATTATTTAATTAAAATATACTCACACTTGTACATAACTCTTGTAAACGATTATTGGATGCTGGCGTGTGTCAGAGAAATTTAATAACTCAATCGCATCACTCCATATACAATCGTACATTTTCGTCAGCCTTTTTTTTTGTTTAAAGAGAATTCCTTTTAGTTGTTAGTTTCGTCCAGTTGTGGTAGTCGTTCCTTTTGCCGTCTAAATATATAATTTTGTAGGCCCTGAAATTCGTATACAATGAATACATTTTGTACGAACATTTGCAACAAACACATTACTGAAACTTTTATTTTATACGCCGGATGTGCAGCTAATCCAGAGCAATCTCGAAGTACACGAAAGGGACGCCATCGAGTTGAAGGCCCAGGCCAAGACGCTGCCCACGGATCCTGCCACCGAACGTTTGCTCAACGACACCGTGGATCGCATTGACTTGCTACTGCGTCGCACTCAGCAAGGCATCACCATGATAGCGGTGAGTTGGAATTAGAATTAATGTCTGCAATGCCCATTCATGTTTGCCATTCCATTTTCCCATTTAGAATGCTATGCATGGCCAGAAGAAGCGCCAGCAGGAGATTGACGAGTACCAGCAGCATCTGCTGGAACTGGAGCGCTGGATCATCGAGGTATCCGCCGAGCTGGCCTCCTTTGAACCCACTTCGGATAGCAGCACGGATGAGCAAGTGCTCAAGTCGCAGGTGGAGAGGAGCCAGCAACTGCTGCGTACTCTTAAAGAACGCCAGCAGTCCATGGAGGATCTGGTGGATCAGACCCGTCAGCTGCAATCCCAGCCCGATGTGGCTCCCCTGGCTGACACCCTTATGGAGCAGCTGCAGAGCATCATAACCATTCTGCGGGAACAGGTCACTGTGGCCACTAAGCGCATCTTCACCATTGAGAAGCGCATCGTGGATTTGCGGAAGGCCAAGAGCGAGGAAGTGCAGCGCCAGCGAGTGCTTGCCGATTCCCTCATCAAGCCACCAACGGAAGTTCCAGCCAGTCCAGAGGCGCATGAATCCATCGAGTCCAACGAGAACACCATTGACTCCAGTTCCATGCCCGAGGAGGAGATCAAGCCTAGTGGTGTGTATGTGGAGACACAGACATCTCTTAGCCTGCAGCAGCCGATTCAGCCGGTTCAGGTGGTGACCACCACCACTGTGGAGGCGCAGACCAGTTTCAAGGAGCCAGCTGTTGAGACAGCCGAGGTGGCCCTGCAAACCCAGAAGGAGCGTTCGCCCACCGAGAACATTATGGTGACCCAGACGCTGCAGCATGGCCAGGAGACCATTCAGATCGACACCACTCGCAACAAGGATGTGCCTGATGAACCCGAGGATGTGCAGATTGAGGCTCGCTACCATCAACGACCCCATGGCGATGTGGATCGCGCCACCGAACTGATCCTGAAGAATGTGCCTCAAGCATTCGAAACCACATTCGTGGAGCCAGATGCGACGACAACCGAAGTGATTGTCGGACCCGATGGCACCAAGCATATTGTGCTGAAGAAAGTCACCCGAACCCGCCAGCAGATTGTGCAGCAGCAGCAGATTAGCTCCATTGAAACAATCAGCGATTCAGATGGCAACATTGAGGTGCACTCCACGGGCCAGATCAATCTGGAGAATGTGCACACCACGGATACCAAGGCGGATCCGGAGGAGGGCAGTGTCCACACCGTAATCACGCAGCAAACGCGAGGTGCAGTCGTGGATTCTACACAGCCCGAGGGAGTCGTCCTGCAGGAGTTCGAAACGGAGCCCACAATTGAGACGTACGAGGAAGTGTTGGCACCAGGATCCCAAGCGCAGTTGGTTTGCACGCAGACCGGCGATGTGCAAACCCAAGGCACCATCCGAGCTGTGGTACAACAAGTGACTCGCAAGGTGATCCGCAAGACGCGTAAGATCATCAAGCGCGTGGTTATCATTGACGGCAAGGAACACATCACTGAGGAAGTGGTCGAGGAGCCCGAGGAGGTGGAGATCACCGAGGAGGAGACCGCACCGCACATTAACGTGAATATTGTGCGTACCGTGGACGGAAAAGTGGTGACAGAGGAGGAGTTCCAGCGCCTGATGCAGGAGCCCGGCGTACTCATCGAAGAAGTTGCCACGGATCTGTGCAAGCCAACAGCAGAACCGCAGCAACAGGTATTTGATATTGAGTCTACCCAAGTCACCACCACCACAAGAACAACAACCGCAACCACACAAGAACAAGAACAGCCAGAACAACAGACACAACCAACAACAGAAACGACTAATGAAGCACCTGTAGAGTTGCCAGCACCTCAAGTAGATGTTGAACAACCCGTAGAAGTTGCCACTACCAGTCCCGTTCATGTTCCAACAGCGGATGTAGTTGAACCCAAGGACTCCTCAGCTATCGTAGATGACCAAACAGTGGTTGAAGATATTAACGAGATTTGGCCATTGGAACATCATCTGAAACCCACCAACATTGACTTCTCCCAGCACGTCGAAGAATTTGCACCACCAGCACGAACAGTAGAAATTGAGACTGAAGCCTCCATGCCAGTAGAGGAAATTTGGCCGACCAGCCCAGAAACCGGTAACTCATTGACTCTGGAGCACTATGAATTCGAGCCGCAATCACCTCGTGAAGAGAGCAAAAAATCTGAAGAAATTAAGCCCCAAGAGACTGAGCCTAAACCTGTTGCTGAGATTAGCCCAGAGCATATTACCACTGGAAGTATTACCATAACCAAGACTACAACCACCATCACAAGCCACACGGATGAGCCAAAGGAAACTGTTGTCCAGAACTTGCCAGCAGTTGAGCCGCAACTTCCTGCTTCGAAAACCACGACTGACATTCAGAGTTTCCTGGAAGCCGAACAGACTCTGGCCGCAGCTTTGATGGAACAATCTTCGACGCCAACTGAAACTTCAGTTGTTGAAGTTGTGCAGACACTGCCTGAGGAAAGTGCACCTGAAGAGAAGAAGGAATCGGTTACCGTAGAGATTTCAACCATCAAGACTGAGGAAAAGCAACAGGAGCCTGTTCCCGTTGAGGAAGTGAAAACGTTGCTTCCAGAACCTATGCCTGTAGAGCCCGAACAGAAATTGGAGGAAGTGAAAGCCATTGACATCATTGAGAAGACTGAACAAAAGCCAGAAGAGCCGATCCATAAAGAACAACCCACTTCTGATAAAATCGACCTGCGTGCCGCTACCCAACTCTTCATCTCAGGAGAGGCCGCCGCTTCAACGGCTCCACAGAAAACCTTCAAAATCACGGCCCCCTCCCTGGAGGACAACGGCGCTGGTGTGCTGAAGGTTGTCCTGGGGAAGGAAGAGGATGCCACAGCTCCAACCGCCGGCAAGGTCAGCATGACCATCATTGAGACCGCCGCTGCTCCGTCGCCGACGCCAAGCGGCGTCGAAAGAAAAAGAAGAGAAGAGATACGAAGCACGAGGAGGAGATTGAGCAGGAACAAGAGACTGAGCCGGAGGCAGTGGCCGTTAAGGAGCCTGAGGTTGACTCAGACCTGCCCGTTTCTCCGGAGGATTCACCACGCGATGCCGTGCGTCATGAGTCCATTGTTGAGATCAGTCCCGACAGCGATTTGTCCAGCATTGAGATTGACTCGAGGGTCAAGGTTGTGGAAGATGCTGTCGTCTCATCGCCCTCGGAGTCGCCAAGGACGCCTATGGTTGAGTTGGTCATTCCCACAGAGGTTGTGGAACTGGCATTGGTGGAGGATGAGGAGCAGCAGACCACACCACGTGTTCCCTCGCCCACTGGAAAAACCGAAGTCGAGCAGGACATTAAATCCGTGCAGACCTCACCACAGCATCAGCCCAAACTGGATGAGACCGCAGTGCAGACGAGTTTGGAGGTGCAGCCGGATAACCAGGAGAACGAATCGCAAACCCTGATTGTTGAGATTACGGAGACAGAGGCTCAGACCACTCCCCGAAGCGAGGACAAGCCGGTGGCAGTGGAGATATCCACTACGGAGATTCAAACCGATGTGAGCGGCCAGCCGGCTGAAACTGTAGAGATTTCAAGTCAGACGACCGTCACCACCACCATTGAGAAGGAACTGCAGACCACGCCAATAGATTCGCCACGGGCACCAGAGCCAGGCAGCAGTGATGTGGTGGAATCTCTGGTCCAGGATTTGGTGAAGGACATGACCACCGATCTGCCAGTGCGCACCAGCGAACAGTCAACCGTTACTGAAACCACCACAACCACGGAGACCCATGTGCAGACCAATACCCCAGAGCCAAGGGAATACACTGAAGTGGTCAAACCGGAGACTGTTCATGAAGAGACTTCCACGGTGGAACTAGTGCAGGTAACCGATGGTGAGATGCAAACCAGTCCGCGCGGAGATCAGCAACCCGCCTCTCTGGATGACAATTCTCTGACTGCCACTTCGATATCCGTTTCGGAACCTTACGAACTGGAGGTCAAGACAACAGTGGCCATTCCCGCTGATTCCGATACGTCTGTGGCCGAGCCGACGGTCTATGAATATACACAGACCATGCAGCTGCCCAAACAGGACAAAAAGTCCAAGAAGGACAAGAAAAAGAAGCAGAAGAATGAGCCGGAAGTGAAGCAGCAGCTGCCAGAGGAGCCGCAGATAAGTGTGACAGTGGAAATCGCACCGGAACTACTCTCGGAATCGGGCATTGTGGTGTCCACCAACCAGGAGATTGAAGAAGTGCCTCATGTGACACCCGTCGTGGAAACTCCTATCGAACCCGAAGAACTGGGAACACCCAAAGCCCAGAGAGTGCAACTGCAAATCACAAAGACCACTGTCTACGATGAGTATCCCGATCTGCCGGTGCACATTACCGAGCAGAACAAGGTGCTCATTGCGTCTCAGCAGAGCAAACGTTCCGGAGCAGGACCCACATCCTCTGCGGTGACTATTGAAGAAGTCGGCTCACCCACGGAGGAGCTTGTGGTGCCCATCACACCGGGACCAGACAATCTCAGTGGCGAGCCCAGCAACATCTGGTTCAGTGCCACCACCAGTGTGGACAAGACACCCATTGAGCTTTCCCAAGCCCTGATTCTGAGCGAGAGTTTGCAGCACTATCCCGGACAACAGCCACAGCAGCAGAACCAGCAGCCAATCCTGATCTCCACCAAGGAAGCCATTGGCGATCGCATCAAGCATTTAAAGCAATCATCGCCACAACAAGCCACTCCCCTAAGCAATGTGCTCCATTTGGCCACTTTATCTGAACAGATCAAGGAACTACCGACGGAGCAACGCATCTTGGAGGTCAACGAGGGTCTCCAGGATCTTGATGCTGCCATTAAGAACGGTGACAAAACGGTGATCCAAACCACTGTAATCACGGTTATTGAGAAGGTTTCCACTTGGTTGGAAACTATCGAGTACCGTGTGTACCTCATCCGACAAAACTCCAATGAAGGACCCTCCGAGGAGAAGCTGGACAACTACAACCAACTTAACGAAGAGCTCAGCACCATCAAGCAGAATGTCGGCCAATTGGAGCGACAACTGTCCAAGGCGGAACCGGAGTTGCTGCAGTGCGTGGATAGCCTCAAGGAGCATGTGGATGCAGTGGAGCAGGTCACGCAACAGAACCAGGTGCAGGATAGCAATGATCTGGACAAGTGGCACAGCTTCGAGGTGCTTTTGTACAACGTGTCCTCCGTTTTAACCCAGCTGCAGCAACGTTATGATCTCCTGATCAATCAGGAGTATCCTCTCTCCGCCAAACTGGCCCAGCTGGATGAGTTGGAGCAGCAACATGAGGCGGCACAGCAGCAACTGGCGCAGCTCTGCCAAAATGCACGGGCTTTCCAGCGCGATTTCCCAGGCAAGCGGATGCCGCAGGATGTGCACAATGCCTTCGAGGCCAGCAAGAATATTGGGAACAACATTCAAGCAGAGCGGGAGCGTGTCCTGCAACTGCAATCCCTGGCGGAGGAGTACGAGCAGACCCTCAAGGAGTTCACTAAGATCACCGTACTGGCTGACAAGCTGGTCGAGAGTCCAATCGTTTCCAGTTCCCTCGAACAGCTGAACAACGAGGTGCAGAAGCAGAGGAAGTTCTTCGTGAACCTCAGCCACTGTCGAGCCATGTTGGAATCGCTGGAGGAGAACATCGATAGTGAGACCCGCGAGAAGCACTCCGAGCTGCACAAGGAACTGTACAACAGGGCCACTAGTCTGCTGGACAAGGCCTCCGAAAGGTCTTCCAAATTGGTGCAGGCTGCCTCCCGTTGGACTGTTCTGGAGAAGGGAATGCGGGATGAACTGCAGTGGCTGCAGGTGGCTCAGCAAAGAGTGCCTGATTTATCGGCCGTAACTTCCGCCGACTACGATCAGTATACCACCCTGTACCAATCACTGAGCAACGATATCTCGCATCACTATGTGAAGATGACGCAGCTGTCAGGAATAGCCAACAAGTTGCAGACCTTAGTGCAGGCGCCCAATCTCGTGGAGGAAACCAATGAGGCTTTGATAGTGCTGCTCAAATTGCGTGAGGAGGTGGCTTTGTATCTCCACCGCCTGCTGGTCTTCAAGGAAATCTGGGTGCAGTACGAACAGCAAACGGATAAACTGGAGGCCTTCGTACGCGAAGCAGAGCAGGAATTGAGACACATTCAGATCCCATCGCAGCCCACCCAACAGCCCATCGAGCACATGCGTCAATTCTGGGAGATCAAGGCCCGTTTCGAGCTGCACAACAACGTACGAACCGATACTGGACTGAGTTTCGAGAAATCCCTGCAGGTCATCCCATTGGCTGACGAGATGCTCCAGCGGCAGTTCCATGCCCAACTGGAGGATCGCTGGCAGGCCGTGTCGCAGGCCATCGAACTGATCCAGCACAACATTGTGGAGTGCCTGTCGTCGGAGGATGTGCCCGCCGATGAGAAACTCAAAATGGTGGAGCGGGAGCTGCAGGAGATCTACCTGACCATGACCAGCATGAAGGGTGTGATTAAGAATGAGGAGGAGCTCTGCCTGTACATCGAACGTGTCCAAGTGCTCCGCACTCGCGTGGGCTTCATTGGCAACGAGCTGGGCAGGATTGGACTGCAAGAGCCCGCCATTGAACCCGAAAAAGTGGGTGAACTGTTCTCGCTCTCGCACAAGATTAGCACCCAGATCGCCGAAGAGCTGGAGGGTGCATCCGTGCTGCGTGACCAACTGCAGGCCATCCAGGAGGGCATCAGCAACCAGCGCAAGCACCAGGCCAAGATCTCCGTTATCCTAGATGAATGTGAGGCAGCCGAGCGCCAAGGAGCCGATGTCCTCGAAAAGGCCGTCGCCGATTGCCAAGGAGCCGGGGAGGAGCTGGTCACCAGCTGGCAGGAGATAATGCGCATCCGCCAGATGCTCCACACACTGCCCATGCGACTCAAGATGTCCGTGTCGCCGGTGAAGTTGGAGAGAGACATCTCCCAGCTGCAGGACGACCACGCCTTCCTCGAGAGCAAGTGCACCAATATTATGGCCATCCTGCGAAATCGCTTAGCCGTCTGGTTGCGCTACGAACGCCAACTGGAGCTGGTCCACGGATCCGTCCAGGAAACCGATTTCATGATGGAACTGATCCGGGTGCACGGCCAGGTGGACTACGAGCGCCTGCGAAAGGCAACGGAGCGTTTAGAGGTAAGTTTACGAACCCATATTTTATGACTTTGTTTACGCGCACGGTCAGGGATCGGTTTGTATCTGAAGATTGTTTTGTATCTCGCTACCTGCTGGGCGATTTTAGCAATCTGTCCTTATCAGCATCGTTTTCGGTTTAGAAAATTTGCTATATAAACCTTACTGATTTTGGGACAGCCTTCAGTCATATTTCAACATTTGAATATTTAGCAATTGAGCAGAAATACAACTAAGAAGAACTTAGTATTCCAGTCTATCTTAATTTTTGCTCAAAGTTCTTGGAAACTATTTGTGAGTTTTATAAATAATGCAAAATATATATTTTTCACAATAAACAATAAAATTATTAAACGAATTCGTTATAACAATTTGTTCAAGTAAATATAATACTAATAATATTATCAACTTTATCCAATCTAATTTAATAGTTTTGTACCGTAAGTGGTCAAATATAATAATCCAAATATTGATTATTAAAAATATGTCAACATTGTTTGCCCAGAGTAACTCTTCATATATTATTCACTCATGTTTTGTTTGAATTTTGTGGTGCCCGCTATGCAAGTGGAATGAAAAGCTATACCATTGATAAACTTTCCCACAAGCTTTTCGTAAGCTCTCGTCGTATGTGGTGCTCTTTACGTAGCAAGTTTAATGCCGCCGCAGTTTGACGTTAACTTCGAACCGAGCGCGTATCTGCCTTCGCGGTCGGAATAACATATATTACTTTGACTAATCCATCTTTATCCGTAATCCAACGCGTCGCAGGGACTTGCTGGCGATCTACACAACCGCGAACAACTGATCGATGAGCTGAAGGGTGCCGCCAAGCCGCTGATCGAAACCTGCGATGTCCAGATTGTCGAGCAGATCGAGTCGGCCGTCCAGGAGGCGGTAGTCGCCTGGAATGACACCAGCGAGAATCTGCAGCAACTTCGCACCCGCTACCAAAGAGCCGTCGAATTGTGGGACAAGTATCGCAACGCCTCTGCGGCCGTCAAGAGTTCCATTGACCAGCAAATGGATACGGTCAAGTCCCTGGAGCAGCCCCTGGATGCCCTGCAACATGCCAAGGTGAGTGCTTCCGCATGCCGTGACCCATCCATCCGGCAACGGGTCGTATGAGTGATGTGTATCGCGTGGGCGACAGTGATGCCAACGACCTGTTTTGTCAGATAGGCAAAATCAAACAAGAAAAAAAACAATAATTGAACAAACAAAAGGGACAATTAAGTCGGTCAATACTTATGCATTCTAAATGAATAATTTATATTTTAAACTTTTATTTGGAATTCATGATAAAATTATTTAAATTGGTTTGAAATTTTGTGACGTAAATTAGCAGATAAAAAACAAAAAAAACAAATGACACATTTCCGGGAGAGTTTTTGATATATATTTGTTTAAGTATAAACAAAAAACTGCAACGAAATCTTAAGATATAGAAACTTGTGAAATTGAATTGCTTTGTATCCAAAAAGGAGGGTTTTTCCTGAGAAGTCTAAGCAGTACCATCACTGATGCGGAACAGTTGGGTGGACTTTTTCTTTTTGGCGGCAAACTAGGACAGAAATGTGACTCTTTAATTGCCCACCAGAGACGCGGGTGGGCTAGCTAGTAATTACATTGATTTTCCCGTAGTACTCGCCCTATCAATTTTTGGGCGCGTCAATGTAATCGGTTCGTAATAATGCCGCTGTACGTACACATATGAGCTAACTTGGTCCGCCGTGTTTGTGTCATGAATTATGCTTGGGTAAATAAAACAGACATCGCTGTACGATTTCTTTTTTTCCGGCATTTACTTAAAAAATTAACGCATACTCTGGCCGCCGTTTTGTGTTTATTGATCATTAGGGTCATTATATTATAGGCCTACCCAGGTGTAATTATATTTTCGGACAGGCAGGCAGGCAGGCCAACTGTCATTTCACACAGGAGAGTTTATCAACCCGGTGGCGGGGCATATTCATAATATAGTATTTTTGTATACATAGGCAGCTTTATCAACAGCAGCAAAACAGCGGGAACAGGTCCGCAAAATGCCTTGAGCTCCGAAAGAAGATAAATGCTGGAAATGTGGAAACACACCGAGCAAATCCATTTCTTAATACTCTGAATGTTGGCATTTTCAATGCCACTTCTCTAAGCGCTTGTTTGCTTATGTAGCAGCGTGATAAAGCATCGGCAAATACTTGCCAGATGATATCATAGGGCGGCGGGCATTACAACAATCGCCTCTAATGCCCATGTTGTTGCCCTGCTCTAAATTAGAGAATTTATTCGACGGCAAGTGGTGACCTGTTTTCCCTTAAATTGAAAACGAAAGTGCGCCGGGCACTCGCAGCCCTAATTACCATTGCCGAGCAGGGAAGTGCACTACTCGACAATTGATAAGGGTCGGAGCCCGGCCGGCTTGAGCTAAATACTTTCCGTCGTCGAGTTAAATATAAACAAGTGACATTTGCCAGCCGTCGAAAATAATTGTTGGGACTTTTTTGGGGCTCACTTTACTCAGAAAGAAATGAGAGAAAAGAAACATAACATTTGGAAATTATCCAATTTAAATTTTAGATTAGATTAACATGGTTTTAATAAGAAATCAATAGAATTTATTATTAAATTCAGGAAATTCATATCAACACAATGTTACTTTCATAATAAGCAGTAGTTGGTTGAACTCTAAAAATAAAATGACATTTTGTGAATCATCAAATGATACTTATTTTGTATTTATCAGCCATTAATATTAAGTCTTTGAAGAGAATAAAACATCACGTATTTGGGAGTAGCAATTATGGAATGCTTAAGAAGAAATACATGTTTCTCTGTTAATTGAGTGGCTATGACCATTTAGACCTTGGGCTTCATTAGCTAACTCGCTCTCCATCTCTATATTCGCACAGGTATGCCAAGACAACCTGACGACCCAGAATGACAGAATCTTGGAGCTGCGTGACATTGTGGCCAAGATCGCCGCCGATGTGGGCCTGGATGCCTCGGCCCTGATGCAGGGCGAATTGGATGCACTGGGTCAGCGGCTGGCCGAATGCAAGGATGCCATCACCACGCTGGCCAATGTGGCCGAAACGCAGGACAAGGAGCGCAAGGAGCTCGACAAGGAGGTGACACTGGCCAGGACGTACTTCAACAATGTGCAGCAGGTGAGGAAATGCAATTAATACAATTATGGAGCCACCATTAAAGTGGGCCATGGGGTAACTCCTCACCATCAGCTATCGATTGTGGCGTCAAATAGATGGATATTTGCATATGTTAGTTCGGTTTTGGCGTGTGGAAATTCCCACACCAACTTAACACGACTAGCCGGCAAGTGTTATTGTTGTGGTTGTTAATCCAATACGAAGGACATGCTATTTTAAGTGGGTTAAAAGTTGAAAAACTTTTTGTGTTCCCTGGTTGCCAACCCATCCACCGTGGTCCCACTACATTTCATCATTATTGATTGATAAGAGGCGTGAATATGCTTTTTGGGAGTTGGAGGTGGACTGGGGGGACCGGATGTCCAGCGAAAAGCTTATAAAATCGTAATTGACACTTGCCCTGATGGAAGGGTACTGAATATTTGATGGCACTTTTGATATATTATTGATATTACGATATCTATTGTTTTCGGTTTTGATGTTCATAAACGAACTTCCGTTGTTTTTCTTTGGTTTGGGCTTTAAGGTTATTATTTTCTTCAGCAATTTTCTTAAAACAAATTTGTATTTAAGTAACGGACAACTTTTAAAATTGACAATGCGTACTTCAAATCATTTAACTTGCAGAAAGGAAGTTGTTAATAATTTATGACTTTTTTGATAAGTGAGGGTATGGTTTTTCCATTAATTTCTACTGTAAACAATCAAAGCAACCATAGAATTTACGGAAGCTCAATTACATTCATAAAATCATAAACGTTGTAGGGTGTTAACAATAAATTTCATTGATAAGATCTATAAGACCGCTTTTGATTGGGAAATAAATTACCTTGCCAAATTAGGCACTTGTCGGTAGTATTTACCAGCCACCTTGCACCACTGTAAGCTCATTTGCATGGCACATGCCAACCAGTTTGGATCGCCTCCCTCCCCCTCCCCCTCCCCCTCCCCCACTCCCAACCCAACTCCCCCACCCACTGGTGCCTCCCCCCTCGTCAATGCTTCAGACAATTGAAGTTGGCCAGCGGGAGCGCGTGTCGTTGGCATGAGGTCATTGCCAGTTGGCGGAAAGAGTTGCAATGTGCCACACAGATTGCCATTGTTGTGGAAGCCATGCACTGGACAGACAATCGGACAGACGGACGGACGACGAATGGTAACCGGAGACATCTGAGCAGCCATATTAGGGTCGGGCCAATTAGCGATGCAAGAAGCATACTGAAAGTTGACCACTGTAAAAGACAAATATTACAATTCCTTTATTTCTCCCTTCGCAGGACATTTCCCGAGAGGCACCACAGAATCCCAGAGAAAGCGAGGAGCAGCTGGCCGCTTTGCGAGCCCATCTCCAGACTTTGGCTAGAACGGAGGAGCAACTGCGTCAGCTGAAGGAGCGCCATCAGAGCAACCAGGTGGCACCTTCGGCCACCGGAGCCGTCGATGATGATGGCGTCCTGGAGGTTCTGGCCCTGTGGCAGAAGATATTCCAGGACACCTTCCAGGAATACCATCGCCTGTCCACGCGACTCGCCCGCAGCCAGAACAGTTCGGAGGCGCTGCGCCTGTGGAGGCAGTACCTCCAGCACGTGCAGTCCTTCCTGTCCTGCGCCATTCCCGAGGACTACAGCAGCCTGCGGGAGCAGCAACAGCTGTGTGCCATCCACCAGAACCTGCTCATCTCGCAGCAGAGTGTGCTCTCCGAAACGCCATTGGAATCGGAGCTATCGGATCAGTACAAGGCGCTGACCAACTTGCACAACGAGACCCTCTCGAGGATCATGCAGCGCAATGGTGAACTGGAGCGACGTGTGAGTGGCTGGAACGCCTATCGGCAGCAGCTGGCGGCCCTTTTGGACTGGCTGCGACAGCGGGAGGCGGAGCGCAATGCCCTCCAGCTGCGGTACATCCACCTGAAGCGAGTACCCCACCTGAAAAACCGCCTGGATGCGATGATCCAGCAGCTGCACCAAGGGGAGCAGCAGAGCAAGGCGCTGCAGGAGCAGCAGCAGGAGTTGGCCCGCCACTGTGACAACGCCCTGGCCACCGCCATGCGCATGGAGCAGGCCAGCATTGGCCAGCGGATCAGTAATCTGCGAGCAGCGCTCAAGACCTGGCAGGGATTCCTGCAGCGCGTCACCCAGTTGTCGGAGACGTACGAACAGCGAGTGCAGCAGCTGCAGCAAGAATTCGGATCAGCTGAAAAGCTGCTGGATGCCAACAGTGAATCCCTGCCCACTCAGCCAGCCGCCATCGAGCAACTGCTGGGAGCCCTGCGTTCGCAGAGGGTCCAACTAGGTGCCCAAGTGCCCGCCCTGGAGAGCCTCACGGTGACCCAGGAGGAGCTGAAGGAATGCATCAGTCCGCACGACATGAAGTCCATTCGGCAAAGGAACTGGCTGCTCTGGCAGCAGCACGCCGATCTGGACTACCAGCTGGCCAACCTGATCAACTCGATCGAGGAGCGGCTGTTCCTGCTGTCCAACTACCAGATCAGGTACGATCGCATCTCCCAGTGGCTGCAGCGTTTGGAGCACCGGGTGGAAAAGGATGCGGATGTCGCTGCCATGGCGAATCCCGAACAGGCAGCCAAGCAACTGGAGCAGCAAATAAACTCCGAGCTGCAACTGCGGGACAAGGAGCGGGAGTGGCTACTGTCCACGAGCAGGGAACTGCTCACCCTGTACTCCGAGCCAGAAGTTCGGTCGCAGGTGCAACAGCAGAGCGATGCCCTCATCGATCGCTGGCAGCGTCTCAAGTATTTGTGCAAGCAGAAGGCCACCAAGATTGGGGAGCTCAAGATGACACTTCTCCTCCTGGAGGAGCGAATCGCCCTGATCCGCGCCTGGCTCTTCGAAGTGGAATCCCAGCTGGACAAGCCCCTGAACTTCGAGAGCTACACACCGAATGTGATCGAGGCCAAGCTGAAGGAGCACGAGCAGATACAGCGCTCCATCGAGCACCACAGCAGCAATGTGGGCGAGGTCCTGAATCTCGTAGAGATGCTGCTCAACGACGCGGACAGCTGGCGCACCCAGGTGAACACTTCCGGACTAGCTGCCTCGGCCCAGAATCTGGAGCAGCGCTGGAAGAATGTGTGCAGTCAGTCGGCGGAGCGTAAGGCCCGCATCCTGACCATCTGGAACCTACTCCAGCAGCTCATCAAACTCACTGCCGAGCACAAGAACTGGCTGGGCAAACAGGAAAGCCAAATAGCGGGCTTTGAACGAGATCAGAAGTCGCACAGCAAGCACAAGCTGGAGGAGCGACAGAAGGAACTCAGGGCCAAGCTGGAGGAGCTGGAAAGCCAGTCGGTGAATCTGCGCCAACTGGAGCAGATCTATGCCAAGCTGACCATGAGTGCCGGCGTCGAGCCGGAGAACATCCAGAAGCTAACGCTGCCCACCAAGGTGATGGTGAGCATGTGGCGCCAGTTGACACCACGCTGTCACGCCCTGCTCGATGCCATCGACAAGGATGCCAAGCTCATGCGGGAGTTCAACAATGCCCAACTGGAGGCCACCAACTCCCTGAATGCCATACAAACGGCGCTGGAACAACTGCCAAGTGTGGAGGATCAGCAGAGCTCCAAGGCGGAGCCAAAGGCGGTGCTCCAACGATTGGAGAGCCTGGAGAAGAAACTACACGACGCCCAGCAACATGTCCAGCAGGCGGATAACCTGGCCCAGGAGGCCAAGTCCAGGACCAAGCAGCAGCCACAGCTGAAACAGCTGTTGGAACTGGTGTCGGCTTATACCACACTTTGGCAGACGGTGCAAACCCGCATCGTGACCCTGAAGACCAGTTGGGTGACCCGCGCAGCTCAGGCTGCAGCTGCAGCTGGAGCTGCCTCCCTGCCAGTCAATGAAGCCGCCAATGCCGCCGTTCAGGTGAACACCCTGTCCCAGAGGAAACTCCGGCAGGCCCAGCAGATGCAGAGGGAAACCTCCATCACCGCCAAGGATGCCTACATCATGGAACTGCAGACGGCCATCACGGAGTGCCAAAACAATCTGGATGAACTGCAGCGCACGGTAGTGGACAAGACCCGCAAACCGGGTCCCCAGAAGATCGCCAAGCTGCTGGGCAACGCCCAGTCCTCCACGGAGCTGGTCAAGCATCTCAGCCAGCTGCTGCTCACCGAGTGCCACGCGGACAACCAGGCTGCCCAAGTGGACACCGTGGCAGAGCTCACGTTGCGCTTCGACACACTGCAGTCGCAGTGGAAGGCGCGACAGCAGCACGATCAAAATGCAAGGTAGGATTTATTCCTTTATTATTTATATCTATGTTGGGATATCTATGAAAGTCTTGCTAAATGCCTTTAATGTATTTTTGGTGTTATTTGTCCGACTGGTAAAAAAAACGTTCATTCTTTTATAGCTTTCCAAAATGTTTTAATAATTCAGAACATATTTTCCGTAAATATCTTTGTTGGGATATGTATGAAAATTTTGCTAAATATTTTTGGTCCGTCTGTTAAAAAACGTTCATCCTTTAATGGCTTTTCAAATTGTTTAAAAATTACAAAAAATATTTTTTATATAAATTATCAAAATATCTGATTAGATTTCTTAGCCTTTGGAGTCAAAGTGGCATATTTAAGAATTACCTTTCCCATTTGTGTCTCAAATACTCCTATATCAACTTAAAAGAGACGGACGGCATCCTGTATAGTGAATCATATTATAACAGATGACTTGTGTTCGTAAACACTTTTATATATTTTCAAGTTTAAGTATTGCATAAATTCAAGGCAGTCCGATTGAGTAATAAATATTAAATGTTTTTATTATTGAAGTTCCCCTTTATTGTTTGGCAAGCTCTTAAGTATGTTCGGTTCGCCGGATTGAATTTCCCCTTTGGTGTTTGGGATTGTTTTTGACTAACAAATTGTTTTATTGCTTTCCATCTCGCTGTTGCCTACTTCTCTATTTGTCAAAACACGCACACGCATAATCACACCCAAAAAACAAACTTACCCATGCTTAATCCGAAACCTGCGCATTCATGATGACACACACCAGGTGCCACCTACCTGCATCCTACAAGTACAACTGCATCCAGTAAGTGTATCTACCTGTCGGTGGGCCGTAGTCCCGACCTCCTGCTGTTAAACCCTGTGTTTTATGTGGCTCTCCACTTGACAAAAGCTGGCGGCGGATCACAAATGGCCACCAGACTCCAGGGTGGAGTACAGCAAGAGATCGGGAACTATATGCCGAACTGCCTAAGCTTAAATAAAACTTTGGCAAGGCAAGGCTAAGCTAACAATCAAATTCATTACATTCAAAACAAGCCAATTGTGTATTGATAATAACTACAAACATTATATCAATACCTAGTTTGCTAAGTGTTATTTGGATTGGTTACAGTAGTTGTAATTTATTTCTTATTTTTATCGGTTTTTAATGGGTTATTCTGTAATATTTTTTTAGCGAGGTCGGCCGGCTAACGTGTCCGCTCTGCACACAGCGAAACTGGCAGCAGATCGACAACGATCTGTGGCGCCTCGAGCAGTGGCTGCAGTTCGCCGAGAGCACCCAGAAGGCCCAGTCCACTCCGCCCTCGAACATCGAGCTCCTCGAGGATGTCACGCAGGACCATCGCGAGTTCCTTTTGGATCTGGAGAGCCACAAGTCCATCATCTCGTCCCTGAATGTGGTGGGTGACCATTTGGCCACGCACACGCTGGACACCGAGAAGGCAAGACAATTGCGATCCCGTCTAGAAGCAGATAACGAACGGTGGAACAATGTGTGCATCAATGCCACCAAATGGCAGGGTCTGCTGCAGACCGCCCTCATGGGCAACAGCGAGTTCCATCAGACCATCGATGAGCTGGTGGACTGGCTGCAGCGCACCGAGCAGAACATCAAGGCCTCCGAGCCCGTCGATCTCACCGAGGAGCGCTCCGTGCTGGAGTCCAAGTTCAAGAAGTTCAAGGACCTGCGAGCCGAGCTAGAAAGATGCGAGCCGCGGGTGGTGAGCCTGCAGGATGCCGCCGACCAGCTCCTCCGCTCCGTCGAGGGCTCCGAGGAGCAGTCGCAACACACCTACGAGAGGTAAGGTGTCCAGTGGGCCAGTTCCGAGGGCGGAACGAAATAATTCGTGGGTGCCGCTTGAGCTTAGGTCAGAAATGAGGGTTTCTATAAGGGGAAATGGTTCCTCCAGTTAGTTGGGCGGAAAGCAATTGAAATTCTATACTCTATGTAGTTTCAGTTGTTATATTTATTTGACAAGTTTTTGATATTCCATATGTATATCTTATTTTAAAACTGTAGACAATTTGTGAATATTTTGATATGCCTTTATATTTCCAATAGTAAATTTAGTATCACATCTTTGTAGAAACCTATTAGTATTATATTTCCACCTATGTGCTTTTCCTTACATAAATTATCAAATTATATTTCGGCCTTTATTGCTTGCCTATAACATTTCAAATATCCCCCACACTCCCCCAAAATACTTTCGGAAACCCTCCTGTCAAAAACTATACTCCACATTCCTACAAAATTATACTAAAACTATCCGTGAGGATAGCTAAACCTTTTGGATCTTCCAATAACTAAACTTTCCAGAGCCCATTGTTGGGCTATATCTAGTAGAACGTATTTTGGTTTAACCTTCTCAACTACAAACTCAATCGTATCGATCGATCATTCGTTTTTGCTTCTACACATACTTTGTGTTGCTGTTTTCGTTGCGTATATTATTTTGTGTTGTATTTTTTGGTACTCAAAATTCTTTCGTCCGCCCATTCTAACCCTTCATCCAAACGTACACCACCAAGGGCCTATGCAAATGTTTTAAATGTTCCAGAACCCTTTCCAGATTGACCGATCTCCGTCTGCGTCTCCAATCCCTGCGCCGTCTATCCGGCATCTACATCGTCAAATTGGGCGCCGTCCTCGGTTTCGAGGGCGACAATCTTGGCGTGCCACTGCACATGTTGTCGAGTGAGGTGAGTCACATTCCATTTCATTAATACACAAAAAACGTAATTCCTGTTCAAAAAAAAACATGAATTGTCCTGAGAAATATTTAATTTTATTTGTTGATTTGTGAGCGCACCAGAAGTAAGTGAAACCAATTGGCATTTGAACGAGAAAATTTGGAAAAAAACTTGAAAACCTTATGATTTCTATTATTTATAATTTATTTGTTTTTCTATCTTTTTCTTTATGGCATATATAGCTTTTGGATAATACTACATTATCAACCTCTTCTATGCAGGCCGCCGCACCCAACACAGAAAATGCAAAGTAAATATCTATAGAAATTGATTTTAAGTTTGTGTTACACATGCATTGTAGTTTTACATACCTTTTTTTGGTTTTGAGCAACTTGTGCACTTTAAAGTTGTAAACGAAAAGAGCACATAGTCTTGCCCCCAGTAGTTGCATGATTTTCATAGTAATTTCCTTACTATGTGGCACTTTAACTAATTGGTGTTTTATTTCTCGAAACCATAGCAATACCGATGGCGATGCTGTCGATGGCGATGTCATCAATACCACGGTTCTGGCGCGCGGTGCACGATTCCTAGGCCGCGTTGCACGTGCCTCCCTGCCCATTCAGGCGCTCATGCTGCTGCTTTTAGGTGTGGCCACTCTGGTGCCCCACGGTGAGGACTACACCTGTATGTTCTCCAACACCTTCGCGCGCAGCCTGGAGCCCATGTTGTCGTATCCCCACGGACCGCCGCCAACGTAAAGCTGTTGAGTTGCCATTGGATTAGTGCAATGAATCGAACAAGAAACAAGTCAAGACCCCCATAAACCTAACCGTATTACTGTAATGAACACCAATTTAATCCAAAACCACAGACCGCAGTATAAAAATGCCTTTCGTAAGCTAAATTTCTGTAAAAATAATCGAAAAAAAAATAATTTGAATAGTGAAAATGTAAGAGTTGTACATTTGTGTAGTTTATCACATTTTGTAATTGTATGTAATTTTATAGTGATTGGATAGCTAGAGGCATTAATAAAACAACCAATTTGTATATAACCTACTGAACAGAACAGACTCGACAAGCCGAACATGAAACACATGAAACATTTAAAAGAAATGAAATGAAATGATGAAAAGAATGAACTAACTATTCAAACTAACGACAAGTAACGAAAACCTTTTGTAAAACGATATATACATTATACATATATATTTGCACAGCAAACAATTTATATAAACATATATACCCACATATATGAACCCAAAAAATCTATAAAGAATCCCAACATTTTGTATATAAAAGAAACGAAATCAAAATACGCACACGAAAATTTTACTCATCAACGCACGCTGTTCTATTAGAGAGATCTATGGCAGCAGGAATTTGTGGTCAGGTTCGTGCAAATTTCGTGGAACATTTTTGCATGTCCTGAGCACACAAGTCCTTGCTGCCATCGATGGGCTAGAGAAGTGAACCAGTCCCAAGACAAATCATGACCCACATAGACCAATCGCCCGGAGAACTACTTGGCCACCAAAGTCTCTCGCTTGCTGCGCGTCTTTCTCCCAAATTCAAGGCGATGCAGTCTGCAGGAGGCATTGGTTACCACTTAGACTCTGGCCAATAAAGTCCCCTTGCCCAAGGATAACTGCACCCTTGGCCAAGTTCTCTCCCACGGCCAAGGGATGGAGGAGAGATGCTGCAGTGCGCCAGCCACAGGACACTGTGCTCACCCCTCTGATCCTTAATCTACAGCCTGGCAAAAGGGGGCTAGACATTTCAAAGCATTCCTGATACTCATTTCCAAATTACCAATTGACATTGGCCATCTCACTAGCCCACACTCGGAAAATGGGAAACGTGCGTGCCACGAGCATTGAACAAAACGAAGCAAGTGTCCTATGCCGGTGCTAAACCAACCAACAAATTTTCTATATAAAGAAATACTGTAAAATGCGTATACAAAAATAAAATTAAATTCATACAAAAAAAAGAAGAATAAATCTTTGAAAAAAAAAAATTGTAAAAATGCAATTTGCATACAGACAAGTGACGCAAGTCCATCCAGTAAGAAATAACCTATTTTGTTGTTAATATTTTTTGATAAACCTAATTCTATTTGCCTTATACTTATCCAACTTGTTTATTACAACTATTGTTTTTAATTTAAAGCTTGAGCAATTATTGAGAAAATACATACATTTATTTATTAGACCTATGCGATTTATTATGTATTTAATTAAGTTTGATTTAAATGTTAAATTTGTGTACTTTGCTGCTTCTATCTGGTTATAAAACAAGAGCCGTTATCAAGTTAATATAATTTATGTAGCATTTTAAGATTTCCTTTCTTGTGAACAACTGTACCTTTATATGCATTATGATTATTAAACAAAAATTTAAATATACATTTGGTGCCTTGTTTATTTGGAGAAAGAAAAAGGTATTTGCATCTATTGCAAAAAAAGAGAATAATAGTTTGATTCAAGCTAGTAGAATTTCTCTGCTAAGGAAGAGATTTCTTTTTGGTGATTTTCCACCGAAAATACCATGATAGGCCTTTTGCATTGGCCTTGATCGTTGATAAGATTTTGGCAAACAGACGATGCTTAATCGAAAGCTTATTAAATACACTTTTTTGCGCACAGCTACTGCAAAAACCAACTGAAAAAAAACTGCAAAAAACTAAAAAAAACTACTGACCATTGATAAGATTTTCACTTGGCCATTGATAAAATTTTGGCAAAAAGCAGGTGCCTAATCGAAAACGAGTTTAGTTATTTCACAGTTGTAGGACGTTGTGAGATGTGTCCGATTTCTATATTTTTGTTTCTCCTGACCATATTTTTGACCGTGGTCTACGTTTTCCTAACATGGAACTTTAGCTATTGGAAAAAGCGAGGCATCCAGACAGCCTCCACATGGCCATTCGTGGGCAGTTTTCCCAGCATTTTCACCCGAAAGCGGAACATTGCCTACGACATCGATGATATATATCAGTAAGAAATCGGTTATTGTTTCGTAAGGGGGAAGTACGATTGTCTATTCGTTTGCAGAAAGTACAAAGACACGGAAAATGTGGTGGGCGTGTTTACCACTCGAGTTCCCCAGCTGCTTATAATGTGTCCGGAATATATACACAAGATTTATGCCACCGACTTCCGAAGCTTCCACAACAATGAATGGCGCAATTTTGTGAGTAGAACCTGTGTTAGGTAATAATCCACGGCTGAATTTTCACATTCATTATTAGGTGAACAAAAAAACGGACATGATTCTGGGCAACAATCCATTCGTTCTAACGGGCGATGAGTGGAAGGAAAGGAGGGGGGAGATCATGCCAGCACTGTCTCCTAATAGAGTAAGAATTTTACCAATTGTGTTAAATTTTTGCTATTACCAGACTCAATAATGAATTTTATTGAGTTTTTTTTATTCTAAAACAAAGGCAAATTTAATAACCAAATTATCTGATACCAAAGGTAAAAGCTGTTTATCCAGTCTCCCAAAGTGTGTGCAAAAAGTTTGCGGACTACATCAGACGACAGCAGGGAATGGCCACCTCCCAGGGATTGGATGCGATGGATCTGTCCCTTTGCTTCACCACCGAAGTGGTCTCGGACTGCGGACTGGGTGTCTCAGCCCAGAGTTTCACGGACACTCCGACGCCGCTGTTGAAAATGATCAAGCGAGTGTTCAACACCTCCTTCGAATTCATCTTCTACAGCGTGGTGACCAACGTGTGGCAAACAGTTCGCAAGTTCTACAGTGTGCCCTTCTTCAACAAGGAAACGGAAGAGTTTTTCCTGGACATCATTCGGCGCTGCATCACTTTGAGGCAGGAAAAGCCGACGCAACAGCGCGACGATTTCCTCAACTATATGCTGCAGTTGCAGGAGAAAAAGGGTCTGGATACATCTGACATACTTATAAATACGATGACGTTCATTCTTGACGGATTTGAGACCACGGCTTTGGTCCTGGCTCACATAATGCTGATGCTGGGACGTAATCCGGAGGATCAGCAAAAGCTGCGGGAAGAAGTTGGCAAGGAGGAGCTGACTTTCGATCAAATGTCGGAACTGCCCTATCTAGACGCCTGTATCTATGGTAATACCAACTAGCTTATATTGTGGGTACTCAGAAATCTTATGGCGATAGCATCTTATTTTTCAGAAACATTGCGTTTGTTTTCACCGCAAGTAGCAGCTCGAAAATTGGTAACCGAGCCCTACGACTTTGTGAACAAGAACGGAGTTACTGTGAGAGTAAATCCTGGGGACGTGGTCACCATTCCTGTGAAGGCCCTGCACCATGATCCGCAGTATTATGAGAATCCAATGGCATTTAAGCCGGAGCGATTCCTTGAGATCAACGGGGGTATGAAAAAGTACCGAGACCGAGGGGTGTATCTAGCCTTTGGCGATGGACCACGCCACTGTCCAGGTGGGTAGTCTTTCTAAAGAAAATATAGCTGGAAAGTATACCAAGAGATCTCTTCCTGCAGGAATGCGATTTGCACTGACCCAACTCAAGGCAGCTCTGGTGGAGATCGTACGAAACTTTGAGATCAAGGTTAATCCGAAGACTCGGTCGGATAATCAACTGGATGATACCTTTTTCATGGCCACTTTAAAGGGTGGTATTTGGCTGGACTTTAAAGACCTAAAATAAAATAGCTAAAATTCCGGTTAATGCCAACTTATGCTTGAATATTAGAAAAAATGTTTTTTTACGTGAAACCTACATTATACAAATTAAATTCATTCTGTTAACTAAATTAAGTTGCGATGGAACCGCATCAGTTGGTATAATGAAGTTCGAACATGTTTGATAGTGTTAGTTCAGACGCAACAAGTTCGATTGTGAGTGTGAATTGTTTTAGTTTTTCTTCGCTTTTCTTTGTTATCTGTATGTTATAATCCCTTAATAAAATGTAATAACATATAAGATATTAAAATTTATTTAATATTTATTTATTTAGTATTTTAATACTAATACTTGGTAACATTAATGATTTCATTTTTTAATAAATTCCAAACAGACAAACAGAACGAACCGGTGCAGTATCAATTTGTTTTATATGTAGGTTAATGCCGGGTTCAATTGGCGCCAGTTAAGTTCCGTCTGCCTTTGCGATCGGCTGTGCCATGTGTCCGATTTGCTGTGCACTGCTCCTCATAGTAGGCTTTCTGGCCCTGGTCTACGTATTCCTCACCTGGAACTTCGACTACTGGAGGAAGCGGGGCATCCAGACAGCCACTTCATGGCCATTTGTGGGCAGTTTTCCCAGCATTTTCACCCGGAAGCGGAACATGGCCTACGACATCGATGATATCTATCAGTATGTGCGATGCAAATTGCGTATTATTTAAAACCTTTTTTTCTAATGAAAAATATTGTATTAATACTCTTTAATACCAGATTTTGATTGTGAAAAGTCTTGAAATCAGTTGTAATTTGTTCTATTTGTAGGCAGTACAAAGGCTCGGAGAAAATAGTGGGTGTGTTCGCCACCCGACTTCCCCAGCTGCTGGTTTTGTGTCCGGAGTATATACACAAGATTTATGCCACCGACTTCCGGAGCTTCCATGACAATGAGCGGGGCAATTTCGTGAGTAGAATGAGATTAGTCGGGAAGCCATATATATTTATTTTCATATTCTTTTATATAGGTGGACAAAAAAGTGGATAAAATTCTGGGCAACAATCCATTTGTCCTGAAAGGCGATGAATGGAAAGAAAGAAGGGCGGAGATTACGCCAGGACTTGCGCCCAATCGAGTATGATTGTTTTTGGTTTTGAAAAATACTTTACTGACAAAATGATTCAATCTCAAAGGTCAAAGCCGTGTATCCTGTGTCGCAAAGTGTGTGCAAGAAGTTTGTGGATTACATAAGGCGCCAGCAGCGGATGGCCACCTCCCAGGGATTGGATGCGATGGAAATGTCCCTTTGCTTCACCACCGAAGTGGTTTCCGACAGCGTCCTGGGGATTTCCGCACAGAGTTTCACGGATACGCCCACACCCCTGGTTGGAATGATCCAACGCGTGTTCAACTCATCCTTCGGGTTCATCTTCTACAGCATGGTGGCCAACATCTGGCCACCAATCCGCAGGTTCTACAGCGTGGCCCTGTTCACCAAGGAAGCGGAGGACTTCTTCTTCGACATCATGAGGCGATGCATCAATTTGAGGCGGGAAAAGCCGGGTCAACAACGCGACGACTTTCTCAACTACATGCTGCAGTTGCAGGAGAAGAAAGGGCTAGACACGGTCGAGCTCACCTCCCACACGATGACCTTCCTCACCGACGGATTCGAGACCACGGCCCTGGTCCTATCCCACACTCTGCTGATGCTGGGACGTCATCCCGAAGAGCAGCAAAAGGTGCGGGAGGAAATTGGCAACGAGGCACTGAGCTTCGAGCAGTTGACAGAGCTGCCCTATCTAGAAGCCTGCATTCATGGTGAGAGAATCTTGTTTAAACTCGAGTTAAACACTTAATTATAGACCAACATATTCTGCAGAAACATTGCGATTGTTTTCCCCGCAAGTGGCATCCCGAAAACTGGTAACCGAGCCCTACGACTTTGTGAACAACGACGGGGTTACATTGCGAGTGAATCCCGGGGATGTGGTCACCATTCCTGTGAAGGCTCTGCACCATGATCCCCAGTATTATGAGAGTCCGGAGTCTTTCAAGCCAGAGCGCTTCCTTGAAGCCAACGGAGGTGTGAAAAAGTATCGGGATCGGGGGGTATACCTTCCTTTTGGCGATGGACCGCGCATCTGTCCAGGTGGGTGTCTTTTTTAAGAAAATATAGTTGGAAACCACAGTACGACATTAATCTCTTCCTGCAGGCGTGCGATTTGCACTGACTCAACTCAAGGCAGCTCTGGTGGAAATAGTGCGTAATTTCGATATCAAAGTGAATCCCAAGACCCGCTCAGATGATCGACTGGATGATACTTTCTTTATGGCCACCTTGAAGGGCGGCATTTTTCTAGACTTTAAAGAACGATCATAAACTAGCGCTCAAGCATCGTTATCAAATAAACAATATTATTACAATAATGATTTGCCTTGGGAGCACCTACTTCAACAGATTATATATAAAAGTCAAACTACAAAAACCTGCTTCTATAATCAGCTCATTTATTTTGTAGAACTGATAAGAATCTGTATTGTTATTATTATTATATTTTTATCACCTGTGGGAAATTATTACATAATACCCTTTCATGTATTTTATTCTTAGACAAACCGTATCGCTTCTGGCCCAAACATTAACACTCATAAGTGGCTACTTAAACTAAACTTGGCCTAGAAATTGAAGAGTGTCTGCGCGTGATCTATAAAAACGAAATCAGGTCTTATCGCAAAGTGTAACCGAGTGCTATTTATGGCAATCATTAGATGTGGTGCTGTAGGCAATTTTATCAATTTGTTCACTGGGAGAATTCATCCAGCTCCCACCGCCCATCCACTTGACTAACAAATCAAGTTCAATTGAAATGGCTGAGGTTGTCCAATTGAGCCTCAGTTTATTTCCATCCGCGTATGCGAGCAGTTGCGCCATGTGTCCGATTTTCACCGCTCTGTTTGTAATCGCTGCCTTTTTGGCCTTGATCTACGTCTTCCTGACCTGGAACTTTAACTACTGGAAGAAGAGGGGCATTCCGTCTGCCAAAACATGGCCTTTTGTGGGAAGTTTTCCCAGCATTTTCACGCAAAAGCGCAACGTGGTCTACGACATCGATGAGATCTACGAGTGAGAGTGCCAAAGCGAAATAAAAACACTTAACTGATAACAATTTTAAAGGCAGTACAAGAACTCTGATAACGTCGTGGGAGTTTTCCAAACCAGACTACCACAACTTTTAATTACCAGTCCAGAATATGCGCGCAAGATTTTTGTCAGTGATTTCCGCAGCTTCCATGACAATGAAATGGCAAAGTTTGTAAGTAAAAACAAAGAGGTGGACAAGATTCTGGCCAACAATCCGTTTATATTGACGGGTGAGTCGTGGAAGGAGAGACGGGCTGAGGTTACACCTGGACTTTCGGCAAATCGGGTAGGTATTTATAATATTAACATAGCATACCCAAAACTGATAAGCTAATCACTTTTAGAGATTGTTTTGCAGGGGGCTCTGAGCTCCATATCAATTAAATTGCACTAATCATATTTTAGTGTTTGTTTTCCAAAGAGCTTTAATTCAATTACTTTAATTCACTTATCGCCTCTACCTACCCCAAAGGTTAAAGCTGCCTATCCGGTGTCGCAAAGCGTTTGTAAAAAGTTTGTTGACTATATTAAGCGACAGCTTGTGATGGCCTCCGCCGATGGTCTAAATGCCAAGGACATGTGCTTATGCTATACCACCGAAGTGGTTTCCGACTGCGTCCTTGGAATCTCCGCACAGAGTTTTAGCGATAATCCCACACCGCTGGTCGGAATGATCAAGCGCGTCTTCGAGCAGTCCTTTGGCTTCATCTTCTACATGGTGGTGGCCAATCTGTGGCCAAAGATCACCAAGTTCTACACCGTCGGCCTGTTCGCCAAGGACGTGGAGGAGTTCTTCTACGATATCATGAGGAAGTGCATCCAAATGAGGCGGGATAATCCGGGACAACAGCGAGATGACTTCCTCAACTACATGTTGCAGTTACAGGACAAAAAGGGTCTGGACACAGTGGAGCTGTCCTCGCACACCATGACATTCCTAACTGACGGGTTCGAGACCACTTCACAAGTCCTGTCCCACTGCCTTCTTTTGCTCGGTCGCAATCCGGAGGAGCAGACAAAGTTGCGGGAGGAAATCGGCACTGGCGAGCTATCCTTCGAGCAGTTGAGTGAGCTGCCCTTCATCGACGCCTGCATTCATGGTAAGTTTTTCCTCAAAGCTAAGACTACGTTCTTACTTAAAAGGAATTTAAAATTTCAGAGACTCTGCGACTTTTCTCACCTCTGATGGCTGCCCGCAAATTGGTAACTGAGCCCTACGAGTTTGTCAATAAAAATGGAGTCAAAGTGAAAGTCTATCCCGGAGATGTGGTCATCATACCGGCCAATGCCTTCCACTACGATGCTCAATACTTCGAAGATCCGCAGTCTTTTAAACCTCAACGATTCCTGGAGGTTAACGGAGGAGTCAAGAAGTACAGAGATCAGGGCGTTTACTTTGGTTTTGGCGATGGACCCCGCATTTGTCCAGGTAAGTCACCCATTTGCAGGCAATCAGAAAGCCTTTTAAAATATTCTTTGATTACAGGCATGCGGTTTGCACTTACCCAAATTAAAGCTGCTCTGGTGGAAATCATCCGGAACTTTGACGTCAAGGTTAATCCCAAGACACGCACGGATAATCGCTTCGACGATACCTACTTTATGGCCGCCTTGAAGGGAGGCGTTTGGCTGGATCTTGTAGAGCGAAAATAGTTTATCATGAAAAATTACCTCTTTTCTGCTACCATTTTGCTTTTATAAACAAGTTAATCAATCAAAACTTCTGTGACCATTTTATTTTTGTGGACGCTTTTAATACTTAAATATAACTATATAAAAGGAACTCCCTACTAAGGGATTTAGGATTGGATAGCTTTGATAGGATATCCAGTGGAACTGGGTACTTCCAGATAGTCATCACATCTCTGCAGTTCCTCTTAGGGCAACAAGTCCATTATCTGCAAGAAAAAAACGGAAAAAAATAAGAAACTTACATCAATAAATTATTACTTTCCAAGTTTGTGAATGCCAATCGATTGGAAATTTTGTAACGAATTTAACGAAAATTTGATGAAAAAAACCGATTATTGGAACTGATTTTTTCGAATTTTTTGCCCATAAAAAATAAGTTTTTCAACGTTTTTTGATGCAAAACAAAACGCTCAACCAAATAAATGATTTTTTTGTGCAGATGATGACCTTAACTATCGAATCCAGGTGAATTTGAAAAAATTTATTTTCTGACCAATTTTTGCATTTTTTATATTTGCCAAAAATCGACGGATTTGAAATTTTGTAGCTGTGAATGCCATTCGATTGGAAATTTTATAACGAATTCAACAAGGTATGGCATTCCACCGTGCGAACATTATTTCCCTTGTTTTTGATCAAAAAACCGAAATAAAAGTCGCTTCTTCCAGATCTCCGGATTTTGGCATATTTTATAAGGGGTTACATCATTCATATTTGCCAAAAATCGACGGATTTGAAATTTTTTAGCTGTGAATGCCATTCGATTGGAAATTTTATAACGAATTCAACGAGGTATGGCATTCCACCGTGCGAACATTATTTCCCTTGGTTTTGATCAAAAAACCGAAATAAAAGTCGCTTTTTCCAGATCTCCGGATTTTGGCATTTTTTATAAGGGGTTACATCATTCATATTTGCCAAAAATCGACTTATTGGAAATTTTTTAGCTGTGAATGCCATTCGATTGGAAATTTTATAACGAATTCAACGAGGTATGGCATTCCACCGTGCGAACATTATTTCCCTTGGTTTTGATCAAAAAACCGAAATAAAAGTCGCTTTTTCCAGATCTCCGGATTTTTGCATTTTTTATAAGGGGTTACATCATTCATATTTGCCAAAAATCGACGGATTGGAAATTTTTTAGCTGTGAATGCCATTCGATTGGAAATTTTATAACGAATTCAACAAGGTATGGCATTCCACCGTGCGAACATTATTTTCCTTGTTTTTGATCAAAAAACCGAAATAAAAGTCGCTTCTTCCAGATCTCCGGATTTTGGCATATTTGCCAAAAATCGACGGATTTGAAATTTTTTAGCTGTGAATGCCATTCGATTGGAAATTTTATAACGAATTCAACAAGGTATGGCATTCCACCGTGCGAACATTATTTCCCTTGTTTTTGATCAAAAAACCGAAATAAAAGTCGCTTCTTCCAGATCTCCGGATTTTGGCATATTTTATAAGGGGTTACATCATTCATATTTGCCAAAAATCGACGGATTTGAAATTTTTTAGCTGTGAATGCCATTCGATTGGAAATTTTATAACGAATTCAACGAGGTATGGCATTCCACCGTGCGAACATTATTTCCCTTGGTTTTGATCAAAAAACCGAAATAAAAGTCGCTTTTTCCAGATCTCCGGATTTTTGCATTTTTTATAAGGGGTTACATCATTCATATTTGCCAAAAATCGACGGATTGGAAATTTTTTAGCTGTGAATGCCATTCGATTGGAAATTTTATAACGAATTCAACGAGGTATGGCATTCCACCGTGCGAACATTATTTCCCTTGGTTTTGATCAAAAAACCGAAATAAAAGTCGCTTTTTCCAGATCTCCGGATTTTTGCATTTTTTATAAGGGGTTACATCATTCATATTTGCCAAAAATCGACGGATTGGAAATTTTTAGCTGTGAATGCCATTCGATTGGAAATTTTATAACGAATTCAACGAGGTATGGCATTCCACCGTGCGAACATTATTTCCCTTGGTTTTGATCAAAAAACCGAAATAAAAGTCGCTTCTTCCAGATCTCCGGATTTTGGCATTTTTTATAAGGGGTTACATCATTCATATTTGCCAAAAATCGACGGATTGGAAATTTTTAGCTGTGAATGCCATTCGATTGGAAATTTTATAACGAATTCAACGAGGTATGGCATTCCACCGTGCGAACATTATTTCCCTTGGTTTTGATCAAAAAACCGAAATAAAAGTCGCTTTTTCCAGATCTCCGGATTTTTGCATTTTTTATAAGGGGTTACATCATTCATATTTGCCAGAAATCGACGGATTGGAAATTTTTAGCTGTGAATGCCATTCGATTGGAAATTTTATAACGAATTCAACGAGGTATGGCATTCCACCGTGCGAACATTATTTCCCTTGGTTTTGATCAAAAAACCGAAATAAAAGTCGCTTCTTCCAGATCTCCGGATTTTGGCATTTTTTATAAGGGGTTACATCATTCATATTTGCCAAAAATCGACGGATTGGAAATTTTTAGCTGTGAATGCCATTCGATTGGAAATTTTATAACGAATTCAACGAGGTATGGCATTCCACCGTGCGAACATTATTTCCCTTGGTTTTGATCAAAAAACCGAAATAAAAGTCGCTTTTTCCAGATCTCCGGATTTTTGCATTTTTTATAAGGGGTTACATCATTCATATTTGCCAAAAATCGACGGATTGGAAATTTTTAGCTGTGAATGCCATTCGATTGGAAATTTTATAACGAATTCAACGAGGTATGGCATTCCACCGTGCGAACATTATTTCCCTTGGTTTTGATCAAAAAACCGAAACAAAAGTTGATTTTTCCGGATCTCCGGATTTTGGCATTTTTATAAGGGGTTACATCATTCATATTTGCCAAAAATCGACGGATTTGAAATTTTTTAGCTGTGAATGCCATTCGATTGGAAATTTTATAACGAATTCAACGAGGTATGGCATTCCACCGTGCGAACATTATTTCCCTTGGTTTTGATCAAAAAACCGAAATAAAAGTCGCTTTTTCCAGATCTCCGGATTTTGGCATTTTTTATAAGGGGTTACATCATTCATATTTGCCAAAAATCGACGGATTGGAAATTTTTAGCTGTGAATGCCATTCGATTGGAAATTTTATAACGAATTCAACGAGGTATGGCATTCCACCGTGCGAACATTATTTCCCTTGGTTTTGATCAAAAAACCGAAATAAAAGTCGCTTCTTCCAGATCTCCGGATTTTGGCATTTTTTATAAGGGGTTACATCATTCATATTTGCCAAAAATCGACGGATTGGAAATTTTTAGCTGTGAATGCCATTCGATTGGAAATTTTATAACGAATTCAACGAGGTATGGCATTCCACCGTGCGAACATTATTTCCCTTGGTTTTGATCAAAAAACCGAAATAAAAGTCGCTTCTTCCAGATCTCCGGATTTTGGCATTTTTTATAAGGGGTTACATCATTCATATTTGCCAAAAATCGACGGATTGGAAATATTTTAGCTGTGAATGCCATTCGATTGGAAATTTTATAACGAATTCAACGAGGTATGGCATTCCACCGTGCGAACATTATTTCCCTTGGTTTTGATCAAAAAACCGAAATAAAAGTCGCTTTTTCCAGATCTCCGGATTTTGGCATTTTTTATAAGGGGTTACATCATTCATATTTGCCAAAAATCGACGGATTGGAAATTTTTAGCTGTGAATGCCATTCGATTGGAAATTTTATAACGAATTCAACGAGGTATGGCATTCCACCGTGCGAACATTATTTCCCTTGGTTTTGATCAAAAAACCGAAATAAAAGTCGCTTCTTCCAGATCTCCGGATTTTGGCATTTTTTATAAGGGGTAATAACATCATTCATATTTGCCAAAAATCGACGGATTGGAAATTTTTTAGCTGTGAATGCCATTCGATTGGAAATTTTATAACGAATTCAACGAGGTATGGCACTCCACCGTGCGAACATTATTTCCCTTGGTTTTGATCAAAAAACCGAAATCATTCATATTTGCCAAAAATCGACGGATTTGAAATTTTTTAGCTGTGAATGCCATTCGATTGGAAATTTTATAACGAATTCAACGAGGTATGGCATTCCACCGTGCGAATATTATTTCCTTTGGTTTTGATCAAAAAACCGAAATAAAAGTTGATTATTCCGGATCTCCGAATTTTGCTATTTTTAACGATTCTTTGCAGAAAATAGACTAAAAAAAAATTGTTTTTAACTGAGTTGTGCTATTTCAACCTTTATTTATTTTCAGCTTCTCTATATCTCTGGATATACCAACTGGATTTTAATCGACCACTACATACACCTATAACTTTGATGTTAAATTAAGCTTAAACATTGTTATGTTAATAAATAGTTACCATTAGATTATCCTAATAATAAATAAGTTTATCTAAATCTATTATAATAAAGTTTTGAAATAAAAAACACTTGTTTTGCCGGTGATTTTTCTGGGTGTCGGTTATGGGAGGTTGTTGTATATTAAAAATACGGTCCACAAAACCCAAAAATAACACATAACATCGACAAAATATTGCATACGGACCACATGCTATCGGTTTGGTTGATGTGGATGAAAAAATCAGGATCCACAAAAATCGCAGATCCGGAAAAATCAACTTTTATTTCGGTTTTTTGATCAAAACCAAGGGAAATAATGTTCGCACGGTGGAATGCCATTCGTTATAAAACTTCCAATCGAATGGCATCCACAGTTAAAAAATTTCAAATCCGTTGATTTTTGGCAAATATGAATGATGTAACCCCTTATAAAAAATGCCAAAATCCGGAGATCTGGAAAAAGCGACTTTTATTTCGGTTTCTTGATCAAAACCAAGGGAAATAATGTTCGCACGGTGGAATGCCATACCTCGTTGAATTCGTTATAAAATTTCCAATCGAATGGCATTCACAGCTAAAAAATTTCCAATCCGTCGATTTCTGGCAAATATGAATGATGTAACCCCTTATAAAAATGCCAAAATCCGGAGATCTCG